AGCCAGCGTTGATGATAGCCTTGGAAACTGACGTCAGGGCATCAGCTTCCTTTTCCACTAACGTCATGCATGTTGATTTTGATATCTCTTCTAGCACAGCCTCAATTAGTTCCTTCTTGAATTGATACAACTTCCTTTTCTGTGCATCGAATCCTGAACGCCATTTTGCTCTTTTTTGGTCAGAGCTCTTATTCAAAGCCCAGATCGAGGGCCGTCCATCGACACCATGGAACCATTCCTTCCATTGATCCTTGAGAAGCGCTGCTTGCGGAAGCATTTCGTGCGAGGACAGGGTTGTTCCAATCTGAACGTAGAGCATGGCGATCTGTTCTGCCAACTGGTCCAAATCAACTCTACCTTGCATACCAGACTGAGATTGAGGTTGAGATTGAGAGTGAGCTTGTCTTTGTTCTACAACTACTTCTTCTTCTCTTTCTCTCGCTCCGTCTACTTCATTGAAGAATGAATCCTCGCCTTGTAAAGGTGAAGAGGTGTTGGTAACGCTCGCTTGCTCATGAGCCGGCTCATGGCTAACCAGGTGCCCGTCTGTGTGCCCTTGCTCCGGGGTGAATGGGCTCCTCTGTCCTGCTCCACATCCCTGCTGTATCTGGAGATCGAACTCTCGTATTTGCTCTCTTTGGATTGATTTGATCTCAGATACAGTGTGGCCTATAGTTCTTCCTGCACCATTGAAGGCCCCCTCTATCCCTTGAGAGAGTGCCACTAGCTGACGATTGACACTTGACATATGCGTCCTGAATGAAGAAGTCAAGTTACAGTTAGATGTATCAACGCGTTCTCGTGATCGTATGAAGTCATCAAGAGCTGAAAGCTGTGCTCCTAAAACATCAAGTTTCTGTGCTATTGCGGGAGCGTTTGCTGCAAGGCTATCCATCGAGGGAGATCTTGCCTCACTCATTGTTTGGCGCAACTTTGCACTAAACTCTCCGAACTCTGGCGATTGAAAGACTGGCATCTGGCAGATATGGTGCATCCGGTAAATCTGGTAATAGCAATTAGCATTGTCGGTAATTTCCATAAGTACAGCCATATCCTGAAGAATAATCTTCCGAAAATGAGCAAGAATAATATTAAAGCGTATTTTTGGTATTTCCTCCTTGCAATGGCTTGTTTGTTCCAAAAGGGGTCGATTGTAGTCCTCGGGGCGGTCCATCATGATATTCTCAATGCGCTGCTCCCAGTCTTTGTTTCCTTCAAACAGGTTCTCAATGAAAGGAAAAATCATTCTCTGAAGTTTGGGATCAGGAATAAGTGTGTTGCGAGGAAGCCAGAATTCCTCATCAGTTCGCGTGAAGCCTGCCATCGAATACGGAACAGCTCTTGGAACTGGATGTAGGTAATGGATCGCCAAGCGAGAATGAAGCCAATTGCCTTGCTGAGATATCTGGTCATGCGATGATCCATTGAGCATCGCGTGTTGTGCTCCAGCTTTGCGGCCCGCATGAGTAACTTTATCACTATGATGGCCTGCCTTATTCATAACCCCTTTCATAGCCCTAAGAGCAAGAAGTCGCGAGGAAGCGTCAATCCATCAATTACTATTGCACTACCATACAAAGCCATGTATACCCTGTACTTACTTGTAGAGTGAGGTTGAGGACATACGGGTTCTATCAGAAGCGCCGAAAATGAGGAAAGTTTCCATCCATTTGTCGTCATGAAAGTCAGGAACGTTTTTTTTGTCCTACAGTCAAAAGTTACGAATAATAATAGATGTGAGCAATCGAATGTCGGTACAGCCCCGAAACATTAAACAGAAAAAGTATCAGGAACTAACCATCCATAGCTCTAATAGATAAAATCCTAAGGCACCTAAAGGACACAGCTCAACATCTTTATTGCGAATACAAGACGAATAGATAGTGAAGTCCTGATTTGTCTTGCCATGTGTAATCTCAAGAACAAGGGCAAAAGAAAGCTGGCGCCCATTCTCAGCCGTTGCATGGATATGTGGGAACAGGCTACTCAATTTCGCATCAAGTAAATTTTGGCCACGAGCAATCAAAAAATGATTCAAGGCAAAGCTAACTCGGTCGCGAGCCCCAAGCAGCTTGTGAGTCTTAGCTCCACCATTCAGAGGTTTGTAAGATCGAGTCCAACAAAGTTTCAAGAACTGCTTGAGTTGAGCTGGTGTGTATGCATTGTCGACCGACATTCGATATTGGTTCTTGAATTTATTGCTTTGTTGATACCTGCAGAACAGCAATTAGGGCAATTAGCAATATGCAATATTATATGTTTTAAAACAACATCCACTCCTTCAATTTTCAGGCCTCAAAGTTAAATAATACTACATTATGCTGCTGTCTACTCCTACCTTTTTCTGTATGATGAAATGATCCCTCTGAACTCGGCTGTACGTAGACTTGCCCATGGCTGGTTGCTAGGGTTGGGAACTAATGCTCGCTGAGACTGATAGAGCGATATGACCGACTTGACATATGCATCAACTGTCTCTGGAGAAGGGAGATCACCTTCATAATCTATTGTGACGTTGACACGCAATGGCTTGATGCTATAGAAGTCGTCCTCCGCCTGTACTGATTCTTCTGCCACAAGTTCACGCACATAGAGTAAGAATTTCTCGTATGTGACCATGTCTCCATCCATGAAATGCTTACGCTCGCACCAATCCTATATATATTATGGATCAATTAATTGCTACCAATAAACATTATTTTTTGCATTGCTCAACTACTATTCAAATAAGCTCACGCACCACCCAATGCCGTTGGTATTGTTGATAATGATACACTGTTCGACGTGCTAGGGATTTTTCACGATCCTTAGCTGCCTCCTGTAGGACCAACGTACAAGCTATTTTGTTATGGGTGGCATATGCTGTCTTGTTCGCCATGGATGCAACAACATCAGCTCTGCTCGCAGCTGCTATAGGTTGACCTTTGCGTCGTTTAGGAGTTGCCGGGTTTTCTTGTAGCGTTATATGCCGCTTTTGGCTTTGAAGTCCTTGTTCCTGAAATTGGAATTGATCTTGGAATTGTACCTGAAATTGAATTTGATTTTGGAGTTGGGGCATGTGTATGTGTGAATCTAACTGTTGTCCTAAATACTGACCAACATTCTGTGGTGATTCTAATTATAATTTCAAGAGTTCAAGAGTTATTATTTGGTTTTCTTTCTTTAAAGGATCAACAGCAAGCGACGACTATTGTTTGTATATAATATAATGCTGAATAACGAATGTGCTCACCAAACCAGCCTTAGTCCGCCAGCGATAGAGAGCGATAGGCTACCTTGAAGAGGACTTCCTACACTATTCTGTGCATTGGTTGCATTAGATGTGAATAGCGCTTCCATGTTATTTAATGCTGAGTGGTGGGGAATGAAGGGGTGGGTGAAGGGAGAAGTGATAAAACAAGTTAAGAAAAATGTTTGCTTATCCCTCTCCATTAGTGCAAGTCATATGCGATGGCCTTTCCAAATTTACACATCTACACAAAAACGGTATTCAGGCTAAATCACGCTGGAGATCACATTCTATATATTTTGTCAATTTTTTATATTACTTTTCTTTGTGATTCAATAAAAAGAAACAAGGTTTGTGACCACATAATTTCAAAATACCAATTCAGTAATCTGACAGTAAGAAAAAAAAAAAAAAAAAAAAAAAGGCACTGGATGATTAAAAGAAGCCAAGCCAGTCATGAGTTTGGCTTTTTTTTTTTTTTTTTTCTTTCTTTCTTTTTTGTCAGACAATCGATACGTATTCAATCCTCCTTGGCTTGACTTGACTTGACTTGCTTTGGCTTGGCCTTTTCTCTCTCTGTGTAAACTTCTTTCATCCTTCCCCTTTTTTTTCCGCATTGTACCAGTTTTACAACTGGAAACATGAAGCTTGCGGAACGTCAACAATAAATCTAAAGGGCGTTTTGAACATTCAAAACAGAGAGAAGAGAGGGATTTTATTGCAAATAGTCAACAAGTCGACAACGAGTTGTATACATCAAGCGGAGAGGTTGCCGAGACGCCGATGTTTTTTTTTTCTTCTTCGTCGTCTTATTATTTTTCGAGGCTTATTTTTTCGATCCAATCACTCATAAATGCGTATTCAAATGTAATGAATACACAATGGTGGAAATCTACACACTCAAAGACGCGTTTGAGAGAAAATTTACAGGGATGAATAAAACCATCAGTTTCTTTTGGCTTTTTTTTTTTTTTTTTTTTTTTGAGAGCATCAAAAAAGTAAAATTGAGCTCAAAGCAAGACTAGACTACTGTATGAGGCTACAACACTATGACTATGAGCATTCACTCCTTTTTTTTTTTTTTTTTTTTCCATCATCTTCAAGTCTACTCGTGTAGCGTAGCATCAATTAAACACAATGACAGCCAGATTTTGTATACATGTTAATGTTAATATTATAATATTCATGAGGATAAGGATGTGAGCTCTTTAAACATGTACATGTACAGTTCTTGACCGCGTGTCAGATTTAGGAGTGGGGTTGTGTAAACATCGGTAACAGTTACAGTACTCAGTCATCACACAATAAAATGTAATAAAAAAAAGTTTTTGTCTTTTCAAAGGAGCAGAGAGAGAGAGAGACGGGGGTTTGTATTGCACAACGCTTGTTGATCGGGTATATTTTTTCCTCAACCATGACTGATATGGACACCAATCGATCCGAAACGAACATCATCCGTTTATGCTCAAAGTCAGGGCACTCATTCATTCTTCAATGAAATATTTGGCTCCAAGCTCACTTTCAGAGTACAAACTCAATAATACCGATATTAATTGGAATCTCACTTTCATTTCAACCGAGATTAAAAATAAGATCATTTAAGACACCATCTAGATTCAATAAAAAAAAACCTTCCTTTTCCGTAGGAACACGCACTAAGCGAACGCGCTCTTGTTACTATTAGAACACATTAGTTGGGGGTTTTTTTTTTTTTTTTTTTTTTTTTAATTCATAGGATGTTTGTTTATGTTATTACAAATGTGCGTGTCTGTCATAGTTCATTTGATATAGGTGAGGTGGGTGCCTTGCTACGTTCATACATGTCTACCATTGTAGCCAGATACTAAGATAGATATAAAAGGAAAAAAAAAAAAAAAAAAAAAAAAAAAAGAATACACTCTGCTTCATTAATGTGCTTTTAATTAAGGAAAGAAAGAAAAAAAAAAAAAAAAAAACACAAAAACATGTTCTTACCACGATGATGGCCCAGTCATCCATTCCAGTAATACCACCAAGCATCTCTCGGACGATAACCTCTTCTTCTTCAGTCAAAGTCACTGTGCTCATATCTGTCATATCTTTCATTACTTTATCTTCATCCCGCTGCTGCTGCTGCTGCTGTTGTTGCTGCGACTGCTGACGATTACTTACTTTAGGATCATCAGCACTCGATCCTTGTCCTTCCTCCTGATGCTGTTGCCGGCGTGGCTGGGGCTGATGTTCGTTTTGTTGAGAGCCTTTGAGATTCATGCCAAGACCCACATCCGTCGTTGTCATCGTTGGAGTTATAGAGGCTGCTGTACTCGGAGTAGCTACTGTATTTAATGATCCCCAACCAAAAGATTCAGCTGACTGTCGCTTGCCTTCTGCCCGACCGATCGAGCTCACATTGCCGCTCTCTAACCCAGTCAAGGTCTCAAGTGAGGTTTCGTAATCCGTTGCACTTTCTCGACCAGGATCTCGACGAGGATCGTACTCACCATCATCTATTTCTGAACGCCCATCAGTCATAGCAGAGACTAATCTTTGGGCTGCTGCTGCAGATACTAGTCCTGGGACTGTCGCAGATCCTTTTAATGAAATTGAAGGTCGAAGGCCCGAGACAGATTGACGATGCCCAGGGGCAAAAGAAATGACATTCAATGATGTGCTCCGGGATGCGTTCACGGATGAAGCTCTACTCCTATTATTGTTACCATTGCTGCTGAGCGTTGGTGACGATGTAGAAGTAACTGGTAGAGTAGGAAGAAGCGATGGAGTTACGGAAGATTGGACAGTAAGGGGTGGAGAGGGTATCGCCCGTGGAGGTTGGATCCTCGTGGGCTCTAGCGCTGCAATTTCCTGGATCGTCAGAGGAGTGTCTAGAGGCAATTCAGTGACACTATGGTGCTGAGCTCTCACTGATTCCGTCAGATCTTCGGTCGAACGAGATTGCTGCGGTGGAACAATAGGTAGCTTTGAGGATGTCAACGTGCTTGCTGGCGCGGATCTTGGAATCGTACGTATTGTTAGCTCGGAATCCTCAACCGTATGTGGTTGTGCATCTCCTTGCTCGCCTTGCCCTAGATCTTGCTCCCGCGACGACTGATGTTCAGAATGTCGTTCTAATCCTGGTGATTCTTTATCTCGAGACTCTTGCATCTCCCTCAGCTCCGAGTCCCCTCCATCATCTTCACTACCCTCTTCATTAAGCTCCTCAGCACCACGTGACAGTTGTTGAAGTTGGTCACCTTCAGACACCCGACCCCGCTTTTTCCTCTTAGACTTGAGCCAAGCTTTAGCTTTTGCTCTAGTCGATCCATGTCGCCTGATCTCTTTGTTGAGATGGCCTGGATCGGAGAGTTCACGGCTGTTTCGAGGACTACGCTGTATTTCCGAGCTCTGACGGCTGTTGCTGTCCTTTGCAGAAGCTTCTAAATGTGTTCCTGCCTCTAGGATACCGGTCGCAGCGGATGATTGCGTTGACGACCCGAAGGACATGGCTCGAAATGCTCCTGCAAAACTACGGAAAGTGGCAGACGTTGAGGGAGATGCTGGAGACCCAGATAGAGAGGAAGCCTTCTTAAGCGATTCTCCACCACCAGCTACTGTGGTAGCATCTTCCCGATGTTCGTTCTTATCTCGTTCCAGATCGCTTGATTTTGATGTCGCACGGCTCAAAAGAAGCGGCCGCTTAGGCCTCAAGCGACGCAACCCACTCAGGCCTTTGGATGAAGTGCCAAGTGCCTCAGCCAAATGACTGTGACTCTCTTCAATCTTCCCCACAGATTTGGGATGATCTAGATCTTCGTCTCTATCTCCTGAATACTCCATACGACTCTTCTCACCCATAATCGTTTCTTCTTCAAATGCTGCAAAGTCGTTTTTGTTATCATTAGTGTATGAATCCGAATCACTTCCTCCAGTATTAGTACTACTGGTACTATTATCGCTCACAGTGCTCAGTAACATGGGATTTCCCTTGCCAACATCAAAATGGTCAAGTTTCAACTTTTGATTCCGTTCCCTCTCTCGTTCTCGGCCGCGTTCTTTTTCCCGTTCCTTAACCTCTCGGTGCCGTCCAGGACTTGTATGATGATGGTGATGAATAGGTAAGGTTTTAGAGCGTCGATGTGGGCTTGCTCGTCCATTGCTGTTGCGTTTCCTACGGTTTCCGCTACCATTGTGAGATATACCATCTATAATAGTATTTGAGTCCGATCGTCCAAACGCTGCTAGAGCGGGGTCGATCATGGCCGCACTCTTAGCACTCCAGTACTCAAACCATTTTTTCCATTTCTTCATCCCTTGTGATGTTGTGAACTGAATTGTCCCAGTGCCATTATCACCCTGACTCGATTCATCTCCAGACATGACGAGTCTACCTAAACTCTTACTATCATAATGCTGTGATTGGTAACAACGAGACTTCTCCGAAAAATCCTCTTTCCTTGAATCGTACTGTTCAATAGGCTGCAGTTTTTCTGCATCGGATGACACTTGAGATGATAAAGATGCAGCTCGAGAGGTTTTCATTTTGTGCGAGACCGTAGTGCCTAGTTGTGTAGATGACGGATATGCAGAAGTATTTCTACGAGGAACCCGAGAAGTCCTACTACTGCCGTCACCTTTGGGAGTAGTTGCAAGAGATTGTCGAGAGCTTCGAAAGTTGTTCTGAGAAGAAAACGCTTCACCGTCGTCCGATGCCCCACTTGAATAGAATGTCTGCGCTCCAGACTGAGCTAAAAACCCGCCCTGATAAAGCCGGTTATTGAAAACCAAGTGGTAATAGAGAAAGGACTTGAGCAAAATTTCGTATAGTTTACCATCCACGTACGCGAGAAATGATGTGTCTTCTGAAAAGATATCCATGTCCTTGAACATAGCTTCTAAGAAAACCCCGTCCGTGTAATGTTGCGCGTTAATCCAAGCCATCGTATCATAGTTTAGTATACAAATGCCAGATCCCAGGAATTTGGGGTCAATTTTGCTCGAGTCGACGCCTACAAGACATAGTTTTTCCATATCCGATAGCTGCAACAGCCCAGGCCCTTGGTGCCAAGTCATTATCTGACGCTGATGTTCAATCAGCTGTTCTTCTCTAGATGGATATCCGGCATGTGGTAGAAATGTTGCCAAAACCGACACTAGTTTTCTGACTTTGGCTTCGCTATCGCTTTGTCCCATGATGCAGACTTTTCGGCCGCTAAGGAGAGCGAAAACCAAATCCTTAGCCGCTACAGGATCTTTTTGTAGAGTATCAAGCACAATGGTTGGAGAACAGGCTGTCTGGACTGGTCCTGTGGCCATCATGCCTACATTGGCACTCTGTGCAGGATGGCGGTTTTGCATTCGATGAAGTGAGTTACCGCTCGCTAGCAAGTGATCCCCTTGATGTAGCCCGGTGCCAAAAGACCAGGGTGTCTGTTGAGTTGCTGCCGCAAGGTTTGTACTCCCCTTTGCATGATGGAGATTCTGTTGTTCCTGATGCCACTCTACGACTCTTGCAGAGCGATCCAAGGGCGCAATGACAAAGGCATCACGCGTTGGCGTATCTGTTTGTGTTGCCACCCCTGTAGCTGCTGTAAAGAAGGACTCAGCGTCGTCTAAAGAATCATATCCCGTCTGCTCATCATCAGCATCTTCTGCATCCATTACTTGTCCATCCCTTCGCTCCTCAACTGCAGTTTCATCAAGCACTACGGTTGGCAACGGCTCTTGATTCTTCACTGTATTAATTTCCTGGGTTGATGGTCTGTCCTCAGAGGGTACGCTAGTGATCGACATGCCATGTATTAGCTCTATCAGTGGTGCAGATGTCTCTTGAAGTTGTGTCGTACGAGTGGTAATTCTAAAGAAAAAAAAAAAAAAAAAGGAAGAATATGCGTGACTAAACTTTAGTATTCCTTTCAACAAATCGTGGTTTTATATCAACTCAGGATGTATGGTCAAATGTTTCTCACCTATTGAAGTCTGGGTTCCGAAAGTTAATCATAAATCTAGTAACATGAGTTGAGAATGAGAAAGCTTATTTAGTAACGTAATCCGACTACATTTCTTTCTCCTTCTTTTCGTCTAATCTCGAGAAACCTAAAAAAAAAAAAAAAAAAAAAAAAAAAGTCCGGTCAGTTTTTATATATATTTATACATACCTTTGCCCTATCGTCAAGCCAGAACTTGTAGGGTGCATGCGCTTGATACAGTCCATCATGTCGCCTAATAGCTGATAATCAACTTGAAACTCCTTGAGAATGTCCTTGATCTTTTTAATACCCAGATGAAACTGAATAGACGAGTTCCAGACCATGTTGGCAATGCACAGCTCGCGTAAAGGCCGAAATACGACTTCATCACGATAGGCAGGGTATAATGAGGTCGCATATTGAGCCTCGTACTCTGGCATTTCATTCATCATCGATTCATAATCTGATACCACTGAGTTCTTTCGTGATTGATCTTGCTGAAGTCCTAACAAATGAGGAGGAATTGGTGAAGCTGCTAATCCCTCTGTCATCGATAGCATCCCAGTTGAATCCAAGATCCTCGATGACGTTGAACCAGAAACATTGGGCGTCGATGCTTTACGTCGTATCCTAGAGGATGGCCGTGAAGGGGCCCCCAAGAATAGAGAGGAATCTGCTCCTACTGCTCCTACTGCTCCTGCTGTTCCTGCTACTCCCGCTATTCCTGTTCCTGTTGCCCCTGCTGCTCCATTACTACGTCCTGCAGCCAACATGGCCAAGTTCTCAGACGAAGTCATGGGTGATAGATCCGAGAGAGGGACCATAGATGGGAGAGCTTCATGTCCATCATCTGGATGGCCTAACAGCGGTTGACCATCAACAGAATAATGTTCTAGTACACTAATAATATGCGTTGCGGTTTCAATGGCGTCTTTAATAGATTCAAGGTCCGACTTTTGTTGTTCACTCAAGCTATCCTGTTGGCTCCTTTCTGCTGATTCTACTTCCTGCTTCTGCTCCTGCTCCTGCTCCTGCCTCTGTTCCTGCTCCTGTATGACTTGCTTTTCATCGTCCTGCTTCTTTTCCTTCGTGCCCCCTTCTTCCTTTTCAGTACCTTCTGAAACGCTCGACGACTGTGAAAGACGAAGAGCGAGAATTCCTTCACTTGTTTGTGATGGTGATGATGTGTTAACATTCTTCGAAGGTAGTTGTGGTGGTGGTGAAGAAGAGGAAGACCGAGGGTTTTGTGGTCCTGTAGAACTTTCAGTATGTGTATTAGTCATAGCTGCTGTAGTAGTGGTAGTAGTATTATCGGTAGAGTAAGAATTAGCTGTTGCAGAGGAGAATGTCGATTGATTAGATTCTGATTGGGATGGTGGCGGTGATGACGGTGCCTCTGACAACAGATTATTAGTGTAGTTCAAGTCGCGCAGTTTCTTGGTGAGGTCCTGCCTGAACAAAGTATAGTTGCCAGCCTTGAAGTAAAGAGCTGCTTTGCTGAATTTATGCCTCAGATCGTTATAGTGTGCTAAAATCTTACGGGGGTCCCGCGTAATGTAGGACATATAAAATGGTCGAACAAATCCTCGAGCGTTGATGTCAAACAATGTAAAGTGATGTACCTATTAGAAAAGAGAAGTAAGGAAAAGAAAGCATTGTCGGAGCAAAATAACAGAAATAATAGTACAAATCAATCACAGATGTTATTGACGCTGACATCTGATTAAAGAAAAAAAGGAAAGAAAAAAAGTTGGCTTACATATGCCCAGTAGCCCTTTTCGACATCATTGATGTGAACCTCAATGTCCTCTGGGATATGAAAAGCTCCCGATCTTGGAGGAGAAAAAAAAAAAAAAAAAAAAAAAAAAAAAAAAACAAGGATAATGAAAATATACAAAAGTTTCTCGGTCAGAAAAATTTTGATGTTCACTTTATCCCTGCTACATAAAGAAGGGAAAAAAGAAAGAAGGAAAATGAAAATACATACGTTTCCCTGACCTGCTGGTCCACCGAAGTAATCCGAAGAACGAATTCATGAATATCAAACAAATCGCATGTATTTTCCTGTATACCATTGCTCTCAGGAGCCAAGGTTGAAGTACTAGCATCGGAAGGATCTTGTGAATGTTTGGGTGAAACGGGCGAATCCTGAGCCCGCTGCTGTTTCGAAGATGAATAAGAATCGCGTGTCAAGTCCACAATGTTGTCCGGTATCGTCATCACCGCTCTTGGGCCTTCAACCTCTGAAAATTCAGAAATAAGCACAAAATCTGGTAGATCTGCTGACTTTTTGGAATACCACCATGCTCCTGATGGAGGGTCCAAAGATAGTCCATAATGTTGCTGCTGCCCTCGAAATCCCAGCCCAGTAGATGAAGAGCTACTATTTTCGACAGGAGAGTTGTTGTTGTTATTGTGGGGAGGTTTGAGACCGCTACTGATCGAGTCAAGAGTCGTACCTAGCTTTGATGTAGGAATTTGTTTGGAAGAATTATGAGCACTGCTTGTGGTCTCTGAGTGAGAGGTTATTAAACCACCCGGAATACTACGTTGATTTGGACGGGACCCTGTGGAGAGTGGGTATGGGGCGGCATGGGTGGTTTCAAAATGTGAAGTAGGCGAAGCTGTATCAATCTGCGATGTCGATGCAGATCTGGGCAAAGTTAGCATGTGAGCGGGGGGTGAGTTTGACGGCAGTTGTGGCTGTGGCGGAGAAGAGTGAGGTGTTGAAGATGCTGGCGTAGCTGAGGTTGGAGCTGCCGTAGATGGTCGTTGGGGAAGTGAGGAGGAAGAAGATGAGGCCAGGATAGTGGACTCGTGATCGTCACAGTTATTGTCAAGGGATTCTGGTAAGGCACTCCAGCTGAACATGATTCATTCAAGCACGAGCAGAGGTAAACATGCACACCTATGACGGGTAGGCCGACAAAAAAAAGGGTGGAGTAGGTATCTGCTCCTCCTCCTTTATTAGAATCTCTTTTGTACAAATGCAGACGCAGGTGCAGGCAGGCAGGTGAGTCAAGCCGTTAGTCAGACAAGAGTTTCTGAGTCCCAGAACAAAAGCTGGCCCGATCGAGTGGGCGTGGAAAAGGTAAATAGGAAAGTCGTGTGGGGCAAAACACTGTTTGCATGCATTGTCTGCATGCGTGTATGAACAAAGGATGGTCCAAACTCGATCAAATTTTCTCTCTTTTTCTCACTTAGACGAAGAGCAAATTATGGGAGCAGCATTCAGGTAGGAATGAGATGGACGGGATGGAAGACGATGCAGTTGCAGACTCTTTTTGGGCGAGGCCTCGACAAGTGCAGTAAGTATCACCTGACTGTGCGCACCATTCATGGCATATTCAAAACACGCTTTTATTGATTTCAGTTGTGTTCTCTATGAGTCCTTGCTCCACACAAACAGCGACTTGTCTCTCAGTACCTTACGTCCCATTAGTTCCCACTCCAGGGGTTTGATCCACATTTCCTTAGCCGTCTCCAGCTTGCTGAGTACTGATCCTCCCTTCCAAACTAACAGCCGTGGATCCATGTCACGCGGTGATGGCAGAACCTCCACTTTCTCAACCGTCGTCAACGTTGCTGGTAACGCTTGGAATAGTCTACCAAAGTTTAACATGTCACATTCAAATCTTAATTAATTTTGTCCGCTCGCGGATTCATGCGTAATTATTATTATTATTATTATTATTTTCCTTTTTTTTGCTTACCTGTCCTCAAGTACACGATCAAATCCCTTAATCATACCACCACCTCCAACCAAAATAATGCTCCCATACAGCTTCTTAGACCGTTCTTCACTACCACAATTTGAGATCGATTGCGCAACTACAACATCCAGCGCTACTAAACTTGAGAAATGATCCTTGCCGATCGTTCCTGCAATCTCCCATGACTTGTTCGTCGTCGTGACAGAAGGCTCCATAGCAAAAACCACGATAGGTGGTTCAGCCGGTACATTAGGTCCAACCGGTGCTGGTGTCGACCCCGATCCTGCGGTTGTCGATGGACCAGAAGGTACGGGCGTAGGTGCGGGTGTAGGTGCTGGTGTTGCGCCAGGCGTTCCAACTGTGGGCGTTGCATTTCCATTGACACTTGTTTCTTCACCAACCACCGATAATGATGGAGTGCCGGCTCTGGCAGCAGCAGCTATAGCCGCTGCATTCGTTTTCTTTTGTGCTTGGTTAGTCAAGGAAATCTAATAAAAAAGATGAAGAGAAAAAAAAAAAAGGACACGCGGCATTTTAGCGTGGCTGAAGCTTATAAATAATTACACCTGACAATCAATCCATAGAGCTGAAAAAGATGACGACGTACTGGTGGAGCATCCTCATTGATATCCTCATAGTTTGTAACCTTTGCAAAATTAGGGTTGATCTCGCGCTCTTCAATCCATCGGCGAATGACGTTAGGGAAAAATAAACACTAGAAGGCGACAAGAGAGTGAAGGCAATTCCTGTAAGTATCATTTCAAATAATGATAGGAGTAAAAATGAAAAATAAAAAGGAAATCTTTGATAACTAACCATTGGAGATAACGCAACTTCATCATACACCTTGACTTGATATTTTAAGGTCTGTTTTTCGGGGCGCCGTACAAAAAAGCTGTACACTTGGACGGTCAGATCCGCCTCATTCATTGTACACCATTTTTCTTTTAATTCCTCCATTAAGCGCCAGTCATACGTCTGAGCAAGATCTAGTTCCTCGTAAGGAAAACCCATCCGCCTGACTAGGGCTGCAAAGATTCGCGTAATGTCGTCACCTCCATACTTGAGCATTGCTCTTGAATTAGGAATGCAAATACCATCTTCTACACAAGATATCTTGGTTACCTCGGCCCCAATATCGACAACGCATGCAGCTGACACTCCTGCACCAAATGACGCACAAACAGATTCTTGTTGGATCATTACGCCTCGGAACTGCATCGACTTGAGCAACATGTTGACAAGTTCACTCACATACAGTTTGTTATAAAGATCTGGAATGACCAGGAGTGCATAGTGTTTCTAATCCATGTTATAGAAAAATAAAATAAAATAAAATAAAATAAAATAAAATAAAATATTAATCGACGTAGTTAAATGATCTTCAGTTCTTAGTAAATCAAGGACTTTCCTCCAAGCATACCCTCAACTTCTTCGGGTCAATCCCAAGGTCCTCCTCTATGACCTTTGTCCATATTGCCTCAAGATCAGATACCACTAGGCGTGGAGTTGCATAATCTCGATCATTTAGCATGCCGCTAACGATAGGCCAGAATAGTTTGAAATTGTGATCTTTACTGGGAGGAAGGTTAAGCGCCTAATGTGAAGAATCGTTGATATTGGGAGAGAATTAGTACACTACAGAAAGAGAAAGTGTGGTTGATTAAAGGGCCTTCAGTAAATTACCTTTTGTCCAATAATAAATTCACCCTCCGCTTTAGGATCAGTCCACTCGACTTTATACGGGTCATTGTGATCCAAGATCTTTTCTGGCCGTGTAGAGGTATTGAACGACCGAACCTGAGTTCTGGCATTAGGGACTGGCCGTCGCTTTGCAGCCTTCATACGTAGTTTAAGGTCATACTCGATGTCTTGAAGATATCTGTCATTGACGGCCTGCAGTACCAATAATAATGATTAGATGTCAATCGACCTAGTTCACGTCGCACATGTCTTATCTGACAATTAACTTTAAGTGATAGTGTAGTGCTTACATCCTGAATGTCTGAAGCATCGTCTTCATGCCCGTCAACATCCATGGCGTTATCTTCATCGACTTCCACATCTCCATTTTCTGTGCCTGACTGAGCCGCAACAGCCTCTAATTCCGTTTCACGTGTTGCTGCTGATTCGGCCGCCTTAAGTTGCTTATGATCTGTGGAAGTAACAACAAGTGTATGTATCCTCCGAGCGATACAATGTGGAATGGCGATTGGATAGGCATCTGATGCTCTACCAATCCGTAGTATCCGAGACCCTGGGTGGATTACGATGGTCTTTTTGCCGACTTCAGAAGACTAAAAATAGGTCGCTCATTTTAGTTTCCAAAAAAAGCACATTCCTAAGATATTGGAAAAGCTGATATTCTCTTTTTTGAACGTACCGATTTTGCTTCACCATTCTCATCTGTTTCATTCACAACACTCTCCTCTGAGTCACTGTCACTGGTATCTAGATACTCGTCCTCATCATCCTGTTTCTGGTCATCTACATCGTCATCGACTTTATCTAGCTTTTCATCATCTTCATCATCGTCGTCATCTGCAAAAATCCCTCTCCGGATAGCTGTAAATTTGTCATTCTTCTTCTTTTTTAGCGTTGCATTCCCCTCTGTTTCCTTGTCCTTGTCTTTGTCCAAGGCTTCAAGTTCATTCTCATCTCCTTCATTTGCATCCTTGTCTCCTCCCTTTTGAACAGTCCCTTCGTCAGTCTTACGCTTGCGGCGCTTCTGTATACGTGACATGTCTTTGAGGACAAAATTTTTTTCGGTCTTTAAGAAATTACTAGTTACATTTCGTGTTGGTAGTTGAGTCATGGCTGCAAATGTTGTGAATTTAAACTGGGGAATATAACTCCGTACAGGAACTGGCGGTGGAGGTGGAGGAGTTAGCGCTGTTAGTGACTCAGCCGAGGTTTTGACTGCTGAGTTATTAGCTGATGATACAGTGCCTTCTATAGGCGCTTCGGTAAGTGAGTGAGCATCTGTCGCTGTGACTGTCTGATTGACATCGACTTCGTTGGCGTTAGCTGACCTAGAAGTTGGCGCTTCTGCTTCAGAGAGCTTGAGGGGATTAGGATGAATTGATTGGTCTGTAGTTGTTTTTATTAGCGATCCTGTCGAAGTTGGCTCTGTCACAACATTAATTTTGACATCTGGTTCATATTTATCTGGTTTGACAGATCTGGATGTTGCCTCATGTTGTGATGCATTTTGATCTATAGTGCTATCATCACTGTTTTGTTGAACATCGGGTTCTATATTGATCTTTTTCTCCTCTAATGGTAATGTCTTGTCGATATCGATCTTGGATTCTTTGTCTACAACATCGCTCTGATTTGTCTCCTTATTATCTATCACATCGTTATTTGCTGAACGATCCGCTGTACTGTATTCTGCCTGAGAGGACAAAGTATCTTCGTTTTTAGTCCGAGCAGCCTTCGATGGGTAGCTATGATTAACAGTGCCTTGTTCAGAGTGATCATGGTCATTCCCATTATGCGATGAGGTCACTTCTGAAGCTAAAGTGGTTAATTTTGAATCGAATTCTTTCGTGGAAACTAGTTGTTCTGCACTCTGGTCTGATGAAGACGTGATTGTGCTATCTTCTGCGTCTGTTACTGGTCTTGCGTCCTCCATGTGGACATCCTCCATGGCTGAATAACAACAGGCAGGATGTTCAGATGGAAGAAAATAGAGGGTTGATGATTGTACCTCTTTTTTGCCCATGCATGAGCATGGCTCAAGGGTACGCTTCTGAGGAGACTGCTTTTCTGTAAAAGTGGCTTTGTGATGGTTTGGGTTTCCATGAGATGATCCTCTTGAATTCCTTCACTTGTTAAACTTATGGTGTTTTGTAGCAGCTTATTATTACTGCCTTTACAAAGCCTTTACATAGTCTTTACAATGGGCGTTAGAGTAGGTCCTAATGAAGTCTTTAAATATATTCATTCCATTCCTTGGCGCTCCATTCGAGATGTCCGAAGACATTTCAAGAGGCACGGTTTCAGCTCTTTTTAAATTTTTGGTCAGCATTAACAGTGTCACCAAATGTTGGCAGTCTGCAATATATATAAATATAAAGCATTAGAGATGAGTCTATATCGCACAATGTATGATGGACCGGCTGAATGGTATTTCGGCCAATGTTTGCACCAAGGAAGAGAGAAAAAAAAAAAAAAAAACTATGAATGCTCAAAGTTGTCTAGATAAACTTTCTTTCTTTCTTTGATACTTTTTCAATTGGAGAGACATTTTCACTTTGAGATCATGGAGAAGACCTTTAAGAAGTCCCTCACTTGTTTGGTTCCTTCTTTTTGTGGATATTTGGATAAAGACACAGCTGTTTCTAGTTGTAGTAGTAATGAATCAAACACAGAAAGAAGTAATATAAAGGAAATGAAAAATAAAAAATAAAAGATCTGTCTATTTTCAGGATGTGCAGATGACTTTCTTTGCCTTTTTAGTTCAACCTGAACACGGATGGAAAACCAAGAATGCTTCCAAACAATAAAAAAAAGGTTTGGTCTAATTCAATTCAGAGAAAGAGGGGCAGCTGGGTGTCGATTCCCGCATTTGGTTCCTGTGCCACATGCACACAAAATGACAAACATGTAAACACGAAAAGGATAAACTCTGAATGGCTAGGAGTTCTCCCGGTAATATATATTATTATATACTTTCTACAGCAATTGACGAGGCAAAAAGGACTTTTATGCTTGTATATATTTACATCTAATGCTCTTTCTCTTCACTCTCTACTTTTCGCTCCTTCTTAATTTCATTGCATTTCTCATTCCATCCATCCCATCCATCATTTTTTTTTTTTTTTTTTTTTTTAAAAAATTTTTCCTTGTTACAATTGCACAGCATTTCGTCTTTTTTTTTTTTTTTTTTTTTTTTTTTTTGTTTATACCGGATTCTTCCACTTGATCACTTACTCAGCCAATACAGGCTCACTTCACCATAAATCGTATTGGTTGTATATCAACTCAATGAACACAACATTCAATTCCTTTGATTCCTCTTCTCTATCCTCATCAAATGCACCTCAAGTCTCGTCGGAGGCCAAAAAACGAAAACCATACACGAAGAAAGACACAGCATCCACATCCAGTATGAAGAGCAATAGAAATAACAACAATAACAGAGGTGAACGAATGACCTTTGAGTTGGACGATGTATTACGGAAATATTCTCCAGAACAGTTCAAAACATGTAAAGCTTATGACGTTGGTGGTGTTAACATCCTCAACAAGAAACCTGTCGACTCTAAAACTGCGTTGGACAAGATCAAGCGTAGGAGGGAGACTCACAATCGGGTGGAACGCCGCCGTAGAGACTGCATTAATCAGGTATAAATATAAACTCTGTCGCAATGAGAAGTCGACTTATCAGATTTTATTGACTTGAACAAAGTTATTCACTCATCCCTCTTTCATACACAATAAAAAAAACAACAATGATATCAACAATAATTTCTATCTCTTGCAGCTCATTGACGAGCTCACTTCATTGCTCCCCAAGAACGACGATGACAGTCAGTCGAAATGCCATCGCGTTAATGTTCTGCGTACAGCTGTAGAACACATTCAAAATCTGACTCGTCAGAACGACCATTTAAACAAGCAGCTAGAGGCTCTACAAACGGGTGCAACCATGCCTCCACCTCCACCTGCCATCATTACTACTCCTGCACCCACTACAAATATCAAGGAAGAAACTGAGGATGACTCGTTATCGCAATATTCTTACAGTTCAGAGGCCAGCTCGTCTTTCTATACTTCTCATGCCCTTCGCTCACCAATATCACCGCTGTCTCCAAGTCATTTTTCACCCACATCTAGTCCTAGCCTATCAGCGCAGCACAGTGGACAAACATTTTCCAGTTGGGAAAGTCATTCCCTTACACATTTGCCACCATTAAATCTGTCAGGCACAATCTCTACTAATCCATCTACTTCTCGGCCCATAACGCCATCATCGCTGCCTTCGCTGAGCGAAATCTCTGCTAATTTGCCATCTATCCCTACGATCATTGAGCCATCGAACCCTGTATCATCGCCATCCATGGATATGGACGGCAATAATAGTACTACTGGATCTCATGCAAAGCGACTGCATCGACAAACACTTCCTAGATTACAGTTAGCGCCTCCGTCATTTCATCATCTCCATCCTAGTAGCAATCAAAGCGGTGTACCGTCTTCACCATCAAACTATGGACAAGATTCGTTAACTTCGCCTGCATCAGCACACTCAGCATACTCATCAACCTCTGGATCATGGTCATCCTCGTCTTCATCCTTTGGCCCGTTCTCAACCGCATCTTCTCCGGGCCCGCTATCACCATATGGAGGAACAAGCCCACGATCACCGGGATACTCACCTCATGGACTTCCATCAACAAATCTATTGTCTACCTCCTCTAGCTATCCACATTAAAAAGTTTAGTGCCTGTAAAAGTAAAAATAAAAAAAAGACGCTATTGTTTGAGCTTTTTCATTCTTATTCTTTGGAAGATAAAATAAAAGAAAGAAAGAAAGGACAAATACATGTTTGTGAAGGGCTTCTCTCAGATGGCGTAAACGGAAATTTCTTGGGGCATTGGGTAGCTTCTGCTATACTATGTCATTAGGTTTAGTGCCGATGAGTTAGTGAGGTTCCAAACTAATGAGAATTAAGTGACTTATTCTAATTCAAACCATGGTTCTCAATGCATCCCCTATCCACGTTGGCCTGCCACATGAGCTTGGACCTGAACAGGTCGTTGACGTCAAGTATTTTGCTTTTTTTTTTTTTTTTTTTTTTTTTTTTAGTTCGAGATTGGCCTATTTTGGAAGGCCCTGCCCAAGGAGCTGTGGACCTTGCCCTGAAGAAACCTCTACAGTACCCTTTATGCAAGTGTACCTTTCTTATCATGTCGTGTCACTCTTACCATATGGCTTTTTATTTCTTTTTGGTCAGACCCTATTTGGAAAGGAAAAAAAAAAAAAAAAAAAAAAAAGGGGAGGGGACTTGGAGCTAATCCCACCATTTCCGAAGGTGCAGTTTTTGACCACATCGTACATTTAACTGCGTTATTCTACTTCGTTTACGATATGCATTGAGGACCCTATAGAGGGCATGTGTATCAGTAATCCTAAGAACACGAACAGACATTAGAATTATTTCAAACTACAAGAGTATGTGTAGTCTAGCTTGACTTGGAAATAGGACGCGTCCACCTATCTAGGGTCCCTGTTTTCAATGAGTGTATAGTGGGGAAAAAAAAAAAAAAATGATGTGAGTGTGGTGCTTGATGATACTTGCACGTGCCTAGGGCCCTTTAATCTAATGTATGAGTTATTTTGGTTATTTTCTACTTTTTTTTTTTTTTTTTTTTTACCAGACTCTTGGATGGTCCAAACACTCTTCTTCTATCGTTCATTTGAAGGAACAACAAGCAAACAAACGAATAAACAAAAAGAACAAAAGGGACAAAAAAAAAATAAAGGATCCATTCAGGCTGGTTAGCATTCTCCTATTCGTTAAAAAATATATTTAGTTGTTTTCAGGAACAGTACGTTTTTTTTTTTTTTGCTTTTTTGCTTTTTTGCTTTCTGCTTTCAGCACTGACCACGAGTGATTCGCGCTAAAAAAAGATTGTGGTGTAACAACGCCGCCTACCCTTGAATTCGCGTTTTATTAAAATTGGATCGTTGATATTCCATCATGCACTTTGAATAATCTGATTGGGTCAAAAGAAAAAAAAAAAAAAAACGCAGCCAATATGCGAGAGAAGGAATATCGTGTTGTTAATGTAACAAAGAATACCGTAATACTCACTAAAAGGAAAAAAAATAAAAATAAAAATAAAAGCCATAGAACGAACAATAGAATAATGCATATACACATATAACAGTAGTAAAAGCACACTAGTTCTAGACTACTATGAGGATAACTCTTAATAAACGCGGCACATGACGTCAGGAGATCAAGCAGAGACGGTGGCCAAAAAAAAAAAAAAAAAAAAAAAAAAAAAATCCCAAGCGGGGTACTTGGGCCTTCCTGCAAGGGGAACCGTGCTCGAACCCTGATGTAACCTTTTTTTTTTTTTTTTTTTTTTTTTTTTTAATAGCGTTATTGCATTATAGTGTCCATGTGTCGCGTTTTTCAGCTTCTTCTTATTGCTCTTTCTCCCCCTGTCTATCACCCGCACCCGCTCAGTCCTTCCGTTGAACGTTTCCTTCTTTTCCTCAAAGGATGGCTGATATGGGAAGCAAACGAAGAGACAAAAAAAAAAGCTATAAAATATCGATGTCAAGTTCACATTTTTTCCTCTTTTTTTTTTTTATTTTTTTTGTTCTCCATCCTTCACTCACTCTCTTGCGTTTTTAACAACTGTTTAATCCTTTCATTAATTTTAACCAAACCAAACCAAGCCAAATCAAATCAAACCGATCTCCATATCCCTACCACAAAAAAAAAAAAAAAAAAAAAAAGAAAAAAAGAAAAGAAAAACGTAAAGAAGCCATGCATCCACGTACTCTCATCCTTGCTACCGCTACCGTGTTCAGTGTGCTCGGCACAAATACTGTCCAAGGAGCAGCTATTAAAAGAAATGTTGCTCTGTTGAGCCCCAACATGGCGCAAGCGGCCAAGACCCCTTCGCTCTATCGTCGTGGTTACGACGATGATGATGACGATGAAAATGATTACGACAGAGATTGTTGCCGTCGTCGTCGTCGACGTCGTGGACACAAAGGCAGAAATGGCGACCATGGTGATGATAAAGATGATCACGATGATAAGGACCACGATGACGAAGATGATCACGGTGACAAGGACCATGATGACGAAGGTGACCATGATGACAAGGACCATGATGATGAAGATGACCATGATGAAGATGACCATGATGACAAGGACCATGGTGACGAAGATGACCACGGTGACAAGGACCATGGTGATAAAGGCGACCACGGTGACAAGGACCATGGTGATGAAGATGATCACGGTGACAAGGACCATGGTGACAAAGATCATGGTGACGAAGATGATCACGGTGATAAGGACCATGATGATGAAGATGACCACGGCGACAAGGACCATGGCGACGAAGATGACCACGGTGATAAGGACCATGGTGGAGAAGATGACCACGGTGATAAGGACCATGGTGATAAAGGCGACCACGGCGACAAGGACCATGGCGACGAAGATGATCACGGTGATAAGGACCATGATGATGGAGGTGACCACGGTGACAAGGACCATGGTGACGAAGATGATCATGGTGACGAAGATGATCATGGTGATAAGGACCATGGTGATAAGGACCATGGTGACAAGGACCATGGCGATAAAGGCGACCACGGTGACAAGGACCATGGTGACGAAGATGATCACGGTGACAAGGGCCATGGTGATGAAGGTGACCACGGTGACAAGGACCACGATGACAAGGACCATGGTGACGAAGGTGACCACGGCGACAAGGGCCATGATGATGAAGGTCACCGTGATGACAAGGACCATGATGACAAGGACCATGGTGACAAGGACCATGGTGACGAGGGTCATGATGATGAAGATGGTCACGGTGGTAAGGGCCGCGATGACAAGGGCCACGATGACAAGAATGGCCGTCATGGCAAAGATGGCAAAGATGATAAGGAGGATAAGCCTGACATGAGGGGAAAGGATGATAAGGAGAATGGCAAAGAGAAGGAGAAGGATGACAAGAAGTCAAAGAAAGAAGAAGAGACCTCCACCTCTCGTCCTACTACCAAGCCTAAGGCCACGGTGACAAAGGCAGAGGTCGTTCCTACATCATGGACGACCGGCTGGACTTCTACAAGGACATCTATTGTCACAGTGGCCCCTACCACAGGTGCTGGAACGCGTGTAGCCACGCCAACACCTACCAAAAACGCTGGAGCGAGTGTCAAGAAGCAAGGCCAGGTTGCATTGGGATTGCTGTGTGTTGTTGTGGCAGCACTTTTGTACTAAAAGAAAGTTTAGTTATTTATTCAGCTTGTTAGAAGCACTATTTAATAAAATATAATTGATTAATTATTAAACTAAACTTCATTCCTCTGGACACAAATGTTGCAAATGTTTATTGGTTCGTAAATGTCTGTACTGGATATATGAAAGAGTTGCTATTGATCTATGGATTTGTCATACATGATCGCGTTTTTCCTACCAAATTTACATGAGATCTGAACGGTCACATCTCTTTTTGTCAGCTTTGTAATGTACGCCCAATGAAATCCCGAATTTTCTGTCCGATGTCTGCGCACAGGGTCTGTTTCTTTCCTTCTGGTTCTCTTCATTGCTCGCCCGCATCCCTGATCTCATTCCGACTCTCTCTTTCTCTTCCTTTTCCTCTTCCTCTTCCTCTTCTTCTTACTTCATTTACCTCAAAAAGTCTCATTCCTTATTTTCTGTAATCTCATGCATTCTCGTGTCTTCTCATCGGCCCTTATAGGATCTGCGCGTGTTGCCAGAGCTGCAACTTCACGCCACGCTGGTGTGCCTGCTCTGGCACTCACCTCTCGAAAACGTATGTCAATTATATTATCAAATGTCTTTTTTCTCTTTTTTTTTTTTGCAAGCTTTAAAGAAAAGCAAAAAAAGTCAAGCCTAATAAAAGTCTTTGCTTTTTTTTTTTTTTTTTTTTTTTTTTTTTTCCCTCTTTTCTACTTGTGTTGTAGTACTCCATACTTCACTCTGGAATCCATCGTCCTCTAATGCATCAACAGCAACATCACATTCTTCCAGTAATCCCCCTATGGCATTTCCCTGTGTCGATCAATTGGAGCAACGTACTCAAAAGTTCCTTCAGTCATTCGACGGAGGACCCGAACCTTCATACAGTAACCCCATCTCAGGATACAGTCTTTATCAACACAATGAGCCATTTCTGTTGGATCATGGAGGAATCCTTCCTAAATTCGAGATTGCATACGAAACGTGGGGAGAACTGAATGAGGACAAATCCAATGCAATTTTGCTTCACACAGGATTATCGGCTTCATCACACGCAAAATCACACCCACAAAACACAACGCCAGGATGGTGGGAAAAGTTTATTGGGCCTGGATTAGCCATCGATACCAATCGGTTTCATGTGATCTGCACTAATGTCATCGGGGGTTGTTATGGATCCACAGGTCCTTCATCGATCGATCCCAAGGATGGAAAGCCTTATGCAACCCGGTTTCCTATCGTGACCATTTTTGATATGGTCAGAGCTCAGTTCGAAATGCTCGACGCTATGGGTATTAAGAAGCTGCATGCATCCGTTGGAGCTAGTATGGGTGGTATGCAATCCTTAGCGGCTGCGCTGCTCTTCAAGGACAGAATTAGCAAAGTCATTAGTATTTCTGCTGCTGCTCGATCTCATCCATATAGCATCGCACTCCGTTTTACTCAACGCCAAGGTAAGGAAGTAATAACAAATTGTAGAAGAAAAGGCAGACTTATGCATGCATGTTCATGTCATTGCCATATCCATATAGATTTATAGTTTGAGACATTTTATAATTTACTCATTTACTCCCACGCTTTTTTTTTTTATTTGTTTCCACTAGTCCTCATGGCGGATCCAAACTGGAACAAGGGATTTTACTACGACAAGGTGCCTCCACACAGCGGCATGAAGTTGGCACGCGAGATTGCCACCATCTCTTATCGATCGGGACCTGAATGGGAACAACGTTTTGGTCGGAAACGATCTCAACCAACGACAACGCCATCACTTTGTGCAGATTTCTTGATCGAGACCTATTTAGATCATCAGGGTGAACGGTTCTGTCTACAGTATGATCCCAATTCATTGCTCTATGTTTCCAAAGCCATGGACATGTTTGATCTTTCTGCTTCCGTTTCTGCAGAGACAGCCCTGCGTCGAGCTCGAAACACTCTTCGACTTCAAGAAGGCAAGGGCTCTTCTGCTCCTGAGAATGCTGCTGTTCCACCTGAAGAAGAGCAACAGATAGCGTGCTCAACAGTCAATGCTGCAGATGTTGCTAAAAATGTTGTCCTAGATGATCCCAAGGCTCAACTTGAAGATCTGCAGGCAGGTCTCAGTGTGCTCAAGGACATTCCGACATTGATACTAGGGATTCAATCGGATATCCTCTTTCCGGTTTGGCAGCAGAAGGAAGTCGCTGATTGCTTGCGCCAGACAGGGAATAAGACGGTGACCTACTATGAACTTGACTCTATGTATGGTCATGATGCATTCTTGCTCGAGATTATCAATGTCGGAAGTGCTGTCAAGGGCCATTTAGAGCTCAAGTGATTCATATAATAGTGTTTTATTAATACAAATAATTTGGGGGTTTTTTTTTAAAAACAAAAAAAAAAAAAAAAAAAGCTTATCTTTATGCTTGTCAAATTAAGTGTTCAAAAGTGTATTCATAAATGTATACAAATACAAATTTATTATTGTCATTATCATCATTATCATTGGTATTGTTATTATTATTATTATTACTACTACGATTGTTGTTTGAAATTCTTTCTCATCTTCTTCATCAACGCCTAAAGGATTGTGAATATTGATCCATAATCTCGGCTAGGTCCGTCAGTCGCCGAACAAAGCCACGGGCATAACTCTTTGACATGATCCATTGTGTCATAGAACATACAGGGTTTATACAGGAAGGTGTATTGGGATTGCTGCCGTTGGACATTATATTGGCGGTGGCACTGGCACTGGCATTGATATTGGTATTGTCTTCGCTTTCCACACTGGAGTTGGAAGAAATAGGTGAATTGTAACTATTATTGCCGGCACGCTGGAGATCCCTTTGGAGTTGGTGATTCTGATGTTGTAGGGCTGCAGGGTGTGGATTGCCCAACAGGACAAGATTCGCTGCATTGGCAGTGGCAGTGGCAGTGAAAGTAGTAGTGGCAGCAGCAGTTGTAGTAGTAGTTGGAGTAGTAGTAGTTGCAGTTGCAGGAAAAGTATAGCCATTACCACTGTTGTTGTGACCATTGCCATTGGCAAAGGATATGGTTGGAAATACAGTAGGAGTAAAGGAATCCTGCACATCAAATTCATATTCCATTGCCACGCCAATCATTCCATAGCCGTTTGGGTTATCAGCACCGCTATTGTGACGATGGCTGTAGTAGTAGTTGTTATTGTTCCTACTGCCATGATCAGAAGAAGAAGAAGAAACATTGTCTGAAAAGGACAAACGATCGAGTTGTAATCGCCCTTGCAACTGATAATGAGATGGTGGCACAAAGAATGTGACTATTAGGACCCAACAGATCATGTAACCAATCCCAGATCCAAACAAGCACAAAAGCTTGGACCACAATGTCTCAATGCGGCCAAGAATTAGCGCCAAGAGCAGGATCGTGACTGAGAAAGGTGCTCCATAAAGAAGAAGCCAAGCAGAAGTGGAGATGTAGGTGGGGGAAAAATGTTGTGATTGAAGAAGCGCTCGTTGTCCTTGCCCTTGACCTTGACCTTGACCTTGACCTTGACCTTGACCTTGACCTTGACCTTGACCTTGACCTTGACCTTGACCTTGACCTTGACCTTGACCTTGTAGCTGTTGTGGTGGTCGTAAATGAACACCTGTTGATGTAGAAGAGGCCAGGGTAGGTGGAGATGAAGGTAAAGTTGTAAGATAGGAGGCCAAGGGGGGCGAAAATGAGGGAGAAGCTGGTGACAATGAGGAGGCGTATGAGACGGACGTTCGCCTCAGATCATACATGGACCGCCGCCGCTGTTGTAGTACCAAGTTTGATAAATTGTGTTGTAAATGAATGCTGTTGTTACGATTCCGATTTCGGCTTATTGGGCTGTTGCTGCCGTCGTTGACGGCTGCACTAATAAAGCCTGTCGTTGATGTTGATGTTGATATTGGTGTTAAAGTTGTGGTTATTCCTGGCTGGGTTTCTGTTGTTGTGATCAGTTGTGAGGAGGGTGATTGTGGTTTGGATTCCTCTGTGTCTGAGCCCATGAACGGCTGGTCCTTATGAAGAAAGCGGCACAACGGACAGATCATCTCTTTAATTCCCATGAACGCCACTCTGCAAGTGTCCCAAAAAAGAAATAGAAAAAAAAATGTATGATTAATCTCAAAAATACGAAAAATGTTGAGTGACATGCATGAAATGTCTGTCTGTTGACAAAGACAGAGAAGAGGTAGAGGATAGGGACAGCAAAAAAAAAAAAAAAAAAAAAAAGAATAATAACAATAGGAGAGCCATATTGTTGATATTGTTGCTGTTGTTCTTGTCCTTGTTTTCTTGCTGCCGTAGTTGAGAAATGGAAGGGCATTTTGGTCTAAATTAAGGTATCTATAGGATTTGTTTATGATTGTGGTTGCTCACTCGCAACTTGGTTTTGCTCAATCACTTTTTGCAATCTCTCCGTCCTTTCGTCATAACTTTTTCTTTTTCTTTTTTCTGCTTGTTCATATGCCATTAATCTGTTGCTTTTTTTTTTTTTTTTTTTTTTTTTTGGCTCTCGGTTTGTTTTTTTTTTTTTTTTTTCCCTTTCATTTGTTCGCTGTTCCTCACTTGTTTGTTAATGTTTGCCTGCTAATAGCGTGTTTTTTTTTTTTTTGGTTTGAAATTAATGACATTGATGGTTGGCCCCTTCGATATTAAATACCGCGGTGTTTGTGGGATGTGGTTTGTGGATTGTTTGTGATTGTGATTGTGATTGTTGGTATTTACGTAGAATGCTGGCGTGTTGTAATAGCACTAACGGTGTTATGTGTTCATTCCGTCCTTAAATAATAATAACAATAAAAAAGTTTCTGGATCGGATAGTTCGGATGAGTTGCATGGTCAAGTGCTCTATAGTAGAGTGATCCGATGGTCCAATGGTCGAATCTCTCTCATTCTTATACTCAGTTATATATCACTTGCTTTCATTTCATTTCATTTCAAGTCGCATGGTCGGACGTTGTTTGTTTAAATTAGCGAGATATTAAAAAAGCATGGTCTATTGCTCCCATGTCCGACACCAATGCCCTCTAATCTCATGTCGCTCTTTAACTACCTCTTTTTTAGTTTTTTACTTTATAATATATTTTCCATTCCTTTTCAACGTTTCAACTTTTCAATGGTCTCTGATGATTCCTTTTCTTTCCATCACTGCTGTTTAAACTGTTTATATTAATAATAATAATAATAATAATAATAATAAGATTGATTTTTGTTTACTTACGAGATGCATGAGAGATGAAATTCGTGTCGGCAGGCAAGAGTTGCTTTGGCATGATGGCTTGGACGTATGCTGTCCAAACATATTGCACAATCCGGGTTATCAGATTTATTCAGGGCTGTGGTTGTGATGCAGGGTGGGGTTGCTGCTGGATTATCTACAGTGTCTGTGCTGCAGATTGTTGTAAGGGAAGTTGTTGTTCCTGAAGCCATGCTTGGCGAATCGAACAATTGAACGCGATTCATTCAAACTAGATAAAAGTAACAAGAATCCGCCGAGAAAGCAAAAACACAGTCGAGTTAATTCGCAGGACTTGTTATTGTTTTCGTATTACAAGGTTACAAGGTGGAGAAAAGATAACAGGGATAAAAGCAATTGGAAAGGAAGCGCGTGAAAGATGGCCCAAAAAAAAAAAAAAAATAAAATAAAAAAAAAATAAAAAAAAAAAATTGGATGGATGGATGGTATATAGTACAGCACATGGTGTGCTATGTGGTAGATGCTGATGGTCTTAAAAGAGCAGGCTCTTGCCGTTTTTTTTTTTTTTTTTTTTTTTTTTTTTGTACGCACACATATACACTCACTCGCATGATCCTCACTCTATTTGAAAATGCTTTCCTCATCTCGGAGTACAACCCAGAGATGGATATACTCTTCTCTCGTCTCAATAGACAAAACCATGCGGTATGAGAGCCAAGCTTAATAGCATGGACCAGCAGAGAAATGAGAAATTAAAATAAATAGTAAAATAAAATAAAAACTTGTATACCTATTATCTTTGTTTCCAGTAGATCGAAAAAGGATGGTTTGAAAGAAAAAAGGATAGAAAGAAGATGTTTTGCAACAAAAGAATGATGAGGGGTAGAATTGTCTGCTTGGATAGATCAATGAATGTTGGATGGGTCAAGTGTTGATCCGTGCTTTTTTTTTTGGTCAAAGGGAGGATTATTTGGTTAGATTGGTTTGCTGGATGACTGGTGACAGGTTTTTTTTTTTTATCCTTTTGTTCTTATTCGTTGATATACGATTAAAATGATAATGATAGTACTAATGATGATGATGATGATGGTGATGGTGATGATGATGATGATGATGATGATGATGATAATGATGATGGTGATGATAATGATGATTGTCAAAGAAAAGTACAAAAAAATAAAAAATAAAATAAAATAAGATAAAAGGGTTGAGTAACAAACAAGGAATAGAGAAAAGAGAAGAGAAGAGAAGAGAAGAGAAAAGGAAAAGAGAAAGGAGAAAAGAAAGGAAAAGCAAGTAAAGGGAAGGCAGGTTGTGAAGGAGAGGAATGAGTGTCGACCAGAAAGGAATGAGCTTTTTAGAATGAGAAGAGAGGAAAGAAGAGGCAAAGGGAGAAAGAAAAGGAAGGAAAAGGGAAAGAGAAAGGAGAGGACAGAGGCTGACGGCGAAGCAATAAAAAAAAAAAAAAAAAGACCAGGTCAAATGCATTGATTTTTTACGTTATTTCTTTTTGAGTGGTCCGGGGCGTAAAATGAAGAAAGGGTTGAGGTGTCATTGTAAAAAGCTCTTTGAAAAACAAAATAAAAGAGCTCTTTCCCTTTTTTTATTCTCCCTATCATTCTCTGTCCATTGTACGTCCAGAAGAGTCAAGGTCCATTGCTCATGCTCCATTGCAATGTCTTTATGAAATGGATCTCTCTCTCTCTCTCTCTTTTTATATTTCCTTGAATCGAGTTGTATGTTTGTCAATGCTTTGAGCGAACAAAAAGTTGATTTGATTGTGTACAAAGCCTGATGTACCCGAACATCCGGTTTTCTGTTGTTGTTCTGATGATCAAGCAAACAAAAACAAAAAAGATCAAAACAATTCACCCCACATCTTTCTCTCTCCACTTTTTCTCTCTCTTCTTCTCCTTCTCTTCTTTCTTCTTCACTTTCATGGGGTTACCATATATATAATACATTAACTGTGTATTTACAACAGACTCTTTCAAAATCCCTTCATAAACTTCTTGTTTATTTTTTTTCATTGCTATTGCTAGAGATCATTTGATGATGCCAGTTGTAAGGATGTACAAAAAAAAAAAAAGGGTCTGACGCGCTTTGTTCTGATGAATGTTTGTAATCCAATGTGGAGTTTGACGTGTTTATCTCCTCTGAAAGTGGCTTTAACAAAGATGCAGATGGATTTCAGAAAAAAGCTTCTTTTCCAATTTGATCATGCCATCCACTGATAAACTTTTTTTTCTCACACCCTTTCTAAGAAACAAAAATACTTTCTGGTTACGTTACTTTGCAACAATGACAAAAAAGATACTATATACATCCATACAAGAGCATCACAAACACGAGGATTAGAAAAGATGAGATAGTCCAACTATTCAGCGCCATGGTTGCTCTCATCCTCGGAGAAAAAAAAAATACATGTATTCCCTTTTAAAAAAAAACAACAGTAAAAACAAAACAACAAAGAACAATCCAAAGTCCAACGGTATGTTGAACTGTGCGTAATCGAAAAAGGGGAAGGGGGGTTTTTTTTATTACCTCTGCCCGCATCTCTCTTTTCCCCTTTCCCTTTTCTCTCTATGAGTAAGACTATATGCTTTTGCAAAGTGTAGAAAGCATTTTTATCCAGTTGTACACACATATGCCTACAGACGTAAAAAAAAAAATGAGCAGGCAAATATACATGTATACAAAGCTTACAAAAAATAAAATAAAAAAAGAGCAAAAAGAGCAAAGGTGTGGAGGAACTAAAAACATAGACACATACAAAACGTGTTGGTCTTTCATTGTCCTCGAATCGCCCGATCTAATGAACTTCGCTCGATTCAATTAGAAAATACAAAGAAAAGGATACATGTATTATTAATACCTCATGCACATGTACGGGCGCAAGTGAGCTTGTGTTTTTTAAAGAATAACCCTGTTGCCTGGCTCAAGTCAAGTGCTTGATTGGAAGGCTAAAGATATAAGAGTACAGCAAGTCTTCCGCCAAAAATAATAATAGCACACCTTCCCTTTTACTCTGCATCGTAATCCAGCAAACCTTGGATGGAAAGTAAAAGTAAAAAACGGATAAATGCATGTTTATGAATCATGGAATCTTCAATCTACCCAGCAATCATCTCACTTTTCATCCCATTAGAACCAGCTGCGACCATCGCCATCTGCTTTCGAACACATCCACGACAAATCCATCGGTCTCCACATGTCCCAACCGGCATCTTGTAAAGCCCTCCATATCCTTCTCCTCCTCCTGGTCCCGTTACCTCTGGTTGGTCCACTTCCTCCAACTCCAACTCTTTATCTTCATTGCCATTATTACTCAGTCTCATACTTGCCCCAAACCGATCCGATAGGTCATTGTATCCTTCACCATGACCCTCCACAAGATCTCCCTGACCAGCAACAGTTGGTTTTCGTCCAAGCATCTTCTCCGATGCTAATTGACATTGCCTCCGAACCAATCGACCTAGCCATTGCTCAAGAGCCTTCAGTGTCGGACCTCGCAAAGATCTCAGCTCATTCAATCCCGGCGCTGGCCCCACTTGATACTGAACCGCTGTCTGCAAGGCCTCATAATACGATCGTAGAGAGGAATACCACCGTTGACAATTATCCAACGGTGTCCCTGTCAAGGCCAAGGGCCGGTCCAATCTCGATGTCTCATACCCCGGATTGTTCGTCCCTGCAACCGCCACCAAATGCAACATCAATTTTCCAACGTCCTGTACAAACGCTGTAGGCTCTTGAAGAATATAACCTCGGTGGTCCGTCACATGTGCATCCTCTCCATATCCGCTCAGTCCTTCACAGAGCAACACTAGCCGTAAATTCTTGTTCTGCAATAAATTAGTCGGTAAGAATGGCTCTGACGGTGTCAGATCATTTCTCATTGGCGGAAGGATCATGAACAACCGGGGTACTTGATCAAAAGGCGAATCCAAAATTCGTCCAATCCCTTCTAACAACATCATTTGATGCTGAGATGAAGAAGACATCGCCAAAGATCCATAAGCCGAATCACTCGACGATCCATTGCTACCATGGCTGTTGGGACCACCACCGTTATCTGCACCGCCACCACCTTCTGTCTCAAAAGAACTTTGTCCTCCCTTCAAATTACACAACCGCGTGGCCTTGAGGTCCCGTAGCGAGAGAATACTGTTGTTCCGAATCAACAGCTCCTGTGTGACCGGCCTTGGAGAAATAGGTCGTGTAAAAATATCCAGCCTCAACAATTCGGACGCTGACAGTCTCTTCTCGGGATCATATGCTAGCATCGAGTCCAACAGTTGGTGATATTCAGGCGGGATATTTTTGACGTCATAATAACGCACTGGCTCGATTCCATTTGTCCTGGTCCCCAAAAGAACGTCCTTTGCATGATCATCTGTCTTGAACAAAGGCTGATCTGTCAAAAGTTCATAAATCACTAGTCCTAGCGACCAGATATCCAATGATCCCTTCGCAACCACCCCTGTGGCTGAAGCGTTCCTGATCAGAATCTCTGGGGCCGCATAGGAAAATGTACATCGCCCCACAGTCTCTTCATCCATTATACGAGCAGCTTCAAAGTCCACCAACTTCCACCCATTTCCATTCTGTCCTGGCTTCATAGTCGAGGCCATATAAGGGTCACGAACAAAATTCGAAGGCTTGATGTTCAAATGACACACTTTACGGCCGTGGATCCATTGGACGCACTCGATCAATGACCACACAATCGGTAAAGTCACTTCCAGACCCTCACCAGAGGCAATACTGTCCTCAATGTATTGTTGAAGCGTCTCTGGATACCACTGCATGACTGACAAATACCGACAGCCCTCGTAATCCGTACCATGCGGATGCATAAATGTCTCATACAGACCCACAACAAATGGATTGACAGCCTGGCTGTCTTGTTGAGGTTGAGCATAGTCCGAGTACTGACTCTCAAGTTTCTCTTCTGGGTGTTGACAAGTCAAATATCGCATCATCACACAATCAACTTCCCATTCCCTCTTGGACTTGAGCCACTTGAGAATCACACGATCATTACCACCCTTGTCCATTGAGAACTGCCTCTGAAGCTGTCGCTGGGCTAGTGTTCTTGATTGCTGTTGTTGTTGATGCTGGAATGGTGATCGAACTTGGCCAGAACCCAGGAGTGGACTCTTGTCCTTGGTATAAAACCCTTCACGGACATATTTTTCGCGCGCCATGCCCAATGCATACCGCGACATGATCCTTCGACCGATTGATCGATCCGTTAATCCATCTTTGATGTCATTGCCTTCCCATATCACTGCACGTGGCATGTAATGTGAAAAGATGAGTTCTCGAGCCTTGGCGGGGATATTGGTTGGCATAGGCAACGCCGGGGATTTGTGCATCGTATTAAAGGAGTCTATCTCTGAAAATGAGGACGTATTGGGATGTTGGTAAGCGACCGTCGGTTGGTATTGCTGTTGTTGTTGTTGTTGTTGCTGCTGGCACTTTTGCTGTTGCTGTTGTTGAGGATATTGCTGAGACTGCTGTATGGGCGATGCAGAATAAATGGGTTGTCCTCCATTGTGGATAGTGTTGTTCAGCTGGGTCGGTATAGGCGTTGACGATGATTGCTGTACCTGCACTTGTGTCTGCGCTGCTGGTGGTTGTGTAGCATAATACGAATGACTGATATCAGGACGCTGCATCTCTGGCGTCCTATGTTGAGCGTTATTAAGAGTCCCTAGCCCATGATGCGGTTGAGCCTGTGTTACCACGGGCGCTGGTTGTGGTAATTGGTTGGTAATCACACGCTGATGTTCCTGAGAATATGTGTTGGGCATGTATCCAGTAGCAGGTCCAAGTGAAGATACAATCGTTGGTGAGATGCAAGGTTGTGAATTCCCTGTCTGTGGCATAATGCCTACCATACTACCGAGCTGTGGCGACGATAAGGGCCCTCCTGTGTTACGCAGCATCTGCAACTGCTGTGGAGGGATTTGGTTTCGCGATGGAAGTGACATATATTTCGAATTGCCAGAGTTATCCATTTTGGAGCGACCGATCGATGACTGGCGCTGATTGGGCACATTATGAGGTTGATACGAGGCAGCGTTGGTTTGACCGGGCGATTGACCCCAGGGCTGTTGCGGTGGTATAGAGAAATGAGGTTGGATTTGTGTAGGGTGTGGTTGATTTGTTGGAAAGGGCATGTTGGGGGGTATTCCCGAAAGATTGGGCTGTTGCTGCTGCTGTGGGTATTGCTGAAGCAGGTGCGTATTGTTGAGGGGCTGAAGCCCGTTGGGCGGCGCTTGTTGATGTAGATAAGATTGTTGAGCCTGAGCAAAGCTCTGGAAGGGTTGCTGTGGTTGTCCATTGGGTAAGTAGGAAGGATCACCGGGATAACCGCTATATCCTTGTTGTGATTGCGGTCTAGGGAAGAGGTCCCGTGGGTTACTTGCCATTTGAGTTTTGAGGTCGTCATAATAGAATTGAGCAGAAAGCGCACGACGCATAAGCTGTGGTGTCGGCTCCAGCCAGTTGGGATCAAACGGTGCGATCAGCAGATTGAGCTGGTTGATGTTGCCATGACTATCCTGAGAAGTAAATGTTGGCTTTGGGCTACTGATACTACGCTTGTCCTCATCACCCTCTGCAGTAAAATTCGACTCACTGTCGGAAGATCCGAACGTGGGAGTTAGAGCCATTTCTCGAACCTCTTCCATTGATCTGGATCCGATCCTATTTTGAGAGGGCTCCTTCAATTTGATAGTGGGATTTCGTTGATTCAGATATTCCATGGAGCGTGTCCGGCCCAATCGGCCCGAGAGTGTGCGCGAAATACCGTTGGACTGTCCAGCAGTAGATGTTGAGGACGAGGTCTTGTTGGCTGTATTTCTTCTGCTATTACTATGGGACGATGTTGAGGCTGTGCCTTTGTCTTTGTCGTCCTTCTTTGATGATTTGGCCTTGACGATTCGATTCTTATGGTCCAGTCGAAAAGGTGGGTCTTTGGGTCCTTCCTCTTCCTCCTAATTGTTTTTATATTGAGCAATTGCATGAATGTGATCATGAATAGGGGATGGAAGGGGAGTGAAGGGTAAAGAGGTAATCCGCCACATAATAGTGAAATCAGATATTTTCCGCCGAGTTGACATGCAAGATAAGAAAATGAGCAGATAGAGGAAAGTAGAATAGGAGGAAAGGGGGAAGGAGAGAAGGAGTCGGTCAGTCACATCATCCGAAATTCATGTCCATGGGTTAAAAAAAAAAAGTTCGTCCGACCCCTGCCCATTTGATTTTCCAGGCTATTACCCGTTTCTCCCATGACTCCCACTCTTGCGCCCAAAAATCTAGGCTGTTTTTTTTTTTTTTTTTTAATGTCCCGCGGCGTGTACGAGAATGCATACCAGACGTAAATACAACACAACACCACAGGAATTCAATTGGATAAACATTCAGTTGCCAAAGCATAATACTTTTACTTACAGATGGTTCACATAACTGCAAACGGAGATGCACTTGACCTGCTGGCTTGCCATCGAACATCAACTGGAACCAGCCTAAAAATGATTTGGTAACAGGGTTGTTTAGTAGTTAGTAGTTGAAATGGGAAAGAATCGTAAAAAAAAAAGTTTATCCGCATTATGCAAATCTAAAAGCTTGGTTCTAAACAAAGAGAGAGAAAGAATAATGTTTTTTTTTTTTTTTTTTTTCCTTTCCACAAGTCGTCATTGGTTTGCAAGTTCTTTTTCTTTTACCTTCGTACTGTCCACTCTCTTTTGAAAACAAAAGCTGCTTAAGATCAATTTCACAGCTGCCAATCAGTCCATCACTTGAGCCCAACTTGGCGCCTGTCTTCTCATGGATGCAGCAAACTGTGAGTGTGGTCTCTTCGCAGGATGAGGAATTATGAATGCGGTTGTAATTTATCTGTTCCAAAGAAAAAAAAATTGTAATACAAGTGTGAGCGAGTAGATGATAAGATGGAAATGTTGGAACAACATCTGCAAACTGAGATGAACGGTATGGATGTTTTGTTTCTCTACCGCTTGATTCCATAAGGGTTTCACACCACCTTTGATGGCGACTCGCGTAAACTTCCGGCGTCCCTGGATGAAAAAGGCAAGATATGGATCTAATTCATTTAAATCAATGCAAAGTCATCAATGAGATGAAAAATAAAAAGTAATCGTATGGATAAGTATAGTGGTATATATGAGGCCTTTTTCTATTTTGTTTGTTTTATTCAATGGACAGAAACTTGAATTAGACAAGCAATGTGCAATCTCAACTTTGTTCATTCCGTTACGAGTCATTGTCATTCCAAATACCATGACTATTACTTCATGCTCACTCTGCATCCAGAAAAAAAAAAAAGAGTAAAGAATGTGATTATGTCATTTTTTTTCTGTTATACCTTGGGCACCAAACAGCTTCCGTTTCGCAAGGTCTTTGGCCTCAATGGCAACAATAATAAGACCTCTCGGGAATGTGTGTACCATTCTTTTTTATAAAATATAAAAGCTTGATTAGGGACGTTATGGATGTGTCCGTTTAGATGTTCTCGGTGCTGATTTGTATGAATGTATCCCAATTGAACCTCTGGAACGGTTTGAATATGAGCAAATGTCAAAATGAAAAGAATATGGTATGGATGAAGAAAGAATTACGATCGTGAAAGAAGATAGCAAGAAGGAGAGAAAAAGGCTGATCGTAGACGATGCAGCAACGACAGACCGAAAATGATGAAATGGTTAATGGCTGGATAACTGCAGTTTTAGAAAAGAAGAAAAATAAAATAAAATAAAATAAAAAAAAAACCAGTTGCGTGTCTCTCTGCAATGTGTGGTGTTACATGGGTAGCGGGCTGTGTCTTTTGTGACAGACAATGGCGCTGATGGTGGGCTCGGGAATTAAGAGGCCGCCGTCTCGTGGAGAGTACTAATGAAGGAAAGAGAGCATGGAGAGGTGGGAAAGAGAAAGAAGAGAAAATTATATATATCTGTATTAGAAATGAGAGAGGTTGGTTTTGTGATAAATGGTCGCCTTCTTGTAAACTCTGTTGGACTTTCAGACTTTTGTTGTGGCGATGCTCAACGTCAACAAAACAATGAGCAAATGGGGCTGAATGATCGCCAAGCGCGCATTCCAAGCAGACCGTGGAGAACGGATCGATTTCTCGGAATGACCTTGAACATTTCGCCAGCAACGAGAGCGATGTAGATGCAGATAAAACCAAGGTACAGGACGTCAAGGAAGTAAGAAGAGGTAAGGAAGCGAGTGGACTTGAAGAATATCAAAGAGGGATGTAGAAGAGTCTGTGAGAAGTACGCAATGTCATAAGTAAATAGAACAAAAGAAATACAGAGGGTGAATGCATGTATACATGTCTGCATCACACCACCAAGCTCTGTAACGGTCAACATTAGACTGAGGACTCACTTCTCTGTGCTGCTGTGACATCTCAGAGACAAGGCCTCAATAGAAGACACAACGAGTCCATCGTGGGGTTGACAGTGTGAGTCTGAAAACAGCCATATACTCACCATTACATTTGTTGGTGACTTTATCTTGTCACTGCATATATACGGTAACAATATGACATGTGGACACTCACTCCTCCTTACTGCATGGCAGCAAGAACAAGGTACTTCAACCACATAAACAGTCATCGACCAATGTTGAGTAGTGACGATGATCAAGATAGGGAGCGATACATGGCCATCGACGAGAGCCCAGAACGAGCACTGTCTAGAAAGCTGAATATACTCTGAGTATGATGCTTCTGTTTATACTTGCACTCTCTCTACAAGCATCCACAGTGGGCTTCCTATGCCATCTTTTCTCGTGTCAACAATTAGTGGCGTGATGGTGTATGGAGTCTACTGCTCAAGTCTTTTTTAGTTTCCCCTATGCATTGGTTGAATGGAGTGACGATGCCATCTGTATGTCTTTCTTGACGTTATGTCCCTCCAAGCTCCAAGCTTTTCTCATAGTCGAATCAGATGATTCATCACAGCACCAACATGGTTTGTGATAATGGATCGGTCTCTAAAACCCAACCCTTCCAGGATGGATGATGCTCTCCTCAACCTGCATTGCTTACTTTGCTGTCAACCTGGCAACATCCAGCACTTTCCCTAAAGATAGACCGATCCTACACTTTCCATTGGCAGTAGAGCTCGAAGGAATACATACTCTTTATGACAAGTCGTCTCTTTCACATCGGTATGGAGGTCAAACTGTTCGCAGGAAACTTTTGATTTCACTGTCTCACCAATACATAGACATCGACATAGCTCCTCTCATGAGGGATTATTTGTCGAGGTCTGACTGCCCACGATACGCTGATATTGTTGTGAAAAAGCAATGAACAGCACTGCTTCTCACAGTTTCCTTGACATTGGATAGGATCACAACCGAGCCTCTACTCCACTTTCCTATCATTCATGTATCCTATAATTATGTCTCCTCCTTGAACCTTTTTGCTAGAGCTGCTTTTCTAACTTTGCAAGTATCTATGGAATGTTACGTAGTAAATAGGATAAAAGACCTGTATTTGCCTCACGATCCAGTGGCTCCGTGTTCTATGTTTCCCTCTACACCTCCTTTTTTTTTTTCTTTTTTTTTTTTTTTTTGGTGCAAAGTACCTGTACCTTCGCTTTCACCCAGCAAAGGAATATTTCACCCTAATCCTAATCCTATTCCAATCCCAGACAAGTCGCGTTTTTTTTTTTTTTTTTTTTTTTTTTTCAATAAAAAAATAGAGAGTATGGTAATCGGTTATTGATTTTGATCACTAATTGATTATTCAGATCGCCAAATCAATTCAATAATTATATGGTTTTAGAATATGGTCATGGCCAAATGATGAGGACAAATACACATTTATATTTATATATTAGTAATAATAGAGAGCAACAGCAGTAAGAGATAAATATCATGATGTAGATGTAATATTTTTATTTCTGCGCTAAGTTTTTCTTTGCTATCTAGTAGCAACTCTTGCGTTTTTTTTTACTTCTTAAAAAAGACAACGTCGCCTTCGTCTTCAACAAATCGACATTCTCGGAAGGATCTCCAACAGGCAATTGCAATAGGGGTATCATCATAAATATAATACTCTCCTAACAGCTTCTTGAGATGATATGTAGCTTCCTCTGCATGATAGAATGGCATCTGTGAGAATAAATGATGTGCCACATGTGTGTGTGCAATCCCATGGAACATATGATCCAAGAACTTGCCGAAAGAGCGGTCAACAGTGCAAAGGGCTCCACGCTGAAAGTTCCAGGCACCTTCACGGTAGTGCGGTACCTTGGTGTCTGTGTGTTGCAAGAACGTGATTATGATCAACCAAAAGTTGACAAAGAGATAAGGAATGCCATAGTACTTTACGACAGTCAAGAACGAGGTCTGGAATGAAGCATAGACCAAAGCGCCCAAAGTAAGCAGGACACCGAAGTCAGAGAGAATAACATCACTAAAGTCGCGAGCTTCAAAGATAGGAGACCATGTATGGAAGTGTGAAGTCCAGCGACCATAATCCTGACCCTTGGCATTGCCAAACAAATAGGCAGGCCAGCCAAACAAGACATAGATCAGCATCCAGAAAAGAGTCACAATGGGAGCCTCTTCATCCAAATGCTCACCATAAGCTTCCTCCTCTGTCTCAGAATGCTCCAAGGGAGGCAAACCAACTTGTTTACGGGTCTTGGGGACAAAGACCTGGTCCTTGGTCATATGGCCCGTAGCTTTATGATGCTTCGAGTGTGAGATTCTCCACGAGTGGTAAGGGACCAATAAGGCAGAGTGCAAAATCCAGCCAACAGTGTTATTTAAGGTCTTGGAAGTTGAGAAAGATTGATGGCCACACTCGTGAGCGAGGATCCAAATGCCAGTGCCAACAATGCCTTGCAAGACCCAGTAAACAGGCCATGCAAGATAACGGATCAAAGGGTTCTGCACCTTGTCAATCTGCGTGGCAGCCAAGAACAAGAGCGAAAGATATATCAGATCGATGGCAACGTGGGTCAAACCACGGAGACCTGAACGCTCGAAGCAGTGAGCAGGAATACAATCTCGGATCTCCTTGATAGTGAATTCGGGGACCTTGTAGTTGCGCTCAAAGGCAGCCTTGGAAGGAGCTGGTGAAGTGTTGCTGACAACACGCTGGTGAAGGCCAGTTGCATCGGTTGTGTTGGATAACATCTTTGCTGGCTTCCGAATAATAATAACCACTAGGAATATCAAGAAAGGGAAGGTGAGAAAGAAAGACGACGAGGAAAAGAAAGCGAAGAAAAAGAAAAGAAAAGAAAAGAAAAAGGAGACGCAAAAAGAAGGATTTATATCCCAAAAAAAAGATCATTTATATCTATTCACCGTTTTCTGCTGGTTGATTGAGCTCAACCTCAGTGAGATACTCTAAGCGTTCACTCAGTTCTGACTTGGTAAGCGATCGTAAAAGGCAGTAAAAAGGGAACAAATCATGAAACGCACAAATCATGAAGAGACGCAAATCCTAGTATTTACTAGTATCTGAACCATCTGTAGTTGGTTCGTGCGAATAAGCTTAAGGGTCTTCAGTAAGAGATGTTTAAGGAAGTGGACATTGCGTTCTTCCGCAGTAAGGCTATCGTCGATCTGTAACTGGGCAGTTAAGGTTCTGACAACTAAGTTGGTCCTGTTATCACTTTGGATAATCCTAAGGAAGCCAATGAAGCAAGATAATTTGAATAGACGGATGACGGCGGCCCCGTATTTCTATTCTGTATAAGCTCGATCACACGGACCTAGTGCATACATCTGTAACGAGAAGATTGTATTTACTACCTACTTTCCTGATAAGAAATAGGGTTAGGTCGAAGGTAATGTGCTCACCTGTCAGAGCAGCATATGTCACTTTGAGTCGATAGTAGTCCTTGCGCACGGAATTGAGTGCTGACACATGTCTCTCCATGTCATGTCGTCAAATAAATCATCTGTAAGGTAGTCCGTGTAGTGAGTTTGAGTGACTTAAGGAAGCCAACTACAGCTCTTACGACCTTGAGTGGAATGCCCCTCTGATGGATTCTTTTTAGCTGGAAGCGGAGCGCTGGAGCTCTAGCTCTTTTTTTTTTTTTTTTGATATGCATCTTGGAGTAATCTATGGATACTTGGTGAACAATGGGGCTCCTTTATAGTTAAAGGCTATCGCCAACGCAACGCGTTCCTTGACTCATATGACGAGGATTACGTCAAGAGCATTGGACTTCTGAGCCTCTGCATTGGGACGTGACGGAGCATCGTGTGGTGATGCAACAGACTACCTTACTCTGTTCATTGCTACTTCCCTTGGTGAATTGGAAGTGGACCTCGGCCGCGTTGTACTTGACAGTCAGAACTTGGCTTCTTTGTTCAAGCTCTTGACTAACTGCCTCGGCTCCTTCTGCTAGAAGAACTGAGTAGTTTATAACCGCGCTGTAATGGAGGAGCAACTACGTCCTCCCACTTATACGGATTTGGCGGTCGGCAGCAGTTTGGGGCGATACTTCCGCCTCCGCAAGTAAAGGTAGAGGTCCAGAAGGGATTTCTCTCGCCACTGGCATCATTACGTCTTCAGAGATGCTAGGAGTGTCGGCAGCAGGTGGAATTTGAGTGTCAACGGCGGATGGAGGTGAAGCAGGATTGCTTTGAGCAGGATTCGCCGTGGTGAAATCATGGTGAAAAAATGATTTTAAGATGGGAGAAAGCTTGTGGAAGATTTAGATAAAATGTATGCTTAATAAAATGCGCGTGATAATTTATAGTTGAGTCTGAGAGAATAGCAGACTCAACACGTCGAGGCAGCACAGTCTTTAAGCACTCCAAATGGGGAAATTGTGATCACTGACAAGAGAATGCTTCACATTGAGCCCCTGCCTGTTTTTTTATTTTTTATTTTTTATTTTTTAATTTAGGTAATGCATTACTATACAATAATAAAGCAGGAGGTCCCATGGTCCCCAATAAATCATGATGTACCGCTGTTAGTCAATATAGAAATGATCAGGTTCAATTGTGCGTCACAGCAATAATTATATTTTGATTTCTAGTCATATTAGACACGTATAGTAAATTGTCCATAAAATCGCAATATTCACAGAAAGAACAATCTATCAGCCCACCGTCCATTGCTGCTAATGATTAGCAAGTACTATTTCTCATCCTTATCCGCACTCCGAAGTGAAACAAAAGCCGTATGTGTAATTGATAGCCTGGTGATCTTTTTTTTAGCAAAAAAAAAAAAAAAAAAAAAAAAAAAAAAGAAAAAGGCTTCAAATTGAAAAATAAAGCTTTTTTTTTTTTTTTTTTTTTTTTTTTTTTTTCACGGAACGCTGGAGTTGGTTCATCTCCTCACTTGGCTCTGTGTGCAGTAAGCAAAAAAAAAAAAAAAAAAAAAAAAAAAGAATGAAGAAGGTAACTATGTCACTTTTTTTGTTATACCTTGGGCACCAAACAGCTTCCGTTTCGCAAGGTCTTTGGCCTCGATGGCAACAATAATAAGACCTCTCGGGAATGTGTGTACCATTCTTTTTTATAAATATAAAAGCTTGATTAGGGACGTTATGGATGTGTCCGTTTAGATGTTCTCGGTGCTGATTTGTATGAATGTATCCCAATTGAACCTCTGGAACGGTTTGAATATGAGCAAATGTCAAAATGAAAAGAATATGGTATGGATGAAGAAAGAATTACGATCGTGAAAGAAGATAGCAAGAAGGAGAGAAAAAGGCTGATCGTAGACGATGCAGCAACGACAGACCGAAAATGATGAAATGGTTAATGGCTGGATAACTGCAGTTTTAGAAAAGAAGAAAAATAAAATAAAATAAAATAAAAAAAAAACCAGTTGCGTGTCTCTCTGCAATGTGTGGTGTTACATGGGTAGCGGGCTGTGTCTTTTGTGACAGACAATGGCGCTGATGGTGGGCTCGGGAATTAAGAGGCCGCCGTCTCGTGGAGAGTACTAATGAAGGAAAGAGAGCATGGAGAGGTGGGAAAGAGAAAGAAGAGAAAATTATATATATCTGTATTAGAAATGAGAGAGGTTGGTTTTGTGATAAATGGTCGCCTTCTTGTAAACTCTGTTGGACTTTCAGACTTTTGTTGTGGCGATGCTCAACGTCAACAAAACAATGAGCAAATGGGGCTGAATGATCGCCAAGCGCGCATTCCAAGCAGACCGTGGAGAACGGATCGATTTCTCGGAATGACCTTGAACATTTCGCCAGCAACGAGAGCGATGTAGATGCAGATAAAACCAAGGTACAGGACGTCAAGGAAGTAAGAAGAGGTAAGGAAGCGAGTGGACTTGAAGAATATCAAAGAGGGATGTAGAAGAGTCTGTGAGAAGTACGCAATGTCATAAGTAAATAGAACAAAAGAAATACAGAGGGTGAATGCATGTATACATGTCTGCATCACACCACCAAGCTCTGTAACGGTCAACATTAGACTGAGGACTCACTTCTCTGTGCTGCTGTGACATCTCAGAGACAAGGCCTCAATAGAAGACACAACGAGTCCATCGTGGGGTTGACAGTGTGAGTCTGAAAACAGCCATATACTCACCATTACATTTGTTGGTGACTTTATCTTGTCACTGCATATATACGGTAACAATATGACATGTGGACACTCACTCCTCCTTACTGCATGGCAGCAAGAACAAGGTACTTCAACCACATAAACAGTCATCGACCAATGTTGAGTAGTGACGATGATCAAGATAGGGAGCGATACATGGCCATCGACGAGAGCCCAGAACGAGCACTGTCTAGAAAGCTGAATATACTCTGAGTATGATGCTTCTGTTTATACTTGCACTCTCTCTACAAGCATCCACAGTGGGCTTCCTATGCCATCTTTTCTCGTGTCAACAATTAGTGGCGTGATGGTGTATGGAGTCTACTGCTCAAGTCTTTTTTAGTTTCCCCTATGCATTGGTTGAATGGAGTGACGATGCCATCTGTATGTCTTTCTTGACGTTATGTCCCTCCAAGCTCCAAGCTTTTCTCATAGTCGAATCAGATGATTCATCACAGCACCAACATGGTTTGTGATAATGGATCGGTCTCTAAAACCCAACCCTTCCAGGATGGATGATGCTCTCCTCAACCTGCATTGCTTACTTTGCTGTCAACCTGGCAACATCCAGCACTTTCCCTAAAGATAGACCGATCCTACACTTTCCATTGGCAGTAGAGCTCGAAGGAATACATACTCTTTATGACAAGTCGTCTCTTTCACATCGGTATGGAGGTCAAACTGTTCGCAGGAAACTTTTGATTTCACTGTCTCACCAATACATAGACATCGACATAGCTCCTCTCATGAGGGATTATTTGTCGAGGTCTGACTGCCCACGATACGCTGATATTGTTGTGAAAAAGCAATGAACAGCACTGCTTCTCACAGTTTCCTTGACATTGGATAGGATCACAACCGAGCCTCTACTCCACTTTCCTATCATTCATGTATCCTATAATTATGTCTCCTCCTTGAACCTTTTTGCTAGAGCTGCTTTTCTAACTTTGCAAGTATCTATGGAATGTTACGTAGTAAATAGGATAAAAGACCTGTATTTGCCTCACGATCCAGTGGCTCCGTGTTCTATGTTTCCCTCTACACCTCCTTTTTTTTTTTCTTTTTTTTTTTTTTTTTTGGTGCAAAGTACCTGTACCTTCGCTTTCACCCAGCAAAGGAATATTTCACCCTAATCCTAATCCTATTCCAATCCCAGACAAGTCGCGTTTTTTTTTTTTTTTTTTTTTTTTTTTCAATAAAAAAATAGAGAGTATGGTAATCGGTTATTGATTTTGATCACTAATTGATTATTCAGATCGCCAAATCAATTCAATAATTATATGGTTTTAGAATATGGTCATGGCCAAATGATGAGGACAAATACACATTTATATTTATATATTAGTAATAATAGAGAGCAACAGCAGTAAGAGATAAATATCATGATGTAGATGTAATATTTTTATTTCTGCGCTAAGTTTTTCTTTGCTATCTAGTAGCAACTCTTGCGTTTTTTTTTACTTCTTAAAAAAGACAACGTCGCCTTCGTCTTCAACAAATCGACATTCTCGGAAGGATCTCCAACAGGCAATTGCAATAGGGGTATCATCATAAATATAATACTCTCCTAACAGCTTCTTGAGATGATATGTAGCTTCCTCTGCATGATAGAATGGCATCTGTGAGAATAAATGATGTGCCACATGTGTGTGTGCAATCCCATGGAACATATGATCCAAGAACTTGCCGAAAGAGCGGTCAACAGTGCAAAGGGCTCCACGCTGAAAGTTCCAGGTACCCTCGCGATAGTGAGGCATCTTGGGGTCTGTATGTTGCAAGAACGTGATCAAGACCAACCAAAAGTTGACAAAGAGATAAGGAATGCCATAGTACTTTACGACAGTCAAGAACGAGGTCTGGAATGAAGCATAGACCAAAGCGCCCAAAGTAAGCAGGACACCGAAGTCAGAGAGAATAACATCACCAAAGTTGCGAGCTTCAAAGATAGGAGACCATGTATGGAAGTGTGAAGTCCAGCGACCATAATTCTGACCCGAGGCATTGATAATTAAATAGGCGGGCCAGCCAAACAAGAACTGGACCACCATCCAGAAAAGAGTCACAATGGGAGCCTCTTCATCCAAATGCTCACCATAAGCTTCCTCCTCTGTCTCAGAATGCTCCAAGGGAGGCAAACCAACTTGTTTACGGGTCTTGGGGACAAAGACCTGGTCCTTGGTCATATGGCCCGTAGCTTTATGATGCTTCGAATGTGAGATTCTCCACGAGTGGTAAGGGACCAATAAGGCAGAGTGCAAAATCCAGCCAACAGTGTTATTTAAGGTCTTGGAAGTTGAGAAAGATTGATGGCCACACTCGTGAGCGAGGACCCAGATACCGGTGCCAACAATGCCTTGCAAGACCCAGTAAACAGGCCATGCAAGATAACGGATCAAAGGGTTCTGCACCTTGTCAATCTGCGTGGCAGCCAAGAACAAGAGCGAAAGATATATCAGATCGATGGCAACGTGGGTCAAACCACGGAGACCTGAACGCTCGAAGCAGTGAGCAGGAATACAATCTCGGATCTCCTTGATAGTGAATTCGGGGACCTTGTAGTTGCGCTCAAAGGCAGCCTTGGAAGGAGCTGGTGAAGTGTTGCTGACAACACGCTGGTGAAGGCCAGTAGCATCGATTGTATTGGGTGGCATCTTTGTTGTGAACCAGTGAGTGGCTGTTGAGAATTTTAAAAAGATTTGTTGGTTCCTGAATAATAACAAAACCAAGTCGAAATAAGATTGGTGATGTTTTTTCTGTTTAGTGTTGATACTAAACGGAGATACCAAGAAAAGGAAGGTGGGAGGGGAAGAAATGTGAAGAGGAAAAGAAGGAAGAGAAAAAAAAAAAAATATTCGAGAAGAAGGGTCAATATTTAAGTAATCCACAATCCCGAAAAAAAAAAAAAAAAAAAAAAAAAAAACACACTATTTGTTAGTTGTGTTGGACTAAATGTGATTGATAAAGCAATTTTCAGGATTGTGGCCCATCCTTGGATCTCATGTTTGCCACAATTGAGCAGTGATGCAGCATCGTCTTTCCTTTAAACGGTCTATCAACTCATCACTCATTACTGCTAATGATTGGCAAATCCCCTTCTTCAAAAGATTGTTTGCCCCTTCCAATCTCTACCCCTACTTATATTCCGAGGAGAAACAAAACTCATGTGTGTAATTGATAGAATGGTGGTTTTTTTTTTTTTTTTTTTTTTTTTTTTAACTACAAAAAGAAAATAAAAGCATCTTTTCAAGGATCATTGGAGTTGATTCATTCTCTCTCTTTGCTCTGTGTGTAGTAAGTAAAAAAAAAAAAAAAAAAATAGTAGAGGTATGAAATTGTTCTTTGTAACGATCGGACTCAGGTTGAGAGATATTTCCGGTGTCATTATGGTAACAATCCCTATTCCTTTCTGTTCTAAATGTGCGGCGTACTGAGGAAAAAAGACAGTAATAAATAACCCCTTGATAATGAAAACCCTTTATACATTTTTTTAAAAAAAAAAAAAAAAAAAAAAAAAAAAGGGGAAAGCAGAACTCATTTTCATTACCGCAGGACATCTGTCTTGTCATTGTATATATAACTTTTAACATGGGTGAAACTTATCCTATTCACTCCAGCATTTGTCTACCAATGGGTAGTTCGGCAGTCTTATCAAGTTTTGGCTAACTAGTTGGATCTGCGTTGTAAAAAGAAAAATGGAATTGCGCTTATTCATACGAAATCCAGTGGATCGCGTTTTGGTGGCTCACTACTCACACAGCGTTCAAAGTCCGAGCACCTTATTTTTTGACCTTATTTTGTCAAGTGGCACAAGCACCTTTTTGCTCCCCAAAATTTTTTTTCCGTACACAGGTCTCAGTTTTGTACTAGAATATCCTTCGATGAGTTTTTACTCTATACCTCTGCCATCAATATTCCTTTGTGTGTTTCTGGTCTTTGATACTCGAGACTCCAGAATTAAATAGCGTATGATGCTTAGAGTTATTAGCTTAAATAATCTGGATAATAAACTTAAGACGTCCTTAGTCGTCTTTACACTTCAGTTTATTGTTATGATCTAGACGCACTATCTAACATCTTCTCGTTCGAATTCATCATATTCGTTTATTGCCTTCTGATTGGCTCTTTTCTTTTTAAATGCGTGAACCTTTCAGCTTATTCTCCTTCAAATGCTTAAGCTTAGGAATAACCTCATCCAAAGGACGAACCTGTCCCTTAGCCTTACTATCCACATCATCACGTGAGCGGACATTAACAGAGTTGGAGGCCTCTTCCTCTGCTCCAACCACAAAGATAAAGTTGTACTGTGCTATCTCTGCATTACGGATCTTCTTGTTCAAGGTTGAATCCGATGTATCTACATCTGCAAAGAAACCTGCATCGTGCAACTGCTGACGAACCTTCTCAGCATAAGGAGTCAAGGCCGCTGCAACCGGAATCACCTGGACTTGACGAGGAGAGAGCCAAAAGTCCCAGCGACCAGCGCAGTTCTCGGTCAAGATGGCAATCATACGCTCAAGAGATCCCAACATTGCACGGTGGATAATCAGGGGTCGTGAAAAGTCTGAAGCCTCTCCTCCACTGTTACGGTACTCAAGTCCGAAGCGCTCTGGTAATTGGAAGTCCAACTGAATGGTGGCGCATTGGTGGCTGCGACGCAAGCTGTCACGGATCAAAATATCAATCTTCGGCCCATAAAAGGCTCCATCCTGTGGGTTAATAGTCCATGGGCGACCGAAGCGATTGAGAGCATCCGTCAAATGCTAATCAGGAGAAATATATATACATATAAAGGGTTTAAAAAGCTTATTCAAAATGCAGTAAGAGTTGAATTTCAGGGATGAGAAGAGATATCTTTCATGGATGAGCGACTGACCTTTTCAGCAGTATCCCAGTCAGAGATAGCACCCAAGAATTTCTCAGGACGAGTCGAGAGAGCCAATGAGAACTCAAATCCAAAGATGCCGTACACATGTTGTAGGAAGTCCAACGTGGCATCCATCTCCTCTCCGAGTTGATCTAGACGGCAAAACAAGTGGGCATCATCCTGTTGGAAACGACGGACACGCGTTAAGCCAGTCAAGGCCCCTGAAGCCTCGTTACGGTGGAGAACACCAAAATCAGCGAAACGCAGAGGCAACTCACGGTAGGAGCGTTCACGAATACCGAACATCAAGCAGTGTCCAGGGCAATTCATGGGTTTGAGCGCAAACGTCTCTTTCTCCACGTTAAATGAAAACATGTTTTCCTGGTAGTTCTGCCAGTGTCCAGAAGTATGCCACAGCTTGACATTATACATGTTAGGTGACATCACTTCTGTGTATCCACGCTTATGATATTCAGACTTGATGAAATCCATCAGTGCATTGTAGATACGAGTACCGTGAGGTAAGAAGAAGCATGAGCCAGGAGAAAGATCATGGAAGAAGAACAGTTCCTGCTCCTTTCCAATCTTACGATGATCACGCTTAGCTGCCTCCTCCAAAAACTTCTTGTGCTCGGTCATTTGCTTGGTATCAGGGAAAGAAACTCCGTAGATGCGCTGCAAAGAATCATTCTTGGCATCTCCCAAGAAGTATGAGGCAGAGTTCTAAAACATCACACAAGCACCACAATACTTAGTTTCACATGTACTTTTATATATTAAAAAAAAAAAAATAGGAAGAAAAAAAATCACCTTCATGACAGCAAAGGCCTTAATTCTGCCGGTATGAGGGACGTGAGGTCCACGGCACAGATCGATCAAGGGACCGCAGCGGTAGACAGTAGTTGAGGTGTCATCAGGGATCTTAGATTTGATCAAATGGACCTTGTAAGGGTTGTGTTTGAACATCTCCAAAAGTTGCTCCTTCTTCATCTCCAAGCGGACAAAGTTCTGCTTCTCCTTGATGATGTTCTTGGCAAGAGTTTCCAAGTTTGCATAATCGTTGTTAGAGACAACACGGTCAGTGGTCATGGCCATCTCATAGTAGAAACCGTCCTCAATTGGTGGTCCAATGCAAAGGTGGCATCCATAATGCTTCTCGCAAGCCTCTCCCATTACATGAGCAGACGAGTGCCAGAAAACAGCCTTGCCTTCCTCGTTCTCAAAGTCCAAAAGCTCAAGTTGGCAAGATGCAACAAGGGGTCTCTCCAAATCCCAGAGAACCTTGTCAACCTAGATGGTGCACATACATTATAGAGTTGATCAAAAGGATATATTAGAAAAAAATATGAAAAAATGAAAAGGTTCACGCTATAGCTATTATGTAGAAAATCGATACCTTTGCAATGACAACGCGCTCAGCAAGAGACTTGGCGATCTGCTTAGCAATATCCATGGGCGAAGTCTCCCAAGCAGTCCCTTCGCGAGTGGAGCCATCAGGCATGGTAATGGTGATTGGAACACGGGGTTGAGCTATTGATAAAAAAAGGGCTATTAGAATTCGTTTTTTATTTGTTCAATATATAAATCCAGATGTCCTTGATTATTTACCAGCATCCTCTTCGTCAGCCTTCTTCTTGAGCTCATCGAACATAGCAATACGGTGAGCAATATATTCAGGAGCAGGAGTGACCTACAATAAATGAACAGAAAAAAAAAGATTGCATGCTAGTTAGACAAGAGTGAAGCCGGAAGATATGCTTAATTGTAGAAGATGAACGGCGTTTAAATGCCCTATCCTGCCTAGAAAATAGATCTACAAAACCACCTCTCCTGCACTGGGCATTGATTGTTTTACAAAGCAAAGCGACTTGAGTGAATGTCCATTTTTTTTTTCTTCCTTGTGTGTCATGTGTACTCGAAAATGTTTTATTGCTACATCATCCCGCCGCTTCAATCGTCTCTTCAATTATCATGCTCATGACATTGTCGCGCCAACTCATATGATTAAGAGTTGCTGGGAATGTGTGCACATTGACGTCTATGTAAGGGAATGGGGTTTGTACCTCAAGAGGATAAGAGCCTTCAGCAGCAGGCTTTTTAGCCTTCTTTTCCTTGGGCTTGCCCTGGGGTTTGTCACTAGTAGCGGCAGCAGACGCATTCAAGGACAAATCCTCGACCTTCTGTTCGATTTCAGCCATGGTGAGAAGGAAATGTGAATGGACAGTTTCGTGAGAAGGAAAAAAAAAGTGGACCCTTTGTTTCCTTGGACATGTAGAGGCCCCACTTTTTTATTTTGAAGAGTCAGAGTACAGGAGATTCCTCTAAGCCACATGGTGTAACATTTTATCTCAGAATAGGAAGCAATTGAGTGTAATTCATTTGAGTCCCAGGGCAAAAAGAGCGAATGTTCAAGGATGTAAGGCTAGATGCCTCAGTATAAGCGAACTTGATCTTTAACTATACAGGTCATGAATCTCCTGGTTAGGCTTGTAGCAACGGATTAAGCAGCTCCGGTGCGTTTTCTCATTTAGGATGTGGTTTCTTGTGATAGAACGTTCATTAAGAAGATTTGAGTGTTTTAGAGTAGATTCAGTTAGACTATGTTGCTTGAGTGAAGTCTAACCACGGTTCTATCTTGTTAACATTAATAGTCTTAGTATTTAACCTAGGACTGTAATGATATTAATCTTGTTAACATTAAAATGAGCATTCTAGGGTGCCGAAGATAGATAAAAGGGTCATGTTTTATTACAATAATAAAGATATTTGTATTATACAAAGAAGAAAATGGGAAAATAGCATTTCGATTATGGAAAACTTTCGACAGTTGCCCAGGCTGTTGAAATTACAGGTGACGAAGACGATACAGGAGTATTATGCGGGAGAGAGGAAGGAGCAACTGGAGCAGGATTCGCCTGCGGGTATCCAAAGAATTGTGTTGATGAATAAGGTGAAGCTGTGGTTGGACTCGCCATGCTCGCATATCTATCATACATGACGGGCTGGGGTGCTTGGTTGCTACTGGGGGTGATCAACCCATGCATGGAGATACTTGGGAATGGATATGGAGCTGGCGTTGAATGTAGAGGTGCAGAAACTGAATTGAGCGTAGGTTCAAAGTTTTGATGATGGAGGTAATTCTGACCGTTGTAAATAAGCGGATCTGCAGGTAGCGTAGTGTAAATTGATTGTCGTTGTATTAGACGTGGGGATGGAGCTTGTGGGGTTGAAGAGACAATGAACTGAGACTGGGTCATGGGGGAATGAGCCATAGGATAGACTCCATAAAGGGAAGTCTCTTGGGGCTGAAAACTTGAGGCAGAAGAGACGTTTATGCTTATGCTTGTCTGAGGTGTGTAAGATGATTTCGGCTGATATTTGACTGGCTCCAGTATGGTTTTCGGCGCTTTAGTCAATTTGACGATCTTTCGAACGTCACCTTTGGTTGGATCAGACTACGAAATAGCAAAAAAGAAAGCTCGTTAGAAGACACTCTAAGGATAAAGCTCAAGATAGATTGAGAAGAATAGATATTGACTGAATAATTTCCCACAGCCCCTCTTACCATTTGAACATGAATCACTGCGTTGCCCACTAGATCCACATCTGAGTAAAGAAGACGAATATTATCGCCAAGTACGAGTTGCTCCAATGCACCAGTTTCGATATGGCGAATCTCAATTAACTGACTCTCGAATGCAATAATATAAGGGTAAACCAATGCAAATGATTCAGCTCGCCCTTCAAACTCAATGAGGTCTGGCTTGGCCAACTTTCCAGTCTTAGTCATTGTGAATGCGAAAACTAATAGCAGGTTCGGGTTTCAAAGAATAGGAAAGAGTAAATGGGGTTTAATCCTGTTAATGATAAGGAGCACAGTAGCTTTTTTCTTTTTTGAGAGAGAGATCTTACCATCGTAGCACATCAAAAAGAGCTCTGAGCTGATCCTAAACATGCTTACAGGCACGCTATCGGCTTTCTTCGATAAGAACGCGAAATCGGGGTCCTGTCTCTCCGGGTACAATCGCGGCTTATCCAAGTTTTCTAACATCAAAACTTCAAATCCTTTGGGACAAACAACACACACCATACGTGATAACATTTGTAATCGCAACGACTCGCCAGGAACATAAAATTCACGGTAGGGCTTGAACCATTCAGATTTGGATCTACCCAACGAAAAGCTGAGTCCTTTTTGATGGTTTTGGCCTACGCCCAGGACTGCATTCTCTACGGGCTCAAATGAAGAGAACTGGCTATCGCCTGAGCCCTTTTTTCTCATCGTAATGACAAGCGTCTTCTCTGCATAGACACCTGTAGTAAAGTACTGTACGTTTTTGATAAGCTGCTGCCCTACTGTGAAAGCCTTGTCAGCATTAGGCTCCAGACAGTTCATGTTGTAGGCCTTCAAGACTTTGCCAGATAAAATCAACAAGAGATGATAATCTTCCAAAATACTGATATCTGTCACATTGATGTCTTTCAGCGCTAAACGGAAACTAAACCGGTCATCTTCGAGACCAACGTAGACCCCTGCTTCTGTTCCTACAACGATTCGTCTTTTAGCATCCAAAACGTTGATAAAAGTAGCACTACAAGTAATACGCTTTCCGTCCATAGGGTGACTCTGATCTGATGCTGTCAGTGGTGACGTCAGATGGGCACTCATTTCTGTAATGGTACTGAACTGGAATAGCCGAGATCCTGAAACGATATCGTTACGGGCCGCCTTGGCCATATCGACCTCTCGTACGAAATCTTCACGTTCCGCCAATGTCAAATTCAGTGTGTACGCGCCACCCCTTCTTCCTCGGCGGTGAATTGTCACTGGAGCGGTGTATTTTGTATCCATAGTGCTGCTACGATTGCTTGAGGCAGGTGTAGCTGTTTCAAGGACGCTGGAACCATCTGATACAATAGACTTTGGACGGCCATTTAGGCTTAATGGTGCGTTCTTGCCTTCATCTGGCCAGACATCCGCGAGCTCTAAAGGAATAGGCTGATGAACAAAAAGCATATGGATGAGCTTTTCGTGGAAGCATTGTATATTGTACTGCTAGAATGATGTATTCGAATTGGAGTGAACAACCATCAAGCTTAAAGAGATTGTACCTGTTTATAGACTTGATAAAAGACATTGCTTTTATCTCCTTGCTTGTCTCGCTTCTCCTTCGTCATAAGCAGCATATGGTCAAAGACGAACAGCCGAAAGTCGACAGCCTGCACCTCAAATGTCGTCTTGCGCCTGGCGATGCACTCAAAATGAAGCTTGCGTCCTCTCTCACCAAGCTTGAGGTCCTGATGATCTTCCTTGGATTTCCAGACGACTCTGTCCTGTAATGTTAACAATCGTAGCTGCTTGGCTCCCGCCGGCATACAAGCGTCGATGCGCTTACCAAGCTCTGTGCAAAGCTTGATCACTTCTAGGACAGTCTCGCGGTCTTCGATCCCTTCCTCTGTCCTTTTAACTACTTCATTCAGTAAGAGCGGGTATCGAGGAATTCTCTGATAGGGTTGGCCCACAAAATGTCGTAGCCCAAGTCGTCGTGCCTCTGGGTGGCGGGTGCAATCCTTAAGAAATTGTGCGAATTTAGGATTTTTGGATTCTTCTCTTTTGTAGGTGAATTCGGAGATGGCTATTTGAGGAATATACCGAATATACGCATCCTCGAATCCTGCAACATGAGACAGTAAAACATCGCCAATCTTTTCGACAAGAGGTTGCTCCTCTTGACGGGCTCGTAAGGCCTCTAAGAGTAGCTTGTTCAGCTCAATGATCTCTTTGTAGTTCAAGAACACATCTTCAATGAATTCCTCCACCTTCTCTGGGTCAATAATATCACCTGATCGAAGCGGATTAATAAAAATCTACAGTGAGAAATGTAAGTGAAAAAACCTTAGTATCGATAAATCTTTTTTCCATAGCAACCCAGTCCGACAGAGCATTTTCATCTTTGATATTCACTGCAATGGCATATAATAAATAATAAAGGATGTTTTACCTCTTCCATAAGCTCAAGGTCTCGGACGTAGTTAGCCTCGGTGTTGACAACCTCAAAGATGGCCTCTTGTCGGTTTCGCTCCTTCTTTGACGCGGCAGCAACTACACTCGCAGGGACAGAGTTGGCCCAAACTTTTTCCTGTCCACTGAGCGATGATGCACCGCTGTTTTGACGTCCCAGTAGTGAACCCTGATTTTATTTTTTTAGTATATCGAAATAAGAAAAAAAAGGTCAATACGCCACGCTAACGAATACATATTCAGGGAAAAATATATATAATAAATGTATATAATTAAATAAAATAAATATCAAATGTTGACTTTTTCTTACGATTTGACGGCGATTTGGACAAAGATAAGAATAGCATGTGGCATCACCAGGGACACACCCATAACTATAGCATTTTGAGCTATATGGGAAGACGCCTGTTGGGACAGTAGGAAAATCCGTTTTTCCAGGAATGAAAGCAAGAGCAGCATCGGAGAAAAAGTACTGATCATTGTTCGAGTCAAATAATAAGTTGTCTCCGCCTCCAAAGAACAGGAATTGCGCTTCCAGAGATCTAGCAATCGCCAGACCATGCCGACGGTCTTCTAAATACGTCAACTCATTTACAACATCCTATTGATCCATCATACACAAAAAGACGACCATCAGCTTATACGATTTCCTGTGGGATAAAAAAAAAAAAAAAAAAAACAACAACAAAAACATACAACAGCCTCTTTGCCCGTGAATGTCACTGGGAACTCTAGACCATAGCACTCGGACTCGGACCTCTTGGATTCGTTGTTGAGCATCTTTTGCCGAAACGCCACAGCAATGGTCGAAAGGAGACCGGGGTTGAAGTCCAACAGTTGTTGAGCCTCCAGAGACAAGAAAGGAGGGGTTAAATTGCTGAAATTACTGCTGCTGAATGAGCCATGTGAAGCATCACGAGTATTCAAGGATCCTGAGGAACAGACTGGTGAAGGAAGCTGCATCCAATCTTGGCTCATAGATGATGCTGTGATTGAAGGAGTATATGAGTGGTTGCTTGCAATAGAGGCAGGTTTCGGCGTTTGTGGCGAATACATGTTGTTTTGACTTGAGCCAAATTGCTGATGTTCTAGTGCTGGGATAGAAACGCGTCTCGGTTGCCGCTGTTGATACGGCGATACGTAATATGGAAACGGTAGTTGCATTTGAGTATTTAAAGGAAGACTGCTTGATCCTGTCGCTGAAGATTGATACTGATACTGCTGTGGCTGCTGTTGATAACTGGTATATATGCTGTCACGGTTCTGTGATTGTGCCGTGGAGTGCTGAAGGTGCGTTGAAGGTGTTTGATATGCAGATAATGGTCTCCCATTCATTACATGTCCATGTGCTGAAAATGACGGAGGCGAAGTCAAATGAAGATGATCCATAGTTCGCTCTACTATACCGCCATCTAAGTGTGTGGGTGTATCATCCTGCTGTGATAACTCATCTTCACTATCACCCTCATCTTCTGGATCACTACTTGCGATCGCAGCGAGAGATCGCTGGTATTCCAATTGCATCGCCAACTTTTTTAGCACTGCAGGATCTCTCGTTGTCTTGCTCCTTGCAATCGGCGTCTCCTGCTGAGTCCTCTCTGCTTGAATATGTTGTCGTTGTTGTTGTTGCTGATTTACATTGTTATTGAACGAGTTTTGAGGTTTGTATTGAGAGGTGCTGCATTCTCTATTATCCATGCTTCTGTAGTTAGCGTCACGACCACTGGAGCTGTGGTACGGCGGCTGGGATGGTATTGTGTAGCCACTGTTGGCTTGGTTATTGAGGGTTGGCAAGTGTGAAGCCATGCTGTTGCTGCCTGCTTTATCTCAATCTCTTTCTTTCTATCGTTCCTTTTTTATGTGTCTTGCAGAGTGCGTTTATCAGCTGCTTGTAGTGTCTATTATTGCAATGCGTCAATATATCGTATTCGCACCAATTTTTAAGTGAGCAATCACAATGGTCGGGGCGGGGGGAAAAGATGAAGAGATGAAGGAGAAAAAGAAGAGATGATAAGGAATAAGTAAAAGAGGAAAAGACAACATATGAGGAAGGTGTCAATAGCAAAAATTCCATGTATGTTGCATGTGTGGGCAGTAAGTTGATTTTGTCTATAAATCTCTTATTCTTTTGCTGTCGAAACAACCTCAATCCATGTAATCATCCGATGACTACAAAACTGAAGCTTAAAAAATTATGTCTTCATGATTCCTTCCCCTTGCAGCCGCAGTTGTTTATTTTGTCCTTTCACGGAATGGCCTATTCAGAAAATGGGTCATTGTGCAGTTGTTGGGAATGACCGAATGACGAATGGTGACAGTGTCAAATGCTTGGACAAACAAATCCAACAAGTTGAACTTTTCATTGAACTTGAGCATTTATGAGTGTCTGACGACCGTCACTCCTCTTCCTCTTGACGCTCCATCCATTACGATTGAAATTCATCGAGTTAATAAATTTAAATAAAAAAAAAAAGGATTGACCGCGAAATGCACGCGCCTTTGCGTTTTTAGACACATTGAGGTGTGTTCATATTGACATAGTCAGTTTTCAACAAACCTACACTTAATACAAGAGTACTTCTGAAGCATGTGAAGAACTACGATAAATACTAGGATGAAAAGGTGAAAAAGGAAGAGTGAGTGTTGTAGGAGGAAGAATGGGGGCAGGACAACAAGGAGGTATGGAGAGAAACAGAAACAAGAAGCGGTGTGATACGATACGATGCGATTGCTTTGCATCTTTATTTTATTTTTCTTTACATACAACCGCATGTATTTTCAACAAGGGAAGATTGACCCTCTTGGTTTGAGTTCTAAATACATCCAGTTCTTGGACATGACAGCAAGCGGACTTTTTTTTTAGGCAGTGTAATGGATGGGCAAGGTGAAGTCGAGCAAGAGCAACCTTGTTTCTTTTGTTGATACTCAAGATGTGGCCATGTTTGTTGTGCATGCTCAACAACAAACTTTTTGTCTCTATTTTTCATTCCTCACACAACTTTTAATCACCCCTTTGTTTCTTTCTGCGTTTCTCCTCCTTCTCCGAGGAGGGGCAAAACCCCTACGCCCTCTCCATTGGTGAAGTCAAATTCTTGGAGTCCAAATGAATGTTCAGTGCGTGGCTCCAAACAATGATCGAGGTCAAACAAAAAAAACAAACTTGCCTTTGTATATTTTGTTGTTTGGTCGAGCTTTGCCCTTTATCAGGTAGTTCACGTGAGATGACCAATCCAGCACAGAGGGCACAGACTCAGAGCCTTGACTTCTTGTCTTTAAATCTGGGCTTGTGGGGGGTTTCATTCTTCTGGCTTTCAGTATTACGTTCTTCATTCTAAATTACATTTCTTGATTTGAACCCTTTTCAATTCTTGAAAAATGTATCTACTCAACATCCCGCTCACACTTGCATTATCTTCGGTTCTTTGCCTTGCACATCCACAACAGTTCCCGTTCACTTCACCTAGCTCTCACCATTCCATTGAGAATAACAATGGCTATGCTCGTTTCGACAACGAGCAGGTTCTCCGTATTCAGGTCTCGTCCTTGGACCAGCTTAAACAGCTAGAAGCTACTGTTGAAGTAATGAGAAGTAACAACCAACACCATTCACAGTAAATAAAATAACCATGGCTTAAGAAAGAGAAAGTGAGAACACCTCATTCATTTGACGTAAAAAAGAAAGAGCCAATACATTAAAATCTGCTCTTCATCTCCTTTGTGTTGCTCGCGTGAGAAAAGGGAAGCCATATTATAGAAATTTAATATGACACATGTTTGATATAACACAAGCACTAATTGTGATGTCTCTTTTTCTTTTTGAATGAAAGGAGAGAAACCTTGACTTGTGGTCTAACCTCAGGATTGGCACTGTCGATGTTCGCGTCCCTGTTTCAGAACTTGAGACCTTTAAGAAGGCTATCCCCCTCCCTACCATGGTCATGATCTCCAACTTACAGGATCTTGTTCCTGAAGTTGCTCCTGCTCTGGCGCCTCAACACCAACAGCAATGGAATTTCACAGACGACTCATTCTGGCGTAACTATCATGATTTAGCAACCCTCAACAATTTTACGGAAACCATGGTCCAACAGTTCCCAGAATTAGTCTCTCGCACATCTATTGGATTTACACACGAAGGACGCGAGGTCTTCGGAATGACCATCCATGGCTATGATCGGAAAGATGACGAAGATGACGAAGATGACGATGATGACGATGACGATGACGATGATGACAGCAAAAAATCCAAAAAGAAAAACAAGGACAAACACAACAAATTGAAGATTTTGGCTAATCTTGTAGATTTAGATGAGTTAAAAGAGACCATTGAGGACACAGTCGAGGAGGTGCAAGATGAAATCGAGGAATTGGTCTGGGATGCTCGCTCATGGTGGTCATGGTTGTTTGACCCATTCAAGGGGGATGCATCTTACATGAAGAAGAAACCCTCCAGGCCCAAGAAACATCCCAAGTCCATTGTCATCCATGGTGGTCAGCATGCCAGAGGTAAGAAAAAAAATGCGCTTATTGAGCGGGACAAACATTATTGGTTCGGGATGCTCGATCACATTAATCTTCACAATGCATCTCTTCTAGCTTTTTTTTTTTTTTTTTTTTTTTTTTTTTGACCTCCCGCATATATGTACACCTTTATAACAATAATGGCGATATATTGATAATAACCGTTCTACCATGATTTCGTCTTTTATTTACTCCGTATCAATAGAATGGATTGGGCCGGCTACAGTCTCGTATATTGCCAAAGAATTGATTCTGGGATATGGCAAGAGCAGTAAGATTACGCGACTGGTTGATCAGTTTGAGTTTGTGATCGTTCCTGTCCTTAATGCAGATGGATATGCTTACACATGGGAGCACAATCGCATGTGGCGTAAGAATCGTCAACCCACGTCCATTCCTTTCTGCCCTGGCATTGTAAGTTTAATACAACTAAGAATCCTTCAGATATACAATATAAAAAACTTTGACAAGAAAAGTACCATCTAACCTTTTTTTTTTCGCTCCTGGGCTCAGGATCCTAATCGCAATTGGGGATATATGTGGAACCAAGGTGGCAGCTCTAGTAACCCATGCAGTGAAGGTTATCATGGACCTGCAGCCTTCGCAGCCAAGGAGCCTAAGATGATGTCTGACTTCATTCTTAAGAAGAACCAAGATGTGGTTGCATATATTGATTTTCATTCATACTCCCAATTATGGATGACGCCTTTTGGTGCTGATTGCTCCAAGGTCCCTAAAGACGATGAGGATATCATCGAAGGCGGTCTGGGCGCTGCTAAGGCCCTAAGGGATGTTCATGGCACCAAATTCGCAGTTGGCAGTGTCTGCAATATCATTTATCAAGCTAGTGGTGGATCATTGGACTGGTATGTATAGTAGCATGAACAAAAAAAAAAAAAAAAAAAAAAAAGACCGGTTTTTAACTCAATCATCCTTTTTTTTTAAAAAAAAAAAATAGGACGTACGCGGAAGGCAAAGTCAAGTATTCATATGCAGTCGAACTCCGAGATACAGGTCGACATGGATTTTTGCTGCCCGAAGATCAAATCTTGCCTTCTGGTGAAGAAACTTTTGCTGCTGTCTTGCATCTTACAAATTTTATCCGCAAACGCGAGAAGCAATGGGGTTATATTTAAAAAAAAAAAAAAAAAAAAAAAAAAGTTTATCCATATGCTAAAAGGACATGATGTTTCTTTTACAGGTATAGTTCTAAATGGGAAGGTTTCAAGAGTAGTCGTGTCAGAAATTTTGATGCCCTTTTATATCAAAGTAAAAGATAACATCAGCCTTCTTACTTTTTTAATACAAAGGATACAATGATCTTTTTTGGAATATCATAAACAAGCAAAGTAAAGAGTCTTGGTTTGAAATGTGTGAGTGAAAGAAGAAATATATTACAATGGCTTGTGGATCAAGATGCGAGGTGGTGGTGCCAAATAGTTGGTATCAATAGGGGGTATATCCGTCTTGTGCTGTTGATGCTGATGTTGATGCTTAGTAGTAGCAGCAGACAATGGCATAGACGCTGCTAGTGTTGTCGTAATAGATCCAGATCCAGAAAAGGCAATTGAAGATGGGAATTGATCATCTGGCAAATCATCCTCAAGGATAGGCGAATTTGGTTTTACGTTGTCAGTTATAATCTTGATGCTACTTCCTCGACGATGACGATTGACGCCATTACTTTGCTGCTGCTGCTGCTGTTGTTGCCAGCAGCGATGTGGCTGGTACTGCGCCATCAATGCCATCTCCTTGTCTTCAAGCACGGAATCTCCTTGGAGGATCAAGTCCTTGATGAGATTGGAGCGATGTTGCTTCTGATGTCTCAGATTTGCAGACGATGAAGGAATAGCTACAGGTGGTGGTGAAGGCAGTGAGGCTATTGCTGTAGGTGAAGGTGCCCTTGCTACAGCAATAGAAGGAGCAGCAGCAGTTGTTGTAACAGTAGTTATTGTAGGGATTGATGAAGCTCCTGTACAAGCTCCAGCAGTAGCGGTGAAGGGGTGTGGTCGTGGCGAGATTGGAGAAAGCGGATCATATAGATCTATAGCTTGCCTCTTTAAAACATCCCTAGCACCATTGTTACTACCGCTATCATTCTGATCAACTTCCCGTGTAGAATGAGCCTGTATCCGTTCAAGTGAAGGCATAGTCGAGACAACTTCAGGTTTTGTAGCTGTAAATTCTTGATCATTTAAAACTTGCCCAAGCATGGACGCTGCTGCAAGTGCTTCGTTGTCACTACTACTATCACTTCCATAGCCCACGAATTCCGAACGTAAAGCAGATGACAATGATAATGAAGTGGCTGTTTCAGGAGCTCCTATGGATGGTGTCGTGACCATTGGTGTAGATGGATGACTGACTCCAGACACAGCGGACGAACTTGTGGAATTCAAGGACATAGGTGAGATTGGTGAGATCGGTGAAATGGGTATAACAGGCAGGGACGATGATGAAGACTCCAAAGTTGTTGGCTCTAGAAGCCCTGTCCTGACTCGGAGGTGCTCTAATTTCAACCCGATCTTTGATGCGAGACTAGATGGTTTTGACTGCGGAGATGAAGGAATAGTGATGGTAGAAGTAGTGCCATTGACCGATGAGAATGATGCTGCTTGCTGAGGCTTCCCAGAGCTACATGATGATGACAATGTCCTGGTACCATTATCATCCACCTGTTCCTGTCTAATACGAGGATCATAATGATGCCCCCGTCCTTCATCATCGTATAAATTCAGCAGGCACTCTGTACGGTTTTCTTCGAGGGGATATTGGTAATGATCCTCCGCGATAGCAGATGATTCGAATCCTTCAAATAGTTGGGCTTCAATGTCAGTCAAGCCCCGACCTCTGTGGCTACCGCCACCTTGATTATCGTCTGATGCTCTCCTATCCTTTCCACTCATTGCAAACCAACTATGTCCTTGTTTGGACGCCGCCCTTCGTTTCCGTTTATCACCCATACTATCCATCTTATCTTTGGCATGTCTCAATGAAGCGCGGTTTTCTGACCTGCTTCTCCGCCTCTTACGGAAAACCACGAGTGACATGATGCCGATCGCAAGAATTGCAGCCGCAATCACTGCACTTGAGATCACCACTTTACTAGAACCATGTGTCACCTGATGATCATTATCAGGCAATAACAGCTCAATATCATCTGGACGTTCAGGTGATGTCGGTTGGCCCGAAGGCGAGCGGACAGAGGGCGTAGGGAAGGGTGCTTTGGGGCCAGCAGGCGCTACGTTGTAGATACTATTGGCCTCAGGCCCTCCGCAATCTTCGAATGCACTTTGGTCCTGTGGACAAGAAGTAGAACATGCGGAAGCAGGCGCAGCTCCGTATTTGTTGCTAAAAATGAAAGATGCAAATGCAGAAAAAGATTCGACGATAAGCAACTGTAAGGTTGATGATGAGGAAACGATTATTGAATAGCATAACCACGATGATGAAAGCTGGATGAGATCCAAAGATAATATGAAGGATATTAAGTTGAATAAGAAAAATAAAACGAGGGGAAGAAAGATTCACGCTTTGTGTGGTGAGAGTGACGGTTTTTCGTAGGGAATACATGAATGACCAACAATAAATTTCAGTCATGTATTTTAGCTGTGGACACGACTTACTAAGAATCACCACAAGTACAAATGGTTTTGTTTCGGATGGCAGCATAAGCAAAAGTACCTATACTGCAGTGAGTAATGCATGCCTCTGCCCGGGTAATGATTAGTGGTGGTTCCCCTGCTAGATCTGGGTCTCGAATATCTTCATTGTAGCAACCAAGATATTTGGGTTGATTGTCTGGAGGAGCCATTCCCTCAAAAAATATGGACGGCAGTTGATCAGAATAGACTTCTGATATGGGTAGATGAAAGGAAGAGTATGTATGTTTGAATATTTACAAATGGTGGAGATGTATACAGTATGTACTTGGTTTTAAAGTCGACTAGTGATCTGGAGAGGGTGCGCAAAGAGGACATTCGAGTTGGGTATGTATTCAAAGTATTTGACAAGTGAACTAGCGAATGAGTGAGTATGGGGGGGAGAGAATGTGAGAGATATGCGTCAATGATCCGAGAATGGAGTGATAATTTTAAATAAGGCACATCCTGTGACAGGGGGAGAGGAGGAGGAGGAGAGGGAAAGTAAGAGACAAAGAGGAAAAAAGAGAGAAAGGAGATGGGAAAAAAAAAATAAAAAAAAAATAGAGACTAAGTAGAACAGTAGAATGAATGGATTGAATCCTCGGTAACAATAAACTTTATCTTTTTTTTTGTTTTTGTTGATGGTTTGTCACTCTTTGCGTTGTTGTTTGTCCCCGTTTTGTTCCAGGGTTTCTTCTGTTTCCACTGCTTCTATTTTGCTCCTTTTCCTTTTAAATGCTCTTCATGTACATGTATAAAAATATTTTCACACAACGTGTCCATTCAATGCATTGTGTCGCATGGGTTGTGAATGCTCTTATTCGCTCAACACCGTGGGATCTCTCTTGTCACTTCAACTTACAAATGAGTGCAAAGCATATCTTCATTCAAGCAACGCAGGAATCTGTTCCCAAATTTAATAGAACCAAGATCCACTCTTGGACGTTCTGACCCGGCTTGGAGTGTCAGAAACAAATCATCTCAAGCAGACGTAATATATATTATTGTCGTCAACAAAATACTGGACTAAAACTCATCTCGTCTGTTTAGAGGCCAAAACCCTTGAGTAAATGAATTTTATCGAATTTCCTGTCGTTCTCAACCTAAAAATATTTCTCAATTGATTCCAGTGATAAACAAGTATTCAAAATGTTATAACTGCTTTGACTTTTTCTTTGCTTCTATCTACGCATGATCTTTGTTCCAATCAAAGATACAACTCCAAAGAGGTCATCCGCATGATAGTCCTCTTTGTCCCTTCCACGCACACGCAACGTACATGTTGAAAACTGAAAGAGATGGTCCGTGCCTGGCAGTTTAAAGTATTCAATTACCTACATGTACATGGACATCAACTGTCGAAAATGGGAGTCTTTATTAATGATTATTATACATGGTAGCCTTGTCCTTCAATCTATCATGAATCCCGCTCCAGAATCCACTGGTTCTGTATTTGTAGTTTGGACTTGTTGGTCGGAGCCTTGGTCTTGTGATTGCGGCTGTGGTGCTTTATCATCACCTTCACCATTATTATGTTTGTCTTCGCTTGAGCTTACGCTTGGCTCCCGATCGTCTTTACTGTGCTCTCCGCCATATTCCTCCATCAGTCGAGACCGCGTTAACATCCCTTTGATAAGCTTACGCCAGTTCTTTAATGCTTCCATCCTCTTTTTCTTGTGTGCTTCTTGATCTTGCTGATGAAGTAGCTCGTGGTAAGCATCCATCACCAGTTCTGCCTGCTCAGTTGGCACAATGATGCCCTGGATTACTGGCATGGATCTTCTTGAATGGAACTCAAACCCAGTCTAAAAAGAAATGTACAAATGAGGAGATAAATGTCCATGAGACTACAAATGCAATCGAGCCAATATTGTCAAGTCCAGCAAGTTAGACGCATCGATGCTACCTACCACCGCCTCAACGTAATCTACGCCCAATAGCCTAGCTATATGTGCAATATTCCGGCCTAATGATAACTATTAAAGTGAGTGTCTTGAAATATGAAATATATCCCTAAAAAAAATTTAAAAAAAAACTAACCTTTGAGGTGAGACCCACCAAGTGGCACCATATCAGGTGTAAACACATCCTGTCGCCCATATTCATTGCGAGGAACCTTTCCATCAACCACCCATGGTGGCTGATACGCCTCGGTCTGCCATTCTCCAAAAAGTGGGATTAAATCTGCTTCACTATCTTCTTTAAAGCCACCTCCACCGTTTTCTAATGGGCTATTCTTGATCTTATATTCTAGCATCTCTTCATCATCGTCCTCCTTATCATTCCCCGAGACTTGACATTTCCTATAGCTGGGCATACCCTGCTCTAGATTGCTGCCGCCACCAGAGATAGCTCGCTGTTGACGAAGACGCAGTTGGTAAATGGTAGCTGCGTGTGATTTGACCCATTTGACGGGCTTAATCTCTTCAGGTTTGATAACTCTTCCCCGCCGAAGCCAATTCTCTTTCGATTTAACCTGCTTAACACAGCTGCGTGGATATATGGCTTCGCCTCGAATATGACCCAAGACTGGGACCCGTGGATATAGAACTTCGTACTTCTTGAGATGTCGTTCCAAGGCATACCTAGAAAAAGAACAGCCAATCAAGCATTCAACCAATCAATCAAAGCATCATTGAAATATAGCTAAAAAGGAGATTGGCAATACACAATTGCTTACAAAGGGTGATTATTGAAATCTCCTAGTTTAGTAGGCATTCTTTCCGAGACTTCCGCTTTTAACAGTTCCTCTTCTTCCAAGTCCTCCTCTTTCGTGCGATGTGGGTTCACCAGCCCAGATAAAGTATGCTTCCACCAGTCATACCCCTCATTTCCAGATGGCTGCACGCGGAGCTTCTTAGTAGCTGTATTCCACATGCTCGTATATCGTCGCGTAACGTCTGTCACGTAGTTGTCTAGAGGAATATACAAGATTTCGCTCGGTTAGAACCATTGGCCCAGCGGATCTGATTAAAAACAATATACGTATAATCAGCCTGCAGTAACGTAACTTGCCTTCATCGTACGCAACTACATATGCTAGGACGTTACTTGAGCAGCTCTTGGAAGGGTGCATTTTTAAAGGGCTGTTGACAAACCCTCGAACTGGATCAATTGTGATCCATTTTCGGCTCAATGTAGAATAAACTTCTGTCCAGAAGACAGGTGGCTCTATCAATGCATAAATATCGACTGATGATTATTTCTGGTACACTAATTAGTTGCAGTCGTTCGAAAAGTGCTTCCTTACCTGCCATCTTATGATTAGGAGTAAGTTTTGTCGGTTTTTTGGGTAGACGATGAGGTGTCACCAGGACTACACGAGATCCTCGTGTGGTATCATCTTCATCTAATTCTCTCTCTTTTCTCTTTTTCTTTCCTTTTTCTGATGTACTAGGCATGCTGGATGCACCCGTTTCATTATCTGCTGGTGGTTCAGAGTTCCCTTTAGCAAGCGAGACTTTAAAAGGACACGCCTGAAGCGATTCAATCAGCCTAGTATTTAAGCCTAGAGCCCTACATATCCCTGTAAAAAGCTGCGAACAAACATCTGTTGATCCATTCCGGTTGAGCAGCCGACGCTGAAGATTCTTTCGCTTCTTAAGGCACTCTTCGCTGCTGTTTGATATCACTGCCTAAAAAAAGGTATATTATATTATAGAACTCTCAGCAGCCTTAAATGGTCAATATTAAATAATCGAATGAATTCAAGCCTACCTCCACGCCTACAACATCAAGATCCAAATATTCTCTGCTTTGGATCCCGGGTCCTGAAACGATAAAAGAATCTCGCCACCAAAGTGCTAGCACCTGCAATGCATTTATCTCCCGTGCAGGGCTATCGTACGTAGCTCTTACAGACCTGGCAATGTGGTCAGGGACTAAAGAGAGAGCCACAGCAGAGAACTTCGGATGACTAATCCAACGGTTACGAAGGAGACCATTAGCGATCAAACACATCAAATGAGTCTGATGAATCAAAATTCGGATCATCCTTTCCTCCTTTGTTATCCCTTTGCTTTTGGATTTTCTATCATATCGAATACCAAGGCGGAAAAGAAGTTAAAGAGAAGAACAATGTTGATTAATGATGAAGCACAAATCTATATGACCAACAAAAAAATAATATAATTTGAAGAGGTCCATTGTGGACTCCAAACATATACCTTTTGATCTCACCAAGCGGCTTATCAAAAACAATCTCTACGGCACTATACTGCCATGGCCCAGACAACTCCTCGACCTGCTCCTCATCATCCTCCTGTCCTTGAGCCATAATAGGACCTATATAAAATAAAGATAAAAATAGAAGGCAGGGTAAAGGAATATCCATCACCGTTGAAGATCAGCCTTTGATACATTGCATTACTTGACAGCCTCACATAAAGACAACAGCTATATTATTACCAGAAATGGATACTTCTTCCCATTCGTCTTCATCCTCGCTGCTACGATCCTCATCCATATAAAATTCAGATTCATTATCACTTTCAAGCGTAGGTAAAATAATACCAGCGCTGTTCTTCTCTTCTTCCTCAGCCGCGGAGCTTGTTGCCGATACCATATCGGTATCTGGACTCTCAACTTCATTTTGCTCTTGCTTGACATTATTTCTCTGTCTCCGTTTTCGTGTTAACAAAGATGAAGGCACTGTCTCTTCCACCGCACGCTTTTTACTTTTGACAGCTGAAGAATCCGCCTTTTTTTGCAAACAGGGGACTTTAATGGCTAGTTGTTTGGAAGATGAAGAGGATACTGCAGGTGTCTCTGATTCGAAATCGCTGTCTTCAGACATGTCAACTTTAATGAGCTTGCCATTCTTTTTGCGTAAGTTGGTGGCGTTTTGTGTCGAATGTCTAGTAGTTCTACGTGAGTTGACGGTGGCACTGTCCGCTACAATGGACATACTACTTGATGCGATCGAGGAATTGCCATCACCTTGGACATTGATGTCGCTTCTTCGTCCCTGCTTTTCAGCTGCATCTTTTCTTGATCTGGGTGCCATGGAGGAATGGTGAAAGAAGACAAGGCTAATAAGTTGCATATTAGGAAACACATTAAGTTTCATTCAACTGAGAATGCGTCATTGGACATAAAGTCGTCACTGGAAAGGACGCACATTCCGCATATCCAACTTTCTTTTTTGCCTATTATGTGTTATACGGCACAGCTCCTTTCACAGGGCCAAAAGTTCTTCTTCGCACTCTTTGAACGCTTGGACAGTGGCCTCTCTCCTCACTCTCTTCCTATCTTCTTTCTCTTTAGTTCTTGATTTATTCAACTTGCGCAGTAAAGCTAGCGAGAAAAAGCCTTCGAGAGGGAGGGACTAAGTCGAGCTCAAGGTATTTGTTCTGATGTTCAATGCGCGAAGGAGCAGCCGTATTGAACATCGAAGCCATCGTAGACCTTGATACCAATATACTGTATGTGCTTGCAAAGGAGCCCCTATCGGACATAGTCGGGACACGAGCATGACTGAAGGAGGCCCCTCTTTACGTTCGCAGCAACGGAGTACTCTACTCCAGATTCTTCGAACGACTTCACCACAAACATTGAAGAACGAAAGAACGATTAGAACCTATCCATATACAGTCAAACTTGTGAAAATCTCGATTTTTGACACATACCTCTCTCTCGACAAATTTCTCATATACTATGGCCTTTGCGTCCGCGGGGCTCACTGCCATTGTTCTCGCCAGCATTCCTCGGTCATACTGCAAAAGCGTTGCAGGCTGTATTCCATTTTTGACCTTGAAATACTATGTCCTGAAGCCCTGGTCAATGGGTCCCTGCAATTTGTAGATAAGGAAATCATTTCGTAAACTGCGCTTCCTTTCTAGTCCATGTGTCTTCAAAGCCTTGAGCCAAGGCTTCAGAAGGCTGTTTGTGTCTACGTGCCGATAACCCAATTGAGTAAATTAGAATGTCGGGGAATGAGATTTATTGAAGCAATCATATACTACTGTTGTTTACTGGTGCTTCATCTTACCTCTCTCACAAAAGGTACCCACAAGGAAAACTAGTTTCTGACCCGAAGAGTCAAGGGCAGTATCAGAATAGCCCTGATTTGCCAGATTGAGGTCACTTCCCAGACGCCTCAGATATAATCGATCACATGGTTGAGGATACTCCACCTCTACAAGAGCGCACATCTACGCGTATTTTGTCGCGCATTCAAGCTTTGGTTGAAATACTCAACAGTTGCAAGTTGTTAAGTGAGAAATGGTTACTGAGAATCAGAAAACTAAATCAGACACGCACAGCCTTTTAACCGGCTAGTTAAAAAAAAAGATCGGTTTATGGTACACCACCATCCATAAAATTTTAACTGTCGGTTGTTTCCTGATATAGCAAAAGTTAACCGATTTAACCGGTTAAGGCCAGTGCTCCGTGAGAATTCCAGAGATTCTCAAAATCGCTGGTCTGAGTGAACTTTTTAGTTTTATCCTCCAACAATGCAATTTCCTTCACAATAAAATTACCTTTATTAGGCCAATTTCCGAGCTATGAAATGTCTGAATAGGATTCAAGGATGCAATACCAAGAAATAGATCCCTATCGAATACAAGTCATTTTTTCAACTTCAATTTATAATAAGTACTTTTATATATGACCCTCAATCATCAGTAGTGCGCCACGAAGAGATCAAATCTGATAAAGAGAATAAAAATGGGGTCTACATAAAAGAACATGGTGGTTATATTTTTTATAAAACTATAAGTCACGGATCGATAATTTAGTAATCCAGATTTATGGCGCACATTGTCATCAGTCACTGGTGAAAAAAAAAAATTGTAGGTCCTGATGCACCTGTGAAAAAAAAAAAAAAAAAAAAAAAAACACCGGTTAAAAACGCTGATCAGTTCTAACTCTGAGAGATTTATGAAACCATTTTCAAGGGTAGACAACGGAGCAAGCTTTCGACTGTTGATGCAAACTTTGTTCAGTCGAATAAAATTCTCTATTGCGGATATACTAGGGTCGACACTGCTTATCGCGTCTACAGGTAGCAGACCCATCGATCTGCTATAAAAGGAATGGATATGTTAGCATACCATTTGCTGCTACCCTGCTCAATGAAAAACATAAGTGGAGATATAGCGCCTATCAGAGCGAGGCGTGCGTACCTTTTCACAAAGCACCTGTGCACCCCCTTAACTCGATCTTAAGCTGCGCGGCAGTTGATCTTAGAATAGTAGACCCTGGATAGCATATTCTTTTATTGATCGAACCAGTGCCCGACATATATGGCAAAAAGTCCTTGGCCTTGTGGATAAAGTTGAACACATGAAGATCCTTCGCATTGCCAGTTGGAGGCCTCTTGTTGTTAATGCACACGAGAAGCGATGATAGGAAGGCCGTACTGGCATACTTCTTTTCATTCTCATCATCTTCTGCAACGCCACCTTTCTCGGCTCGTTTAGGATCCTCATTACTGGGCACACTTTTGCTTAATATACGTGGGCAGACAAGGCCGAGCAATTCTCTGTCTGAAGCACTGATACAGTAGCTGGAAGCTGTTCAACGTACTGACCAACAGCTCTCTGACAAGTGCGCTTGGTCTCCGAAGCATGGCGGACAACTTCTTGGAGGCAAGTCTTGATCTTAGATCTCGGTTGAGGATTATCATTCAATTCTCTATTTAGGTTGCCGTTGATAGTCCCGATATCAGGAATCCTAGTTGGGTGCTCATACTGCATAGCCCTGACCATATCATTTTATCCACGTCATCCACCGCTTTTCGTAGCTTTGTCGATTTCTCTTTCTGCTTCTTCTTCTGCTACTTGTTATAGTCAGGAGCATTCGCATTGATATTGCCTTTATGCTATTTCCATTTGTATTGCTTCATGATTTCTGGGGGGGCATGCTCGAGCTTTCGGGAACGGGTCTTGAACGGATACCGCTCTCAATACTTGTATTTCCTTCCTGAAACATGAGGAGGCATTTGGGCAGGATCTTGGTCGATAGAACGAAAGACATTGAATGAGTTCGTATACTTGATCGTCTGGGATGGACTGTCGACAGAGTCAATGTCCATACGAAGGACGCCTTACTATTAATCAGCTGATTAGTTCCCTCTTATTCCTTCATCTACCAGAATATCTATATACACATATAGCGGGTACTCCCAAAATAGAGGTTGAATTTTTGGATCATTTACACTAGCAGATATTTCAAGGCTCATTGCATTCCTATAGGTTTTGTCGATTAACAATTAAACTGGTTCCTGAATTATCTTTATAACCAATGAAATCTTCCTGTAGGCCTGCTTGGCGCCTTCTCTGTTTGTTTAGCTCCACTTCTGCAGCCACCGGTATCTTCACTGATTTTCGTGTAAAAGATCAAGGATGGAATTAGCTCTCGACAAACGCGTGAGACATAGTCATGACTTTATCAGAGCCCAAATCGGAGCATATACCTGGCCCTGGTTCCCAAGCTGGATGCGAGTCCAAGATATCCCACAATTGCTCAAGGACACTGACAACTGCAAGGGCCAGGTTGCGTCTGAGTGAAGATTTACTTGCATATTCAAGCCTATATTGCTGAGGCTCGATCTCCTTAGGCTGAACCAAAGGTACGACTTCTGACAGTGTAGTGATGGAGTTAGTTCGTATATAGGATAACGAGCATTTATCCTTAATATTATTACATTTTTGTTTCCCTGGAGGTGACATGGCCTGCGACGCATTAGTGCAGCATATCGGGGAGTGGCTTTATTAGCTTGTTGGTCAAAGGAAACCGTGATAACCAATCGGACCTCTCTAATCAGACCTGGCCTCTTCCACGACCTATAGCAGCATGCACTCTCAAAGATATGTGCAAAAGCCGCGGTTGTGACACCTACAATAGATATCATCGCATCGCGGTGCTGCTCTTGATAATAATTCAAGTTGGCTGCAGTTATTGGTGCCCCTTTGCACTAACAGCCGCATACAGCCGCAACAAGAAGGACCTCTATCGCATATTAATACTGGAAATGCAAAGAACGAGGCAACAGCAGTTCATCTGTCGGATACCGAGGCCATGAGCCTTTATAAACGTATGGAAAAGTTGAGGTCTCTCTGTAATTGTTGGGTATAAGGAGCCCCGAACACTACTGGTCCGTAAGGGCGATCCATATTTATTATACATACCTATGAGCAGGTAATGGCTTCTGTGGCTCTCGAGCCCTTACAGGTGAATTAGAAGCGCAAAACCTAAAATGAACTAAGAGTCTTCAGGATATGGATCATTACTGCAAGGCTTTATTTGCCTAAGTAACACCAGGCCTACCCTCCGCATCTGTCTAGCACCACTCCACCATTCAATATCATATTAATAAATTGACATGATACACCTCGATTAGTGTGCAGCATGTCGCCGTCTCTGTTGACCAATATTTATCGAATATATTCTCCTAGGTTTGCAAAGCTGACTGGCGGAAGCTGTGTCTGATTGGAGTAGAAAGAGGAATACACTGGAACATCATTACATAGACTCTTCTTCGTCATCCATCCCGATTATTTTTTAGACTAATACATCATATAATGAGGGAAATTAGTTTCTCCCTTTTTGATGTGCCCCTATTAACAACGCTGATACTTATGATCAGCGTACAGTACAACGTCAGTTCAATTGCACTTTGTCAATCTGGTTGCCGACGTGTGTGCTCAGTTTCATTTAATGAATTGCTTTTTTTTTGAGGCTGTGATATTGGGTATGTGCATGATACGTGGACAGAATACATGAATAGGCTGGAACATGTCCTCAAAATAGTCGAATGTGCTGTGCTCGCGTTGCAAAAGATGGGCTTTTTTCCTCAATGTGAGCACATTACATTAATCATAATGAATTGAAGGCAAAAGAAATTATTGAGATTGACTCGAATTATAGACGTACGAGACAATGCTACACGCTTCATTGCCCTAATATATACCTAACTTGAGAGTATAATAATGTTTTTTTTAAAAAGAAAGTGCAAAACTACATGGAGAAAAATGGTGCAAGGCGCTTTCCTTGTATTATTGGTGCAATTTTATAAAGCAATATGAATTATCCATGTGGAGTGAAAATTATACCTGCAGGCTGTATGTTTATTTTATGTAGTCAATGTTTGATTCCCTGGGTTTAATCAACCGTGAGTGCCAAAGACGACAAAAATCAAAAACGATAAAAGGGGCGCGTGTATTTGTCGAATGAATAAATCAATTTTCTTGGTATATGCTGTTGCTGTTGTTTGAATCTTTGTTTGTTTGTTGATTCGCATAGAAGAATGGAGTGCCACCATGAGCTTTTGACTCCGAGCAGTTGGTGGAACCATCAATTGCAAGTGTAAAAAGATCAAAGGTGCATAAATATTATTAATGTTGAAGTGATTTGGGCAAGCAAGGAATGCATGCTCGAAAATAGAGTCTACAAATAATCATGCAATACATCGTTTAGTTGTCCTATGCCCTCTTGCAAAGTTTGAGTGTGTACTGCAACAAGTAGAAAGAGCCTCCATCCCACTTTTCTTTCTCTGTTGTCGACTTTCTTCGCGCCATGTTATTATTTGTTTGTCATCCAGTATAAAATCATTCCACCCTTTAGACTTCTTTCCTACCACCTTTTTACAACATCCAGTTTTTTGTCTCCTCGGTGAGCCGTGCATCCTCCTCTTTTCTCTTCTCTTAATCTTCTCAGCGAGCAAATCCTCCGCTTTCTTACCTTTATTTTGCACTATTTTAATATCAGCAAAGCTATTGAACGAACATTTTGTCTGTTTGCTTTGCACATACTTTTTTGGCGTTTAAGTTTTTGTCCACTCCACAAAACTGAGAACTTCATTCCTTGTTCATTCTCTCATTCCATTGCGCCAAATCTCTTGCTCATTAGCCATCAACAGAAAACCATAGCAATACCCTTTTTATTTTATTATTTTTTTGTATATTTTTTATAATTTCACTACACAAAATGATGCTATCACTACCTAGACGTACGTTGACTCTGTGCGCACTACTGGCAGCCGTTACGTTCACGTTAGCCCAACAATCAATTAGTGCTAGTACCATTACAATGACTGCTGATGTAAATACAACCACACCTACTACCAACTTTTTTCTCCCAACCAGTACCCCTCCTTCATTACCACCATCAATATCCCAACCTTCTCCCCCGGCACCCGGCCAAGGAACACATATTTGCCCTGGCCCATTGATCCCTAACACACATAACCTCAGTATACAGACATGTATGGAAGGATGCTGCATCAAATGTCCGGCGGTTAACAGCTTCTATGAGCCAAACAAGGTGGAAAATGTCCTGTATATAGCTTATGTGACCCGTCAGGTCTCATTGGTCTTCGCTGTCTTCATGGCACTCTCATACTTGCTCCTTCCGGGAAAAAGGTCACAGCCACACATTTCAGTTCTCTTCTTGACAGTATCATTATCACTCTGGTACGTTTCATTTGATATTATGCCTGGCATATCTAATGCCTGTATCAATGAATTCGAACACTCCACAGGACAAAACTCGAAGCTATGCGGCATTCAGGGCGTGCTGATCATCTATTTTACTCAGACCTGCTCACTCTGGTGTTCCCTGCTCATTTACAAATTGCATATGGTAAGGCACAAGCAATGTTCGTTATTACTTGACTCAGCTACTGCTTGCCAAGTATAGACTGATATGTGGTGCAAGGGGTTAGTGATGAACCACAGTAGCGACACCATGCAGATCCATGGCACTTACTATTTTTTATTTTTATTTTTATTTTTTCAATTGACCCCGGCTTCTAGCTGGCTGTGTGGCGGAGTGACATTATTGATCGCTATTATGGCTGGCTCACAGGCTTTTGTTGGATCTTTCCATTAGCGTTTGCCATACCTGTTGCTGTTAAGAATCTGTCACAGTATCCGGGCATCGGATTCAGCTGCCTCGTCAGCACAGAAAACCTCAACACATACCTGTTTTACCCGATCGCCATTTATATATATCCAGGCATATTGGCCCATGCCTTTACGGTCGCCAAGATGGTCCATGTAAGGATTCAAATACTTTTGATGTCTGCTTTGAAACTATCTTAAACTTATCAAGAATCTTATTTTAATTTGTATTTCAGTTAGCAATTTTGACTTCTAATCTTGACGCTGGCTTGTCGGAGCTGTCATCAAGTGCGAAAATGAGAATCACTACGACCATGCAAGCCAAACGACTCCTCCGTGGCCAATGGCGCCCTGCTTTAATGGTTGGAACAGTGTTAGCCTCTCTGACAGTATTCTGGCTCTTCTATTTCATAGAGGCTCGCCGCCTGGCGCAAGACACAGATTGGATTGCGGGTTGGCTGGAATGCGTCAATGAACACGGAAAAAAGATGTTGCCCCCTGATGAAGTACAGACCATCTGTGCCAAAGTAGTTGCATCACATCTGCCGTCTATCCCATGGTTCACTGTAGCCGAGATGCTTCTAGCTGTGATTGGCATTATTGTAGCGCTGGTCTTCATTACCAAAGCAGAGTTTTGGTCAGATTGGGGCTTCCTGCTCAGTAACATTCTTAGTCGTGGCAAATTGGGGAAAGGCAATCGCGGACAAAGGTCGCACGACGGTGTGAAACCACCAGACATGGAGCGTCCTCGCTACAACAACCCCAGCTCATATCAATACAATGATCCTAATATAAAGAAGGGAGTTCGTGTTGGATATAATGATACTCTGCCTGATCACCTTAAAGGACACAATGGATTGGTCAACCTGGATTATAGCCCCCATAGCAACCAGGCTGCGCAACAGCACAACATGGACGATCTCTTCGATAAGGAGTACGGTTTGCCAGAAACTGATTTACAGAGGAATTTGAGTTATGGGTCCAAAGCAGATATAGCGTCTACCTCATTGCCCAGTACAGAACCGCCACACTACCTCACAGGCAGCGTTCAGAACCCACATTTAGGCGATATTCTCGGTAACTACTCATCAGCCCAGGAGAATAAAGCATGGACCATCGATACCCAAACGCTGACCAATCCAGTAAAGGCGTATCTGGTCGCGAATGACAGCAGTGATCGCTATGTGGATCAGCCTGTTGTCCCACTCCCAGTGCCACGCGCTAGTATCAAAACAAGAGCTAACCATCAGCAAGCATCATCCCCCATATTCCTTTCCAGCCCGACTCATTCACCAATGTTTGCACAGACATCTCTTTCACCAATGCCACCAAAGCCCTCCAATCAGCTATCTATGCCATTTGCAGTTAGGCAATCTTTGCCGGATTCAGCGACAAGCGTACAACCTCAACCTTCTCCAATTGCACCAGCAGCAATGACGACGTCGGCCCCTCCTACATCAACAAACATGGCCTTTTATAACTGGAATGACAGCACAGACAAAATTATGGTAGCCTCGCGAGAAAGTATAAGTGGCATCAATGGCCGCGTTGGGAATGGAGGAGCTACAGCAGCTGTAGTATCTGTCAAAGGATCTAGTAAAACTTGGCAGAAGAAACAGAGTCCTGATTCAGTGAAACGAAATAACAGCACCGGCAGTGCAAGTCATACCAAGGATATCTCTAATTTTTATGCAAGAGGCAGGCCGATAAAAACCCCAAGTACATTGGATCTGCGAACCAAAAGCCTATCGCCTCCAGCTATACCTCGGAAGAGCCCTGCAAGGCAAAATAGCCTGCATCAACGAAAACTCTCGGAGCCAAACAAAGAGCAACAGCAAAAACAACTCATCTACTCAACCCCTATTTCAGTCACATTCCTGCCACAAACAGTAAATAAATAAATAATCATGAATGACGGAGAGTTTGTTTTGCATCTTGCGCTTGGACGACTCTATGCATTGGGATACATGATTAATAAGTTTGTGCAACTCAACTAATTTACTAAAAGTGACGGAAAATTTGAGAAAGAACGCGGTTTTTTTTTTTTTTTTTTTTTTTTTTCATTCTTGGATTGAGTGATTAGTTGAAGTGAAGTTCTTGTGCCAGAAAAAAGGGTGGATATGCCCTTCAAAAAAAAAAAAAAAAAAAAAAAGCGCTGATACTACGTCCACTCAGTTGGCGATCAGAGCAAAGACATTCATGAAAAAGGACAGTGCTTTTAGCATTATATCTTACTATTAAACGAGGCTCCATTGGTGGTATGGGTTCCAATTAAAAGAGCAATCACCATCTTTTTCTGCTCTTGCGCAAAGCTCCTATACTGTTGCTTCAGAGTGGGTTGGACACAAATGCCTTCAACTTTTTCTTTTTATTATCTGAACTGGGTGCAAAAAAAAATTAACTAGAAAAATGACACTGTTTTATTAGTGATGCGCAACCAACAACATAACACAACGCATATTCTGACACATATGCATAAGTGCCAATGTGACTTTAAGACTAATAGATGAATGTAAATGAATGCACTGCAGTACATTAAGGAAAATGGGCGCTGATTCGGTGCACTAAAGAAATGGAAGGGTCCCCTGCTGCGTACAATAAAAAAAACAGCTCTCATCTTAACGGCTTTAGAATATATTCGCTGAGGAAAGAGATTGGACTATGAAATAAAGTTTCAACCAACATTTAATCCATGCACGTTCTCTCTCAATGTCCGACCCCGGGCCCAAAGATGCCTTGAGCACCAGGCATCGGTCTTTTTTTCATTTGTTCATTCGCTGTAGTTCCTTGCCAATCTTTTGGCCTGTGCCTGTTTTTTACTTACCTGTGCTTGTCTTGTTCCCACAACTTCACTCTACTTTTACTCCTCTCCACATTCCCTTTCTTCATCACACCACATTACTTCTTCTGTAAACCACCACTGATTAATGACACTAAAATTCCTTGTTGGCGTAAGAAACACTAGCGACTAAAGCTGAGATACGACCCGTCAGTATTATAAGATCCGGCCCTTCATCCATCCTCCCACATAGATCCCTTTCAAATCAGGCAGAATAATGAGGACATCGTTCCAGACTGTAATCTTAGTTATAGTCTTTACTTTAATTTCAGCAGTTTCATCAGCAGCATCACCACCATTCACCACACCAACTGGCCAACGTCCTTCCCTAACTATCACAACGCTATTGAAATCTACGACTGCTACTACAGGCACAAGCGTCATCCCACCAACATCGACGCCAGCACTGGCCAGTCCAACAACGAGTGCTGGAGAAGACCCTGGGAAAGAAAGCAGTTATGGCAATGCCACCAACACGAGGAATCCGGCTTTAATTTCATGTCCTCCACCACTAATTCCTAACTCTCTTCAGCTCTCCTCGTCGTCATGCGAGGGGCAGTGCTGTATTCCATGTCCTGCATCATCTGTATTTTATGAGCCTGGGAAGCTAAGGACCATCTACATGTTGACTAGTATCATTCGAGCAATATCTGCAACAGCATGTGGCTTCATGTCAATATGCTACATTATCCTGCCAAGTCGAAGGAAACATCCACATTTAATTGTGCTCATCTTCACTGTCTTGTTGGTGCCTTGGGAGGGTATTGGGACGATTTGGTTATACCAAAAAGATGATCTTTTATGCAAAAATGTTTATGAAATCGCCACCATGTCCAATTCCTGGTTGTGTGGACTGCAAGGTAGATCAAATAAGAATAAAAAAGAAGTTGACTGTGATATATTTGCTTTGAGCCTCATTCCTATTAGAGTTTCCATCATCCTCACGCATGTCTTTTATTCTCTTCTCAGGGGTTGCATTAGTGTATATCATTTGGGTGGTGCTCTGTCTCGCGCTACTACTGATCGCCAACCTTCACCTATTAACAGTATATCAATCTTTGGTGGTTGAGTCACACCTGACAAAACTAATTGTCTTAACGTTTTTTCTGCCACTGTCAGCCGTGATCCCCGTCGTAGTCTCAAAGAAAATCGAGAATCCAGGTTTCGGTTCTGTATGCTTTGTGAGCTCTGATGTTGCTAGTCCTTTGTTCTTTTACCCGTTATCTGTCGTTGTTTGTATCGCAGCGATTTTACATCTAGGAACCATAATCTTTATGATCAAGGCAAGGGGATATTGTATTTGTATTATGTTTTTTTTTTTTTTAAAAAAAAATAATAATAATAATGATAATAATAATAATGTTATATATTATTGTTATTATTAAAAATAGACAAGTATCAAAGCAAACACAGTATCGCTTAATGACTCCGCCTCATATGACTTCAGCGACTCACAAAGCAGTAAGACCATTTTTGCAGGACGACGTCGACTTCAGACGGCACGCGATATTTCACGTCTTCTTAAACAGCAATGGCGTCCAGGATTATTTGCTTTATTCATCTTGGCTGTTGATATGGTTTACTCGCTTTTTTACTTCACTGCGGCAAAAAAGCTCGCAATTGTGAAGCCCACAACACCCTGGTTCACGCAATGGACAAAGTGCCTAGAAGGCCAAGCCATGATCTCTATCCAGGCAGGTAGACTCTCACTAACTCCAACCGCGGATCAACTAATCATCGCTGGAGAAGCTGCCCAAGCAGCATGTGCCTCAATAGCTGGCCCTTATGTGCCATCATTCCCATGGGCAGCCCTAGCAGAGGTAATGCCGGCCATTTTAGGGACCATCATTGGCCTTATTTTTGGGACTAAGGTGGAGCTGTGGCAAGATCTAAGGACACAACTATTCGGGAATAGAAACTCTGCTATTCTTACCACGGACGGTAATACAAAAGGAGACCGTGAACTAAACCTCAGTCAAGCCCATGAGCATCCGTTAGACGAACAATATCAAACGAAGCAACAAAGAACTACTAAGGACAATGATTTTTACTCAGGGGGCCTAGGATCAGATCAGGGGTTTTACAATAGCCATGATATTCTAGCACAGTCAGTAGTCCATTATGATAATGATAAGCTTGAATCCTCGATGCCGTCATCACCCACAACTCCTACGTCACCGTCTCCAGCTGCTGGCACATTTAGGAGCAGCTTGAGAAAGGGCTCCATTACAATCGATACTATTCATAGGCCTTCAATAGGACAGGATATTCAAACACCAAAGTCTATGAAAATGACTCAAGAACGAGCTCAGCTTGTAGCGGAGGGGGCGGAACCGTGGCCAGCATGGCCATCATCGATCTTGCATACCTCTCGTTACCCTAACACTGAGCTGGAGTCATTTTACTCCGCCATCCCCATTATCACAAGTAATGGCATCATTAATACTACACCTATCAATGCCCCAACTCAACCGCCTTCTTCTACAGAACGTCGACCTAGCTTCGCTATGAGGATACAGGAAGAAAAACCTGCGGCCGACGCTAACTCAGCCACACAGTGTCAGACATCTGCTTCGCGGGGATTCTATAATTCAGAAGATTTGACAGCTGGTCCAATACTCCAGGCCCTGAGTCGAAAGCAGAGCCTAAAAACGCAGGAGATGTCACGACAGCTAAAACAACAACAGCAGAAAGTACAGGTATCAACAAAGCCGCCACAACTCGAAGTGACGATCCCATTGCGCACTAATAGCCGTCGTGATCGTCAAGTACAGTTCCAGATCGAGTCGGAACCATCACAGCAACAATTAACGCGCACTGATTCTATCCTTAGATCACCTACAAGCCCTAAAAGCGCGAATATACCAACTACATCTCCACCAGTGCCACGAAAGAGTGGCCGCCGGTATTCTTGAGACTAAAAATAACTAGCATACCCAATATCCCTGTAATGAAATATACCATCTAGTAAATTAATAAAAAGTTGCGGATTGTCATAAATAAAAAAGATATATATATATGGATCACCGTACATTAATGTATATCCATTCACAATTAAACCTGAATGTGGTGATGACCAATTGGTAAGGTACTATCCTCAATCATCCTTTTACGAGCCACTATCTTACCCGGTGTACTGTCACGATTATTCCCACCTGCTGTCCTGTTCAAAGAGGAAGCTACAAAAGATCAAGAAGGTATAACTATAGCATACACAGTATGCATATCTTACAGAACAAAGAGACGAGTGATATATTGCATAGTATGCATGCAGTGGGTCACATTGACACAAATTTCATGATGAAATTCATCCATAATCGAGATCAAACCTGGCCAAAGCTTGCTGAGGATTGCTCAAATTTCATTAAAAGATGCGATGAATGCCAACGAATGAATATCATTAGAAAAGGGCATCATATTATGAAGGCGATCCATGCCCAGCTGCCAGGAGAACATATGGTAATCGATCTTGCTGGTCGATTCGTTGAGTCTGAATATAAAAACTCTTGCCTTCTCGTCCTCGTAGGAGTTTGCATAAGATTTGTTTTGCTGGATGCAATCCTTGACAAATCAGCTTACACTGTGGTGAAGACAGTATTCAAATGATTCATGGACATTGACTTTTCTAGTGTATTACAATCAGAAATGGAAAAGAATTCACGAATGAAGTAATTCGTGTCATGACTACTCAGTTATATATCGGTAATTGGCTAACAACACCTTATCGTCTTAGATGAAATGGTGTAGTAGAAAACCATGTTAAATCCGCATGTAATGATCCGTAAAATGGTTAAAGACCGCACTAAACTTTGGGATAGGCATATTCAATTGTCTATGAGAACCAGGATTATTCATCTGCACAACTCTTCCCCATTCTCTTTATTCTTTGCTAGGAAAGTCAATGGCTTCAGCAATTACATTAATAACAAAGGAGTACTAATGAGTCCTGAACGGCTCAAATATTTGACAGAAGCCATGTTTCCTGCTCTTCGTAAGAAGGCCAAAACGACTCAATTAAAAATAATTGAGCACTTCAATGCTGCTGTGCTCCACAGCGAGTTCTCTGATGGTATTAAAGCCATGACTCTCGATCCAATCAGAGCAGACAAACCTGCCCCTCGATACGAAGGGCCATACACGGTGACAAATCGGACCTCACGCGGCTCCCCTTTCCTGAAAGACAATACTGGTGCTATTCTTGGTTGCTACTATGCACCCTCACGGCTCAAATTAGTCTTAGATGATTATAAGGGTATCGAAACCTATGAAATAGAACGCATCATCAGCCATCGACCTGATGACTCCATTCCTAACGCTATGCAGTGTAGTGCACATGACCTTTACAGAAATTACAAATGAATAAATTTATTTGGTATCACGTGCACTGGCCATCGATTATATTGCACTACCACTTACGTATCATGCATTCAGCGTCCCAAAAAATGCACTGTATACCTAGGCTATTTTTATGAAGTTTTCTAGGTACTCAGGCACCTTTTTTTTCACCTTTAATGCTGATTGGCGCAAATGAGATCACGCCATGCAAGAAAAGGTTGATTTGTAATGTCAGGAATGAATGAGGATGAAGCTGACAAAAGGAAAGGTGAGAACAATAAATTGAAGTCCATTTTGCTTCTCATTCTTTCATTCCTCTTTAACTAATCTATCTCACAAAACCACGTCATTATATCTATCTACCCGCTTTCATATTACTTAAATTATGTCTTCCTCTAACAACACTGCTTCCTCTTCCACCAGCCAAGTTGCTGGCAAAAAACGCGCTCGTGAGGAATTGGAAAACGACAAGAGCGCAAGTCGCCAGACCTCACCTTCCCTAGAAGGTCCACCTGCTGCCCTAGCGTTCCACTATGTGCCATGGGAACGTCCCACCAAAAATATACACGAAATCCAGAAGCTCTTTCTTGAGGGTCCATTCTGTACTTTCAGGGAGCGGGAAGACAGTGAGCTTTATCAGGATGGCGATGAAGGGAGTCCTCGCAAGATCCTCTTTCTAGAGGGAGTGCTAAAACGCGATTTGTCCAGCAAACCCGTGACGCGTGGCAAATTTGAGATTTTCGGGCTTCATGAACCATCGCTGATCAAGCAGCTGAAGCGTCGTGACCTCAGGCTGATCAAAAACACGGAATTGCAACGGTTAGAAGCGTTAGCTAGGGCCTCGCAACGTGCACCGGCTGCTGTCGTTTCAGTTGCAACAGAGACTGACCGTCCAGAGTCGACGCTAGAGATGTCAGAACGACAGCTCCGAACGGTTCTCACTGAACTGGAATCAGTTAATGTGGACTCGCCTCGTAACAAGCTTTTGCAAGAAAAAGCAGCACTGTTGTTAGATGTGTATAGAACCTTTAAACCAGTTGCGGAATAAAGTGTTGTTTTCAAAAATATATATTATCATGAGTATAAAAAATTCGTACGGCGGTGCACTTTGGAGAGTACATCAAAACCATAGCTTTTTATTTGCCCTTCTTCTTTTGGATAGACTTAAAGTACGCGTTTGAGGACCCAGCTTGCCTGATTGCAGTATCCATTGTCGTTTTTGCCTTTATAACTCTGTCGTTCAGTGTTGGTCCTTCAGTCTTCAGGACCTCAGCCAGAGTAGCAAAGATAATTCTTCGCTTGAGCATATACTGGTTCCTAAGATTAGGATTCCAGCCTTTGCGCCAGTCCTTTTGGAACCTATTCAAACTCCAAATCGATGGCTTTGCCCCCTGGGCCGTAAACCATTCATCCCAAAGAGGAAAAAGAGGGGTGACCCTTGACAACATAGAGAAATTTGGGGCTGCAGCTCTGACCTGGTCAATTGGGAGCTGCAAGTAAGTCTCTGCAATCTTATCCGCTAAACATTCCAACTTCATTGTTTCCATGGCTTCATTTATCCCTCCATCTTCCTCTTGTTCCTGCACCTCGGGGTCTACTTGGTCTAGTTGCTCATTTTGGCCTGGTTGCTCGTCTTGGCCTGGTCGCTCATCCTGCTCTGGTTGCTGCTCCAAAGCATCCATCCCCCTTTGTTCAAATCCCCGCGGCTGCTCCTGGAGATGCTGCCTTGGAGGTATATGATGTATAAGGTCATTCAACTGTTGTTCTTGCTCTTTCGCTTGACGCTGCTCTTGTTGCGTCAGAATGCGATGCTCGTTCTCCATATCACTAGCTAAATGCCCAAAAGACCTGGCGGTTGTCTTCGTAAGGTTCGACATTACAGTTTGAAGCCCTTGTACGATGGTTATCATCTCACGATGCATATGACTGCATGTTCTAGACCAGCCAGCATTACTATTCTCCGCTGTAGCTTGGAGTGCGCCCATAAAATCATCACGTACGTAATGATCCAAAGATGACACGCTCGATTTGATGGCTTGAAGCTCTTGATGGATGACTGGAGCATTGAAACGGAGACTGTCGTTTGTTGGTGATTGTGTCTTCTGCATGGCATCGTGAAGTCGCAAAGAAAACTCTTGGAACAGTTGCGACGAAAACACAGGGTTACTAGTGAAAACGTGGTGCTGGCTGTAGATACACAATGGATCGCCATTGCACGCCATCAGAGCAACTGCATCTTGTAAAATAACCTTGCGCAAGTGGGCTAGGATAAGCATGATTCGCATGGCTGGAATGTACTCAGCTGGATAAGGTACTGACTCATTGTCAGGACGATTCAGATCTTCGGGACGATCCATCATAACGTTCTCCATCCATCTGGCCCAATCGACATTGTCTGGAAACAGCTCCTCAATGAATGGAAAGATTTGCTTCTGTAATTCAACAGGCGGTATAACGGTGTTCCGCGGAAGCCAGAAATCCTCATTCTCGTGGAGAAATCCGGCCATTTTAAATGGTACAGTCTGCGCTACCGGACTAAGGTAATGCGTTACCAAGCGGCGATGGTTCCAATTACCATGTTGGGCAATATCTTCGATGCTAGCCCCATTGGCTTGCGCATGTTGCGCCCCAGCCTTACGGCCACTATGAGTAACCTTGGATGATGTGTAATGCGCTAGCTTCATCACCTCGCTTAGAGATCTGAGTATGGCTATGCTATTGGTTAGGAAACAGAGTACAAAAACTTCATGTAATGGCGTATTTGCATTTCTGATAATTTCACTTGCCTGTAGAGAGTCGCAGCATCCATCGCTTTGTATTTGTCAGAGGCATGTACAAGGTACTGGGATTTCCAGTCATGCATGCGGAAATTTGGAGTAGATTCTTTCGTCTGTTGTGTAAGGTAAAGGGGTATTTTAATCATGGATGAATATTAATAGACAGCTTATATGCTGAGTTAATCTTCAACAGCAACCCATAGAAGCAGCCAATACGTACCATCCACTGCTCGAATAGATAAAAAGCGAGGCATCCAACAGGGCAAATCTCTACGTCCTTGTTACGAATAAATACAGAATGGAGCGTATGATCATTGTTCATTTTTCCTTGAGGGATTGCTATTACAATCCCAAGTGCGAACTGGTGTCCATTTCCAGCAGTCGCAAAGTGGTGGGGAAATAAGTGGCTCACTAAGGCATCTCGTATACTTTGTCCCCGAGTGATCATAAAATGATTAAATGCAAAACACAGACGATTACGCGCGCCAACTAGCTTCTGTGTCCTGGAGACAGCACTCAGATGCTTATAGCTCCTGCTCCACGAGATCTTCATAAATTTCTTGAACATAGATAGAGGATATCCCGCACCAACTGTCAGTTGCAGAACGTCCTGGGACGACGTTCTTTTGTTCTGGTTCAAAAGTAACGTTCATAATCTGTTTCTAGCTCTGCTGATATAAAAAAAAAAAATAAATAAATAAAGAAAGAAGGCGTGAGACTGAGGCCATAGAGGGTCGGCGTACGGCTCTAAGCAAATGGGATACATAATGGGTCCTTTGCTCAGAAGCACTCCTACTCTCTTAGAGGGTGTTGGTATTGCGTTTTATTGAATCCATCTTTTTTTTTTTCTAAAGGGGTTACGGGGACAAGAGACAGGAACGCCGAGAAAGTAAATGAGTGAGTGGGAAGGAGAGCTTACTCGGTTTAGAAGGGTTTGGAAAGGTGTTGGGTGTAGCAATGAAGAAGGAAGAAAAGGAATGCATGAATGCATGAGACATTTTTTTTTTTTTTTTTTTTTTCCCAGTATAGCCTGGGAGGTATTTGCAGAGGTTACAAGCAGGATTACAATTGGTGCGAAAACACAGTCACATATATACTTATTGAATACAAATTTTGTAATTTAAATTGTTAAGATTTCATTTTGTAATCCGATTACAGCAAACTACCGTTTCAGTATCTGGTCAAATGGAAAGGCTATGAGCATTCCGATAACACTTGGGAAGCAAAAGAACATTTTATTGAAAGACAATGCATAAGCGACTATTGGGCAGACTTCTATGCCAAACCCAAGCCTTCTATCAATAAACCGTCTAGTCCCTCCATACGGCGTACTCGTACGCACAAACAACGATAGTCATGTACAAAATAGCGTACAACGACGACATCTAAAACCAACAATGATAAATAATAATAAAGCAAACGAATCTTTATTGTGGAACACTATACGTTACGCATGTATTCCTGCAGAAAGCTTTATTGCTTCAGACACCACCTTCAAAGTATCGGCGTTCTTGGCTCCAGTTTCTGCTTGCAGTTTAGCTATATCAAGCAGCTTCTCCATGTTATTATCACGTATCCTCTTGCCTGTCTGATAATATTCCACAGCAGGAGATAAGTAAGATAGGAGATTCTTCGAACACATTTACTCTGCACGACATTGTTGATGCTCCCTATCCGCCGAGCCAGGCTTTCCATGGCCTCGAAGGCGTCGACCGTATTTATAAGAATGCGTTCCGGCAGCACTTCGATCTCATATGAAGACCTTCTTTTAACATTATGCGTCTCCATAAATACTTCGCACTCTGTGGTCTCCTGAAGAATCTCGTGGATGTTGCTGCGCCCCTCATCATATTTGACCGCAGCTCATGCACGTTTTACGGGAGAGGGTTTACCTGATGACTCAATCGCATATCCTTCAACCGGCAAAACCGCAGGAGCAAGAGTAGGTGAAAATTCTGATACTGGCGTTGGCTCCTCACGAGCACGCTTGTTACCAGCGCTGACTGAGGAGGAGGAAGAAGAAACGGTGTTGTTGGTGGACAATGCACTGGAAATTTAAATTGTGAACCTGTTCTCTTTGTTTTATTGTCCTAAAATTCCTCCATTTCCTTTTGGGCCTTTGCTTTCATTGCTTTTATTTATTGTATCAGATATATTTTTTATATTGTATCTTATATATTTTTTATATTGTCATGGCCGCTGCACGTTCCACACGTTCGTCGGCATTATTATTATTTTCTTTTATAGTTGTCTGAAGGAAATGACTTCGCCCAAGATTGCAAGTGGATAACAAAGCTGAGTGCGAGCTTAGAATGGAAAGAATGAGACTATCCGTCCTCTATTAAAGTTGAATTTCTCTTCTTTCTCTCACCTTATTTCATTCGTTGTTACTGATAGCGCCCCTAGAACAAGGACATGCAGTATTTGCGATGACTCAGGATACGATCGAAGTACAGAAGAGTGGGTTCCACATTCAATATTTCGGTTTTGTCATCCTCACCAAAACCGTAAACTTTTTTAGTCTGTGTTGGAAATACATCGTTCATTGTACACGGTTAGGGAATGATTTATTGAAGACGTCTAGGTAGCAGGTGAGACGCGTTTGCTCCGAGCGAAAACCTCTCATAGGCATTGATCTCCAAATGGCACTTCCAAAACTGTATGAGCGACCTACTTGAAAAAAAAAGTCATTAGTTTTCTAAATGAGACAAGACAATGTCACTACGCATAACTATGACGTAGAAGACGGGAGCTTTATTAATTTGAAGTATGAGCGTTATATACATATACGGTTCCTAGGAATGAAAAAAAAAAAAAAAAAAAAAATAGTTAGAGGCCAAATAATGCTGGGTAGGCTGCCAAAGAGAGTCTTGAAAGTTGACTATATTTGGCAATGGGCTGCCAAATAGATTAATCCTAAAGCAAAAACGTTCAGGGCGGGGGTCGAACCCGCGATCTTTGGCTTCGGAGACCAACGCCTTACCTCTAGGCCACCAGAACTTGACCAACCGGATCCAAATCCGGTATAGTCGGCCAAGTCTTGGTAAATTCTATATATAAAGCTAACTATTCCACGTGATTTAGCACGTGCATCGAAGCACATCACGTGGGAAGACGCTATTTTTGGGTGACGGTGCGCTGTCGACAAGAGGTGCCTGAAAAGAAAGGATGGATGATCTTTGCGCACAACGAACCAAGTAGGGCCGTGCTATAAGTCTTCAAAGACTGTGTGCAGGATGTGGTTGATTATTAGATGCCACTTTATTTGCGATCCCAGAAATGTGGCCACCCATTTATAGTTACCTGACTGCATGGATCCTTGTTTTCAATACAAATAAAAGTCTTCAGATACGACGATCCCCTGGATACCTCACTAATAATTGAAAATGATTATTGGGAGGGTGAGGAGTGAATGTGAAAAACGAATATCCAAATCGTGTGGGGGCAGAAGTGAATTATTTCAGCGAACTCTATACTTCCCCTTATTTTTACTCCACATTTTTTTTTTTCGAACATTCACTCCATTCACTTATTGCGCCTATTCGTTTTCATTTCTCTTCTCATTACACTTGTATAGCTTCCACTCTTTTTTTTTTTTTTTTTTTTTTTTGGACAATGTTCAAATCCGTAGCAGACCGGCTGGGATTTCCTCATTCCCACCATCACCACTCGTCCTCAAATGCTTCCTCTCACCCTTCGTCTTCGCCTTCAACGTCAAATATACCTACTATTAACAATGGCTCTGGGCCAAATCACCGTACTACTCTTTTTTCCTCTACTTCGTCTTCTCGCGCACCAAGTCGACAACAGCAGCATAATTCATCTAGTAGACATGCTTCTCCTGTTTCTTCTGCTTCTGTAGCCGCAGTGCAGTATCATACATATGTATCACGACCCACTAACACGACTTCAATGCCAGCCACGATCACGACTACACCGCGTAAATCCTCTCTTTCCGTCTCTCAAAAGCCGGTCCTCCCACCCCTAAGTTTTCACAACACTCGTGATAATAATTTGGCACTCTCAATGGTCAATGCAGGGGTTGACCTGGAGGATTCATCTACATCAAGGGCTGCCGAAAATGTCATCGTTACGGTCAGACTTAGACCTTTTAGTATCTCGGAGCTAAAGGCTGCAGGAAGAGAACCCATGGAAGTGTGGGCAGTCCATGATAACTCACGGATCAGTTATTCGGAAGACTACTCAATGCGGGAACGCCGGGCCGCAGTTGACTATAGTTATGGTAAAAATGATGGGTTTGCGGGTTTTGAGGTGTTACAAATTACACAATAAATTGCAGTCGAAGTTTATTTTGAATTGAAATCATGTTTGATACTTACTGCGTTTTTGCTTTCTTACTCTGATGAAATAGATCATGCCTTGACCGGCAGTGATAATGAGCTAATTTACAATACAAGCGTAAAGAGTCTGGTCCAGTCCACGATGGAGGGTTTTAACGGTACAGCCTAATTAAGACTGCTAACTAGCTTTTTTGTTCTTTCTATTTTTTTTTTCCAGCTGCACAATCTCTTTTCGAAAAATAGGAGACCAACAATGTGTTTCTGATACTGATTTAATTTCTCATTTTTAGGCACGGTCTTCGCTTATGGACAAACATCATCGGGAAAGACATATGTAAGCAAGCACTCTGAAGGGGATATAAGTAAATAGAACAGTTCATTTTAGATGCATAATTAGTTTCTAACACCTTTTAATTGTTTTAACGCTGCATGATGTTAGACAATGGTATGTTACATTTTGTGAAATGAAGTTTAAAGCGCTGCCATGTGGTTTAGTGCCCTGCTCTTATATAGTTCAAGATGTTCAATTTTTTTTTTTCCTTCCTTCTTTGTTTCGATTTATTGTTTTAGAGTGGAACAGAGAAACAACCTGGAATAATCAGCCGCGCAGTTGAAGACATATTCAAATATATCCGCGAAAACCCTGAACGTGAGTTTCTCTTGCGCGTTTCGTACTTGGAAATTTATAAAGAGAGCATTCGTGACTTACTTTCCCCGGAGGCTATTGATCTGCGAATCCATGAGGATCGAAAGGTATACACTATGAGCTTTTCTTTTCATTTTTTTGTTTGTCTGATTATTCATTCGATTGTCCTAACCTTCTTGGACTCATGTGGACTCATTTGTTGCTTCTTCTTCTTTTTCATAATAGGGTGGGATCTATGTCAGTCCACTAAAAGAAGAGATTGTAACCACACCAAGTCAAGCCATGAGAATTATTCAACGAGGAGATTGTATGGTGATTTAAAGAAGGAAAAAAAAAAGCGCCTGGGTATAAAATCAATCAAAAGAAATTATTGAGTTCAAACTAAGCGTATGCTGAAATATTGTTCTTATAACTTATAGATCAAAGGCATACAAGTTCCACCGATTACAATGCTCATAGCAGCAGGTCACATTCTATTTTCCAAATTGTACATAGCATAGGCTAAAGTCAGAGTAGCAATCTTAATGTTTGCAGGGTGCTGCACCTTTTTTATGATCGGTAGTTAATTTTTGAGCTTATCCCCCACTCTTTCTAGGTTGTTGAAAGTAGAGAACGTGCTCCAACTGCACCCTTAAGCCCTACAGGACGAAAGATGAGTTTTGGACAAAAATCTCCCAGTGCTGTTCGTGTTTCACAACTCAACTTGATTGACCTTGCTGGATCTGAAAAGGCTTCTTCCGATATAGAGCGACGCAAAGAAGGAGCATTTATTAACAAATCACTATTGGCTCTTGGCACAGTTATTTCAAAGTTGGCAGATCATAAAGGGAAAGTTTAAAGTGCATAGGGAACAGTCAATTCGTTTTTAATATCCTGAAATCCTAAGCCTTTTTTTTTTTTTTTTTTTTTTTTTAAAAAAAAAAAATCTGATATATATGATCTCTTTGGGACTCATAGGACGCATATCCCGTATCGCGACTCCAAACTGACAAGGTTATTGCAATCATCCCTCAGCGGTAATGCTCGAGTGTCTGTCATTTGTACCATCAGCCCAGCGCTCCAGAATGTAGAAGAATCGCATAATACTCTTAAATTCGCAGCTCGGGTTAAGAAGGTGGTCACCAAAGCACATACCAATCAGGTCATGGATGACAAAGCGTTGTTAGAGAAGTACCGTCGCGAAATCAGTGAGCTCAGAGCACAGTTGCTATTGATGGCAGCTCAAGCAGCAGATGGAGCTGATGGTGGCATTGTTCATGGGTCTGGACAGCATGTAGAGCTTTCGGACCTTTTAGCGAAGGAGCGGCTCAAGCATGAGGAAGAAATGATTGAGATGAATATGGTCAGGAATGCGCTTAAGGAGCGTATCGATCATTTGACTAAACTGATCTTGACATCCCAATCTATCGACGCTAGAACGGGTGCTGCTAGCAGTGGTCAAGTGCCGATGGGGCGATATACGGTCGAGACTTCGGCTGATGGAAGTCTGATGGAATTTCCGAAGGAGATTGAGACACGACTGGCTAGAAAGGATACGATCGTTCGACAACTGCAGTCTGAGCTGGAAGCCCAACAGGAGAAGGTGGCACTGATGAAGAGTGTACTCCAGAAGACTGCCAAAGGTGAAACGGTTGATATTGAAAGGACACTGGCACGAGTTGAAATGGAGCCGAGAGAAAAGTTTTTGATTGAAAAACGGGCCTCTATCAGGAACTTGAATGGTTTGATGTGGCAAGATGGAGCAACAGGCAGCACTGCTAGCGCTAAAAGATTGAGCAAAGAGATCCACCCAACTATCGTTGCAGGCGGCGACAATGGTGTCTCTAACCAAGTCATTACGCATCAACGGAGTTCAAGCGGCGGCAATCATGACGAGGGCAAGGATGATTCTTTAGAATTACTTGAGAGTGAACACCTTGCAATCGATGATGAGGAAGAAGATGAGGACTTGATGGATACACCATGGAACCGTGCTGAACTGATTTCATTGCGCCAAGCTAAGCGTGAGCTTGAGATTGTAGTGATTGAGCAGGAGAAGAAGCTGGAAGAACAAGAAAAGAAACTAGAGGAAATGGTAGCGTTTGAAGACTCGGAGGATTTCAAGATGTTAGTGATTGAGCTTGAGGAGCAACGCGAGAAAATTTTGGCGATGGAGGAGGAGCGTGAAGGGTTTAGAGCTACGATTGCAGAGCTTAAGAACAGGATCCGGAAGCTAGATTTAGACCGTGCAGAGTATGGGGGCGGAGCTGCGGTTGAAAGTATGGCAACAACCTTTCCGGCTACTACTGTAAATATTTCGTCCCCGCCTTCATCATCACCATCATCACCGGCACTCAGAGCTGCAGCGACAATCACAAACAACAGCCTAACAGCAGCAGCGTCTGCAAGCAAGATTCAGCAGCTGGAGATGATGTTGCAGCAAGAACGGAGGCTGAGGACAGAAGAGCGGGCGAAGAGTATGAGTCGCATCGTGTCCTTAGAAACTGAGGTGACGATTTTGAAAGCAGAGCAGTCTGTGCGGGAACTCGATTTGAACAGTTAAATTATAAATGTGATGATACATAGTCATATAAAGTGTAAAGCAGTTGCATTCGAAGATTGTGCGCGCGTACATTGTTTTATTCAGAAGTACGGGGAAAGTTTATCGCGATCGATTATGGCTACAACTCCCTCTCTGCTTATAGTATTCCTTCCATAATAGGCATCACCGCTGTCAATCCATTAGTTGCATTTAGTATTTCTGTTACTCCTTCCTTAGAGGACACATCCCCTGTCTTAATATCATCTCGCTTTCCTATCGATCCTTTTCTTCCTTTGGCACCCTTGTTATCATTTTTGTCTAGTATTCCATGTGAGATCTTTACTCCCTCCATTGTGACACCCATATTTCTCAAGTTCATCAGTAGCCGATCAAAGTGTCTCTGGCCTGGTCGATAATGTCCTGATTTCGGATTGATCTTGACTAGTTTTCCGCGATTAACCACAATCCCTCCTGCAGCGCAAACAGTGCCACCTCCCAAAAAGCTTGAATGATGAAATTGTCCTTTGATCTTTTGAGCAATATAGAGCGTCCCTTGCGGGTCCGTTACGTAAATGTATTTACACTTGTTCCGTATTCGTTTCTTTTCTAGGCGGGTTGCTTCGTCATCATTCTCATTCGTTTCGGGTAATATCTCTGATACATCGACCTCATCTTCCGGCTGGATTGATTCTGGAAGTGTATGGACTAATTCACCAGAGATTTTGTAGTATAGCAGCCCATCTATTGCATGGACTGCATAATAGGCCCGCTCATGTTCTTGTAGGTATTGAACTCGCTGTTTGTCTAGAAGCGCTCGAGGTCGATCCTCTAGGTCGACATTTTTGCCATCGCCTTTGTCCAACCAATAAAAAAAGTTTTCAGACGTGTCCTGCTCTAACCAACACTCATGATAAGCCTATTATGAAAGAATAAAAGAAATAAATAGAAAAGGGCCCTCTGTTCAAATGGTTTCTTTCCGAATATAGATCATCTAGCGTTGTGTTTTTTACCTTTAAGTTTGATCCGTAACGGTGCTTCTTGTCTGACAATTCAAGCCAATGCTCTGTAAGCTATAATGAAATACATATATATGTCAGTAATTTTACTACTTTTCGCCGACCCATTAATTCCCTTTTTTTTTTTTTTTTTTTTTTTTTTTTTTGGAGATGCTTATTACCAAGACCAGTGCTTCCTCGGCTGAGATAGCACCACTTCCCTAAAGAGTGTGGATTTTGTTCAAATCGTGTAAAAAAAAAAAAAAAAAAAAAAAAAAAAGAAAAGAGATGAGAGGAGGATTAGTCACTATAGCCATTTTGTTACTTGTGGGCGCAGTGTTAGAGGATACCGTACGTCTAAAATAGTTGATACGGGTGTAGTGGTCATGGTTACTGCGGCTTAATGGTTTATAGTGAATTAAAAGATGATTGTCCTCGGTTTTTATGCACTATGATGCCTGCAGTCTCTGTCCTTATGCCCAGTTAACTGTTCGTGAAGGCTGAAGTAAGGGGGGCGAAGGTGAGAGAAAAAGTGAAATCATTGTAGACGATGTGACCTTTGGTGAAGGAAAAAATAAAATGCATAAAGCATCAGAGGTAGAGTCCTAAAATCATATGAGATCAGTTTTTTTTTTACCTTGCCCAATCTTGAGCTAAGAAACTCGGCTCTTCGCCACACGCAACGTGTCCTGTTTACACTCTCAGTGGAATGCTTAAGCTCGAGGGGGGCCTGCTGTTGATGCAAATTGACTGAGGAGAGAAGCAATATTTGTTATTTGAATGGGACAGAAAGTCAAATAAGGCCTGTTGATGCCTCTCACCCAAGAGCTAATAATTACCTTGTGCATCTGATTTGTGAATATACTCAATACGGCTATAATCAATGAGATGTCTCCATTTCTAATTAAGGTCGAGTCCCAAGAGAGAGGATTAAAGAAGGGTTGTGGATTTTAACATCATTGTTGATGTTTCTTTTTCTTATAGAGTAACTAAACCAACTGATCAATCAAACCATGTGCATGATTTTTTATCCCTTTTGCTCACTCACTCAAAAGTTCCAATAGGCCCCCCTTTTTTTTCCACTCCATCCAGAAGTGGGCCCGCATCATGTCTTTTTATCACAGAATCATGATCATGGGCGTTATCCATCGTAGTTATTATTATTATTTTATTTTTACCTTGGATACTGTCAATGGTGGAGCATAAAGATCTCTGCGAACTCTACAAGGATATATAATAAAGGTATGTCATTAGGAGCCTTTGTATTATTTGTCCACCATTGCACAAAGATTTCCAAAGTCTCTTGGTGGAAACATTCATGGTCAAAGATGAAGAGGAGCATTTACTGGTATCCACGGTAGACTGATTGAATGAGGGTAGCAGCATTATTTAGTTTTGCAATTCGTTCTTCGTTCAGTTGTCTTTTTTCTTCGTTGTTGTTGTCTTCCTTGCTCAGGAAAGTGTCTTTGTTGTCCTGAGTGTCCGGTGTGGATGAATGAAACGAATGAGGGACATCGGTTGCACAGGCAACATTAGCAGTTGCGATGGTCATAATGTAAATGGGATGAGTAATGGTTACCAGTTTTGCTTTTTGTCAGTGAGTCAATGGTGCAAATGAAAGGAAAGAGAACACGAGACCGTTTACTTGATCCAAACGTCCAACGGTGCCATTGGTTGCTTGTTGTAATATTGCTCAGGGCTCTTTTTATATATATATACTCGTGATAAAATGTTCAGAAACAACCATCAGAAGAAAATGACGCGAAATGCATTACTTCAGATCTGGTCTGCCTTAAAACTAAGGGCACAATCCAAAAGATTATTCCGTTCTGCCGCGCTGCCTTTTGTAAAAATACCTCTGAAAGGGATGCATTTCGCTTTTCAGTACATCACTCTTTCTGATCTAGAGAGAACGCCTAGACAAAGAGAGCTCCTTGATCTTAAAAGTTTATACCTTTTTTTTTAAACTTTTTTTTACCGCTTTGTTTACTGTCGCCTTTATATTTGTCAAGGGGCGCAGTCTTTAACAGCGTTGCAATGAACGAGATGCAGGTGATGCGTTAGGATATCTACAAAAAAAAAAAAAAAAAACGCTTCATTATCCATAAAATATGCCCTTGTAATCAATCAAATAAAAAAAAAATAAAAAACCCTTTCTTCAAGTATAATTAAAGCCTGGAGACGAACTGTGCATGTTTCGTTTCATGCAAAAAGCCTTGAAGAATATTATGACATTGTGAAAGGCATTGAACGATAAAGTTGTGGTTGAAACATAACCTTTGCATGTGGATAGTTTTGGCAGCTAAACGTGGCATTGTCATGAAACATCGTAGACGACTACTTGGGACCAAAAGGAAAATCAAAAAAAAAAAAAAAAAAAAAAAAAAAAAAGAACAGTTATTACAAAAATAAACCGATTCATGCATAAAATGAATGTATACTTACTGTTATTGCACCGACTATCTACTCTGTGGCACTACATTGGTAATTGGGATAATCTGAATCCTCACCAGTTATGAATCATGTTATTTTTACTCCGAGGAGAATTCTGTGCCCCGGTTTTTTGGGCCGATCAAGTTACACCATTGTGCAACAGATAAAGGCAAAGTAAGTTTATTACTAAAATCATTTCAATTAGCTTCGCCACAGCTAGCAATTGCGATGCTTAAAAAGGCGCGTTCCTCTTCTCTTTTTTTCCCCTCTTCTTCATTACATATTTCAAGCTCCGACTTCGTTTCCTCTTATTATTATCGTATCGCAAGGAAAATCACAAGCACTTCACAATAATGACCTGGATTGTGGATTTCACCTCACAGCAAAATCAATTTTCTTTCGTTCCACCTGAACCCGCACCTGAGAAGTCCGGTGTCCATAGCCGCCACCTTCAAGAGTTCTGTACCTTTATCCCTTCTTCTAGTGCTAGCGCTGATAGCGCTGGAGCCAGAGCTGATCGGAATAAACACCACTATGAGTCCTTTAGTGCTCCTACTAGTCCTACTCTTCAGAAATTTAGCAGCATTTGCTGCTCAGAAGATCATAGTAATGGCGGTAAAGCTGAGCATTATGCGCTCAGAGAAATTATCCCTATCAAAGTCATGGACTTCCTCAATTACTTGGTAAACCTATTCAACTTCTATATCAAAAGTATACGAGATCCATCTTCCATTCCAGGCGTAAGTTTATGGAGCCGAGCCTATGCATTGGGTGCCTTGCCCGTCATGACAGGGTTCTTGGTGTTCATTCAAGGGTGTATCACGTTAGCCATTCAGGGAATAACTTATACAAAACTTGGTCAGAAGGCATACGAGTGGCTTATGAGTGACCAAATCCTGTTGCTTGATCCAACTGGTAAGTGTAAATAAGGAGACGAACATACAAGCAATAGTCATTTGTACCGGCGCCATGTTAGCTTACTTTGCCTTTATTTACTTTGTTTGGGCTCATGCTTAGACGAGGTTGACCCTAACGGCCTAAACGAGGCCTTAAAGCAACTGGCAGATACGCAACCACAGCCCAGGCCCATATTCAGCTACTTCCTCGCGCATCTGCTACTGACCTTATCGACTGTCACATATGAACGCGACGATGAACTGGTTCGGAAGGCATCTTTAGCCATGAAAAATATGAATAGTGATATAGAGAGAGCTAAGGCAGCCGAATGGCTTTATGCCAGCGAGCTTAGCATTGATAACAAGGCTCAGCGTCTTGGCATGAGGTTCACAGGGATTAGTGAGCTCAAGACATTGGGTGGGCCTTATGCTGGCCTGTTCTATAATAACCATGCTATCGTCTTGGTCTTCAAGGGTACATCTCCTCTTGCCTTCAGTAGGTGAAAGATCATTTTGCTTTTGTATAGATATGTGAAAACATTTTTTGCAACATTCTGCAGCACTATACTAACATATATTCCCCCCCCCCCCCCCTCCCTTTTTTTTTTTTAAGATGAATTTCTAATTGATGGCAGTATCCAGCGCGTAGACGCAAGTGAGTATCTCTATGGGGAAGTCCATAAAGGTTTTTACGAGTTTCTTTTCCCTGACCCAATGCCTCAAACCAAGCAAGCCTCATATAACCCTTTTCAAACCATCATGGAGACTGTTTTTGAAGAAGCCAGGAGAATTAAGCGACAAACAGGGAAGCCCGCGAACCTCTGGATTACAGGGCATTCTCTTGGTAAAGGCAGCTGTCATATAATACTTTCATTCATTATAGATTCATAGATGAACGGGACAGCCTTTAAACTTTTTTAATTTTTCCTATTTTATTTGCGCTATTATGGTGCCGTTAATAGGTGCAGCCCTTGCAGCTATAGCAGTGGCTCGAATGCAAATGGCCCTTCGTCCCGATGATCCACTCTTCAAGGATTGTGATCCAGCTACGATAAGGACCCATAACAGCGATGGTACCCCACGAACAGTGCTGGATGAGATGCTTTGCCGTTACATCGCCTCAGCAAGTTCACCTCACTCTACTTTCTTATCCTCGGCCGCCACGTTCCCGCTTACAAAGCTTCGACGTCATCGCCACCACCATCATACTCATCACACCAAGGATGGCAAGGGTGAGAAGTATAAGGAGTGTAAGGAGCGTAAGGAGGATGAAAGTAGTGAGTCTGATGGACAGCATGACCACCAGCACGAACAGCATGAAGAAAGCACGGATCAATTACTCATCCTTCGCGACTGCTATACCTTTGCATCCCCCAAAATTGGCAACAGCAAGTTTGCAAAGGAGTTCGATGAGCATCACGTCAGGTTTCATTCTAAGAGTTGCTATAAGCCGGTGCTTTACCGTGTAGCAATTGATTTGGATGTCGTCCCAAGGCTGCCACCAGGCTGCAGCACGGATCCTGATGATACACGTGAACGTATGTTCCCGTGCATTCAATGTGCCAATAGAGTAACTGTATCACAGTCATCATCATCAGCAGCGGCGATAGGTCCGTTGTTTAGACAACAGGCAGATGTAGAAGGAGAGCCGCTGTTGTCAAATCCTGTTAGCTATGGTGCTGTCGAAAGCACTTCCACCCAGACCATAGAGGTGGTGACAGCAGTATCAACAACAATACCAGAAACCTCTAAAAGACCACCGCCCTCTCCACATACACATATGACTTCATTGCTAGATTACAGACACGTTGGTCAGCTAGTATGCCTTTCGAATTCATATATCTCTCCAATCGTCAAACCCTCCGAGTTACAATCAAACCTCTCTGCCAATGTCCTGCGAACAGACAAAGAAACGCAGCTGCTCCTTGACTATATCGATGCGGTCCTTCGTGTATCCGAGGATGACTTGTGTCAAGAAGATTCAGGAAATAACGACAGTAATAGTAGCGACCGCAGCAACAAGAGCAAGGACAAGGCAGAGAGCTTTGTCAAGTGCCGCACATTCGATGCAGCTAAGATCAAGCGAGAGATGGAGAAGGCTAAAGTACGCCGTGATTTGGATGAGCTCAACTGGCTGCGAGTGCCCTGTGATGCCGAGAAGTTCCTGTTGACGTTTTCCGGCGTGATTTCACATTCCCCAGCAGCGTACCAGAGAAACCTGGTGAAGTCGAGATATCATTTCAAGAGCTTTCCAGGACCAGAGATGATGCAGAAGTTATATTACCTTCAGCAACAACAACAGCAAACCCATTAGCATCGCCAGAAACCTCGAGCGATAGGGATGGTGGCGACACCATCCAACATTACGATAACGACAATGACTTCAAGGTCAAATATTATTTCTTCATTCATGCCTTCTTCATCCAGATCAGATCCCTGCACCACAAAAGGCTAAAGATATTAGTCAAGGATGTTCAGAAGCAAAACTAGCCAAGATAGGATTTTAGCGACTCAGCGAAGGCATACACATACACGGCTATTTGGGAGTAGAAATCGACATGACAACGCGTAAGAAGGATATAGAAGTTAGTGCTTTTCCCGTGCATAGTGTTTTGGACGAGGCAAAAAAAATAAAAAAATAAAAAAAGATTATAAAGTATAGATATACATCTTATTATCTTTATTTTTACAGATTGCTGGTAGAAGCACAATGTGGGGGAGGAGCCATGTAACATTCGTGAGGGGGCAATGCATCCAAATCTTTTCGTGTAGAAGCTCTTTTTTATTTTTAAAACCACTGATGGGGCTATTTGGTGGTCGTACAAATAGTTAAGCAGGGGCTTGATCCCTTGATGTTGATGGTTTCTCTCTCTTGCAGGAGTCTCTCTTTTCGTCCGTGTTCAATGACGAAGCGCGTATAGAGTCCTCGTCAAAAAGTCGTCGACTAATATATTTCTCACATTTTTCAATTGAATAAAATACCCTCCGTTTTTAGACAGATAATGTAAATTTCTGTTTTTTCAGATTTAATTCAAGTTGAATATTTTAAAATATATTAGTCGGCGACTTGGTGAGGACTCTAACCTTCTTTTTTTTTTTTTTTTTTTTTTTTTTTTGTTTATCTATACTCTCTTCCTCCGAGGAATTATACTTTCAATGCACTGGCATTGGGATCTTGTCATCACCTTAGTTTTGTTATAAAAGCTCACCTCCATCTCGCTTTCTCTCACATCTACAAAAAAAAAAAAGTTGCACATCCCCTTCCCTTTTTATTCATTTACCATCATGCTCTTCAAGAACCGATCCTGCTTCTCTCTATTACGGTGTTACAATCCTCACGCGACAGGACGAGCCACATGGTAGGGGCAGCGCCGCTTGTAAAAGATGGCCTTGGAGGAGGGACCAGAAAGACCTTAGTGGCAAGACAGAATCCCAATGAAGACCTCAATAGCGGCTACTATATTATCAGGGATCCTGATGGTAGCGGAAACTTGGCCGAAGGAAAAATCGAGGGAGATCTAGAAAGAAAAGAGGTTCCGCCACCTGAGTTGGGTTTATCATGCAAGAACGAACATAGCGCAAATGGGGTCTACGAAGTCGAGTGTATTGGAGAAGAGTGGGCTGCATATATTGAATGTGAAAAGAAGCGATACATGATGCCATTCTACACAGGCAGTTTCATTGCCACAGTGTTTTGCCCGCCAAATAATGTGACCGAGGCTTCCGGTTATACTACAAAATAATACAGACAAACCTCACTTTCTAACCTCTCTTCCACAAGCCGTTATAAATAATCATAATCTCACTTCCGATTCAGTCAATAAATATCGCGTAAACTCTCGGATAATTTATATTGAGATGAAGCATGCATCAGATCCCATGGTGACAATAAGGATAGATCTTCTGGAATGATGGATACGTTCATTTAATTTTATGATTACATCTTTCTATTGATTTCTATTTCGATATCATATTCAAAACGCCCACGATTCCCACCCAAGAACAATCGTGTCCTGCTTCTGCTCTTGCTCTGTCATCTCTTCTTTATCCATTACCGCTTCGATCTCGGCCACAAAAAGGCCCTTGGGGGCTTGTATATCGAGAGAAGCCTCGCCTTTACGCTTCTTAGTGATCTCGTTCTGGAACATGGTAGTATATGTGTGGTCCAAAAAGTCTTCCAGGTTATAAGAAGGCTTAGTGAACTGCTCGTTGAAGATCTTGGCCAATGTAGCGACGTTGGGCGCAAAATGGTTTTGAAGAGTCTACAGCAATAGTTTGTATAAACATGTATAAACATGTGCGTATCCTTGTCAAACCCAAACGAAAAAATAAAGCCACATGGCAGTGCCAAGGAGATAAAGTGAAAAAAAAAGACGTTTATCCAAGTTTTACCTGAATTTCCCATAATGAACTTTGGAGTGCATTGGATTTCATTGGATCTGATTCGTTGTGGTTATATAAATCATTCTTCTCACCATTGGCTTGACCATGAATCAACTGCATACATGTAGGATGACGTTTCAAAAGGTTATAAATGAGAGGGATAATGATGACAATAGAAGCAGGAGGACTGGATAATCCCAAGCGAGCCATACGTTTAATGAAGGCAGCAACCAATTGTGATGGTAATAGTCTAGTAGAGTTATAGAAAGGAGGAAAATAATAGTAATAATAATAATAGAGATATAGACGAGTGAGTAAGAACAAATTAATTCTCAGACATACCATTGTAGTCTTTATATCTTGCATTAAAAAAGAATAGTAGCTGTGTAATGAGAAAACATACGGTGATGACAGGAAAAGGTCTACCTGACTAAAGAAGCGAGCTCTGTACTTCACATGCATCAAGTTTCGATCGAACAACATGTAGAGTTTTCTGAAGAAGTCGGGATAATCTCTATAAAGTAATACATATAAAAAAAGCATAATCAGCGATTTACATTCAAAAATTCGAGGAGACGGAAGCAAGCTGACCTTTCTGACAACAGATTGCGTACAAGTTATGCTCTGTAATGAGGATGAAAAGACCTTTCAGTGCCAATAGACTTATGGCGCCTCCAGCGTTGTATGAATCAGTGAGGAAATCCATGAGCACAGTCGGTTGTGGCAAATGTGGAATGATACGTTTATGAACAATGAGTAAGGTCTTTTTGTAGATGGTGGTAGTAAAAGGTAGCCGAAGAATAGCAATCCAGCAGTCAGAGAAAACACGCTTGTGATTATAGAGCATCAGTAAGGGATGTTTTTTGACAGGTGTTGCTGAAGTATCCTTTGTCAAATCCTCTACAGTATCATCCTCATCGTCATCAGAGAAGCCGAAAGTTTCGCCAGTGTATCCCTGTTTGTCATTGTTTGAATCAGGGTTTCCAGTCCAGAATTCGTCTAGCTCTTTAGCTTCAGTAGGCATTGTTTTGAGAGTTTCCATAATGGAAAAGGAGTTTTCGAGGAGAAGCGAAAGTTTTTCTGGTGGTGCTTGGTTATTAGATTTTTGTTTCTAGAGAAAAGGATCCATAAACACCACATGTTACTGAGTCTCTCCTGACATAAATTCGGGCGCAGGTTACAGTGACGTTCCTCTGAAAAAACTAGATGTTCTTACTTTTTTCTGTGGTGCTTTACTGTCCTTCTTAGGGGGCTCTCCTAATGCTGTATTGATAATAATGGCTGCATCTTTCAAAAAATAGAAGCGCAGGTCATCGTAGAATCCCAAGTACTTTTCTGTGAACTCGTTTAATAATGGCTGGCTCATGTTCGTACAGTTGAGGAGAGCCCCGACAATTCTTTGGTATAGGTCGTTGGCAAAGTGGTGTGTCCCTGACAAACTGCTCAGATAAGTTGATTCCACCTTAACCAAGTCCAGGAGGATTCTCAATGCAGGGACCTGAAGACCAGGTTCGAGCATATTTAGAATATTACAGACTCTGTTTTGATATTTTACGTAGTTGTCACGAAGCCATAATGTAACTGTTGCCTTCTTATCCTCCGTTGTTGCATTTTTGGGTCGTTGAAGCTCGCCTCTAGAAAGCATAGCAGAGAAGAGGCGAAAGAGAGCATGCATGGCGGCATGAATGATTTTTGGGGAATCGTTCTGTTGCAAGTTTTTTTTTTTTTTTTTTTTTTGATGTGTTTTGAATGTCAGTATATGTTTCCGTACGATATGGTATAGTGCATTTAACAATCCCCATTGTAACCTTTGATCAAGAGGGCCCTACCTCGCAATACTGAAGTAAAAGGACGATGTTGTTTAAATGCGTTTTGCTCTCTGCAACTTGCCGCTCCAAGAAGCGGATCTGATCCACTGCATCCTTAACCGCCTTCATCTTTGAAATAGTTTAAATATAAGAAAAAAGGTACTATGTCCGTTTAGTTTGCAGAGTTAACTATGTCGTTTGTTGTAATAGAATGTCATTATTGAATGTGGATAGCTCTTCTTACCGAGGGGTCTACTTTTGCTTCGGTGCGGGAACGCTTTGCAACAGCCATGTTGAAATGAAATGAAATGAAATGAATTGAGTCCAACAAAGTAATAAACAACTACAAAAAAAAAAAAAAAAAAGAATGGGTTGTTTACATTTGTGTTGTGCAGTCACATGGGTTCCTTCAACACATTTGTTCGGATCAGTTCTTCAAACATCTACATTAGTGCACAGAGGAAAAAAAAAAAAAAAAAAAAGAAACTTTCTTACACATTCACCATTCGACCTATATCTTTGAGTCCAATATGTTCCGATTGAGTTCTCGTTTGTCAGGAAACACGGCCTCTCAGGCCACTCAGTGCATTCGTACGCTTGCAATGTCTAACGAATCAACAATGAGTGCAGTGCTCGGACCTGCCTATATGGCTCGTTTCCGTGGTGCCAGTGCTATTCTCGCTCAGTCTGCCTCGTATTCCAGTGTGCCACGTCAAATGACCCAAACAGTAACCTTGAAGGAGGTTGGCATCATGGGTATGCCACCGAGTTGACTTTGTATTTTATGCCTTCTCTGGTCGTGATATGGGTCTCAATTTATAGTCCTAAAATCTCATGATTTCATGGAGTAATTTCTTTTCTGTGTCATAGACCCATACGTCATTCCTGAGAAAGAAAACCGCCCATCTTTGTTCAAGGATTACAAAAAGTGGATCAAATATGCCAAACTTCGTATGCGTAACACAGGAATGACGGCTGCCAGGTAAAAAAAATCCAACTGTGGATTGTTATTTCATTTCGATCTGTGTCAAGAATACAGCAAGCCAACATAATTATGTTGTCTGTGCTTCCCGTCCCTTGCATAAACTAGTACTCTCGGCATGTGCTGGAAGCTTAAGGACTTTGGGATTACAGCGCGTTTCTTAGGAGAGTCTGAGGAGGCATACATTGGGATGAATGAAGCTTTTGCCAAAGGCGATCGAGGATACCTTGAAGAAATGTGTACTCCATCTATGTATGCAAAGCTCAAGAGTCAACTTAAGGATCGTGTTGGACGATATGAGTGGAGGTATCATGGTTTAGTTGAAAAACCTCAGATCGTATCTATCCGGCAAGGTCAGATTGGAGGCCATGTATTGATCCAGATGATTGTACGCTTGCATACAAACCAAGTAAGGACTCAGTGTTTATTTTTTTAGAGAAAAAAAAAAAAAAAAAAAAAAAAAAAAGCCAAAAGCCTATAGCTAATTATCGTTTTGATCTTGGCTCATCCTGATGATCATACTATTATAGAGCATGGCCGTCTTTGACAAGAAAAACAAACAAGTTGCAGGAGACTTGAAGAGAATAACTCCTGTACTTGAATACATCGTCTTTCAGAGGTTTATCACAGATCCTGAGGATAACTGGAAGATCCTTGGCAAGGCTTCACCTGATATGAATGTATAGAATAAACTGAATACTTCGTTTAGTTGTATGCAGTAAATCATTTTATTCTTTTCTTTTCTTTATCCCCGATTCAACTGCTCCTTGGCTTCTATTACCGTGGACACGAAGGAGTGTCTCTTTTTTTTTACTTAATGTGTGTCTGAGAGCCTGTGCTGCTGCATAAACAAGGTTGACTATATCACGTTGTTTTGTCTGTATATTTGTCGTATGTGGTAGTCTAACAAATGCGGCGGTATGTAAATGTACGGGATTGATGGGAGCTGAGAGCATCCAGGACCTGTTCCCAGCTCAAATAAGACGAAATAGAACTATAGCTCAAATAGCATTTTCTTGTGCAGTTGCAGCGCAGATATGCCATTTCTACTGGACATTTGTGTTTGTTTTCATGTTGAATTCGGACGTTCTTCCCTTCTTACTTTTAAACTTGAGTTGACACCATGTACACTCGAATTGATCAGCAATAGTAAAATAAATATAAATATAAAAAATAGAAGCATAATCAAAACCAAAGAATGGACAATCAGGGGTAACTGTAACTGTTTGTTTTGAATGTGAGTATAATCCACAAATGTCAGTGCATTCATGGCCATGCAATCTCTTTTCTTTCTTTAGATATTTTACCTTTTTTTTTTCTCTCTTTTTTCTTTTTGTAGTCGTACATTTCGGGAAGAAGAGAAAGAGTGAGAAAGAGTGAGTGAGAGTGAGAGTGAGAGTGAGAATGAGAGTGAGAGTAAAGAAGAGTATAAGTGAAATGAGAGCCTTTAAAGTCAATCCCATTTCTCATATTATTTTTTATATATATTATCGGCCATTAGCACCTCTATTGCAGACATCAGAGCCCTTGCTTTGTGCTACCATGACCAACCAAAAAGCAAACAGACCACCTGTCTTCATTGAATGAACATGCTTGATCTGTGTACAAAATGAAGTGAATGTTCAGGATGTCTACTATTGCCACAGCAATAGCAACAACAATAACAGAACCCTGCCCAAGTGCCTCAAATAAGTAAACACTAAATAATGACAGCGCGTATCTGTATGGGTGTGAATGTGTAGATGTGAATGTAAGTGTGAGTGTGAGTGTGAGTGTTTGTATGGCGGATGTGAGTGTGTTCCTGAGTGATTTAGACTGTTAGACTATGGATTGGTTTTTATTTCTACCGTCTCCTGGGAGCAACAGACAGTTGAAAGAAGGCAGGACCCCCACCCTCTCTTTTCCCCTTTTTTTTTTCTCTCTCTCTCTCCCTCTCTCTCTCCTCATCCCTCTCTCCTTTTGCTATCGTTTCTCATCTTTCCTCATCTATTTCCATTCATTCACATCCATTCATTCTGTAGCTTCTCCTCTCTTCTCCTCTCGCTTTGTTATTTTTTTATTTTTTTCCTGCCGTTCAGGCATTACTTGCCGTCACATTCGCATCTTTTCGGCCATTCATCAAGTATCACTTTTTTCTCCTCTCCCTGTTCTCTCTCAGAATCATAAAATAAGCCTCCTCCGCATTCCTTAGTCAATAGTCAAGGTCTTCTCTTTTTTTTTTTTTTTTTTTTTTCAGCCTTCGCTTCCGCATCACGACTGTAAGTCATCACACTTGTCTTTTATATTTTTGTCATTTTACCAATTATGAAGATATTTATATGTATAATTGGAAGTAAAAAGGTCGTAAAGATGTTGGGTTAGCTCTTCTACGTTTGAAACATGAAACTAAAGATGGTTGACATAATGTGCAACAGCCAGCATTAGTATGCCTTTTTCTTTACCCCAACCCCTACTTTTCTTACCATCCTATCCACCCCCTTTGGCTCTTTGCCTGCATGTTACACGTTGCGCTTTATAAGCTCATCGACATCTCTCTGTGGTTCAATGTTTAAAAATGCGCTTCATAACGTGCATTAGTCGCATATTTGTCTGCCATATTGAAGTAACCATCCTAATCAAACTCACTCTGTCCTACATTTAACGCTGATCCAACAGTCGTCCACTTTCCATGTCTCAAGGCACTCGGTCGGACCAGTCCATGCCCCAAGATCAGGCTTCGGAGCACAGCAATGATCCCGCTATGCAGCAGCTCCTCTCAGAGCGCAATTCGCTGAGGTCCCAAAATGATCAGTTGTGGAAAATCATCGAAAAGCAGCGCATTATCATCCAAAATTTACAAAAGGATATTGTCAAGATTACTGCCGAACGAGATCACCTTCGTAGCAGCGGTGCACCCAATCATGTAACTGGAATGCCAACACCCGGTTCATCTACGTCATCCTTGGAGCAAGGACAACAACAACAGCAGCAGCAGTCTAGTGCTCATCACCAATACCCACCAAACCATTCCAACCAGCAGCACTATCAACAGTCTCAACAACAACATCAATATCAGCAACAGCAACAGCAACAGCATCGCACCAAGCGAACCCCTGAACGGCACAACCAAGACCCCACCGACTCTGCACCTGCACAGACGACTGCTGTCACTAGCGAACGAGACCTTGAGCTGGCCTCAGGATCTAATCCCAACGCATCCTTTTCATCAACAGCATCCTCTACAGATTATCGGCAGCAGCAGCCTCAACAGTCTCAGAATCGTGGTCATCATGACAACCAGGCATCTAGACACCCTGTTAACTCACGTAAATCTCGCCCCAATGCTCTACCATTGACACCTTCTTCAAATTCTGAAGCTGAATCAGAAGGATTTAAAACTGAATACGTTCAAGACGACACACAAGTAGGAAACAGTGGTTATGAATACACCAATGGGAGCCATTATGATCAAATTCAATCCTTTCCCACAACGGCTGATGACGAAAAACCACGGGGCATCTCTGAACAAGAGCTTCAGACCACAGCGGCATCAAACCGAACCCACCATCAGGGAGCAATCCATGCCTCTACTCTAGTTAGCCATCATGACAGAGATCCTCGCATCTTGGCTGGCCGATCGGAATCCAACCACTCTCTGGATGGTAAGATACTTTTGATTAAACTCGGAGGTTTTCGTTAATTTGAAAAAAAAAAAAAAAAAAAAAAAAAAAGACAGAAATGCTGACATAATTGACTTTTTTTTTATGGATAAATTTACAAAATTTAATTAGCCCCTCGTAACATCTCAAGTAGCATTGTTATTGCGCCCCACCTCATGCCTCACCTTCCTCCTCGTTCGCCGAGACGTGAGCGTCGAGATGACCACAATGTGTCTCCTAATACGTCGGATAACGAGGACGAGCAACAGCAACCACGACATGGCGCTGGACGAAAGGGGTACTCTGCTCCACTTCTCAGTCCTATACGAGCTAGAGGTGATATTGGATCAGATCAACCTTCTCCGATGTCTCCTATAACACAACACCATTTCCAAGAGGGACAGGATGTCCGAGCCGCATCTGCGAACAAGCACTCTGCGATACAGGCAAACACATACGATTCAGTGTCAGATTACGATATGGCTCAACAACACTCCATGTGCTCGCCAGCAATACCAGGGTCTCAAGGAGCATCCACCAGCACCCGCAAAGCAGGCTCTGGTCAAACTCCAACAATCTCCGCCAATGTTATCCCACAGGTGATTACTTCTCAAGACAACGGGCCGTCATCTCCTACAAGCGCTAATCCGCATTCGATGCCTACCTCGCCCATTGCAGCCATTATCGATCAGGACGCCGAGAAGTTCAGGGTATATATAAATAAGATGAATTCCCCTAATCGCAAGGGTGCTCCAAATTCATTGCATCCTAATGTTGACAGCCAAGAACATGCAACTGCTCTTGGCCAGGCTGTGGCTCTGGAAAACATTCAATCACAAATTGAGCTCCAGAATCAACTCATGGCTCAAGTTCAAAGTAAGGAGGCATATTCTCTATACAGCTGAAATCAATGTCTATAAAATCATTTGTTTTCCTACTGTTTTAGCGTTATGCTCACTATAGTGTTTAACATATAATAGGTGCTGGTGGCCGAGTAATGCATAATGGACATCCTCAAAATCAATGGAACGCTGTTAATCCTAATATAGATACTTCTATCAACCCAGATGGCAGTTATCAAGAGGAGAACTGGAGTGAGCAACCAGTCGCACAAGCTCCACTACAGGTTGAAAATCGTGAAAGACGACGTGAATCATCGCTCCCTCCTCCCACGGAGGGATACCCAAAGATCAGTGCCCGCTCCACATCCCACCACCGCGATGAAGAGGAGGCTAACAGAGACTATGCCGCACCTTCTCCTCCAAGACGTCATGATTCACAGCCGATTGTTGAGAGCTCTAGTGCTACAGCACGTTCAGGTTCACCTACACCATCTGGAAACTCATCTCTCACCAACACATTGCCCAATGCTCAAGGGCAATCGCGAAATGGGCCAACTGTCCATCAGCAGGCATTCCATATGTTTGGTGAAAATCTAGAGTTCGTCTCTATCCTTATAGTGGGCAGCAACATCAAAACCAATGACAGAGGCAAGGAATTGTTGACGTTCTTAGTTTCCATTGGCCAAGAAATGCAGGGTAAAGATGGAATGATCCCCCACAAGGAAGACGAAGAGCTATGGCGAGTTGAAAAACAATACATTGACTTTGTGAATTTAGATTCAAAGGTATACTTACGAACTATAACTTCATAGGAATTTGGCTTGTTTGCAATGCAGAATATGTGTAGTAAACTAAACCACATTTCGATCTGACCCTTCTAGCTGCGTATCACGCAATCCAGAAGTGTCGTCAATAGCCTGCCGAGACTTCCTGACAAGAGTCTTTTCAGCACGCATGCGCCCTCGAAGGTTGATGCTCGCAAAGTTGCTCTGGAGCAATATTTGCAGCAATTAGCGTCGCTTCGTATCAAAGACACTCGCGATCTTTGTGAGTTTTTGAGCACAAACGTTGTTGAGCGCGTTGAGCGTGGTCAACGGAGGGAGGGTCAAGACCCTGGCTGGAAGGAGGGCTATCTAACTAAACGTGGTAAAAACTTTGGGGGATGGAAGACACGCTTTTTTGTCTTGAAAGGCCCAGTCTTGGAGTATTTTGATTCGGTAAGCATGTCTAAACTTTTGCATCTCTCATTTTTTATTTCCCTCTTCTCCCTTGCTAATACATCTTCACTATTTCACTATTTGTTATGTTGAGCAGAAAGATGGCCATCATCTTGGATCTATCTCTTTAGTCTATGCTCAGATTGGTCGTCAGCAAAGCCAAGATAAACAGGATGGGGATGGCAAAGACAACAATATGGCGGACCCCAACTCATACCGACACGCTTTCCTAATTCTTGAGCCTAAGAAGGGTCAGACAGCGGCAGACGCAAAGCGTAACCCTAGTAGTGTGACACGTCATGTCCTCTGCGCTGAAACAGACGAAGAGCGTGATGAATGGGTGGATGCATTACTTCGATACGTTGGAAAGGATTCAGCAGACCAGCTTGAATCTAACGAAGAGAAAAGGCTAGGAAAGAGAATGCCTGACATTCAAAAGGTTGCTGCCACACCCATCAAAGAGCTTACATCTGTTAAAGGCAACGAGAAGTTGCTTTTGAATCAAGAAGCATATGAAAGACAACAGCGCTCTGTCCCACCTTCCCCATCTGCTCAGCAATTCTATCAGGGTAAAGGTGGCAACGTACCGCAGTCGCCGACAGTAAATGGCATGTCTCTCGAGGATCGACACTCACACGAAAGACAATCTGCTGAAGGCCAGTACTCAACCAACAACAGGAGTAATCTTAATCTATCTGCTGAGCTAGACCAACAGCAGCAGGGGTCCTTGGGCCATCAACACCCGCAGCAGCATTATCAACAACAACAACAACAACAACAACAACAACAGCAGCAGCAGCAGCAGTATCAGCAGCAATACCAGCAGCAACAGCAATACCAGCAGCAACAGCAATACCAGCAGCAACAACAATATCAGCAGCAACAGCAATATCAGCAGCAACAACAATACCAGCAGCAACAACAGCTACCGCCACAGCAGTTGCCCCGAAATCAGTCATCACATTCACTCAATCAATCTCAAGATGATGTATGTTATTGATGCATGTGCTACAAGCGAAAAAAAAAAAAAAAAAAAAAAAAAAAAAAAAACTAATGCAAGCCTAAATTATACTTATTTATTAGAGCTCGTCATCCAAATCATCGCAAGAAGCGCCTGCTCCAATTCCAGTTCCGGCTCCATCCTTGACACCTCAAGAAGTAGCAGAGAAGAAGCAGCGTTCTCGTATGACTTTCCATTGGCCTAAAAAGGCCGCTAAGGAAGAGACAGTAGTACCAGAACCAGTGGCGACCACACCGCCACAAAGCACTGCACAGGATTCTTACCGCTTGAGAAACTTTTTAGGAAAATCTAACAACTCAAGCAGCAACATTAATAATCCTAATAATAGCAATGGCTCTCAGGGACAACAGTACGCAACTGGACCTGGACAAGGTTCGAGCCATCAGACAATCGTCCGACAAGTCTTTGGGGTCTCACTTGAACAAGCGGTTGACCAAGCTCGAGTTCAGCCTGGTTATGAGTTACCTGCGGTTGTTTATCGATGCATTGAGTATTTGAACGCTCATAAAGCTAAGCTTGAGGAAGGAATCTATAGATTGAACGGATCTTCAGCTGTGATCAAGGGTTTAAAGGATCGGTTTAATCAAGAAGGCGATGTGCCGCTCTTGGCAAGTGAGGAATATTACGACATCCATGCTGTTGCGGGCTTATTGAAGCTTTTCCTTCGCGATTTGCCATCGTCTGTTCTTACACGAGAGTTACACAAGGATTTCCTTCAAGTAATTGGTACGACCTTCAAAAGTTAAAACACTACTCTTTTTCTTATTGTCAAATGAGGACTGCTTTGTATAAACTGCTTTAACGCTTTTTTTTTTATTTTTATTTTTAGAATTGGCGAGTCGAGCTGACCGCGTGAACGAGCTAACACGACTTGTGGCAGAATTGCCAGAGGTGAACTACACGCTACTACGAGCGTTGACGGCACATTTGATTGAGATCGTGGAGAATGCAGATATCAATAAGATGACTGCACGCAATGTTGGCATTGTATTCTCACCAACACTAGGCATTCCTGCAGGAGTCTTTGCGCTGTTGATGTCAGATTTTGATCAGATCTTCCACACGAACGATGGGCGAATCATGCCTTTGGAGAACTATGACGGACGGAGAGGCAATATTCCAGATGCTAATAATAATTCCGAAGGCATGGTGGCATAAAAATGAAAGACAAAGAGACAAAAAGGCGTAGCCAGGGGCTCGTTTTGTTTCAAGTCTTAAATAATCCACAATTATATATTACATTTACACTACTTACTACAACATCATAACCTAATAAATAATCTTAATGACCAATATGATCATTCAAAATTGCTTGCTTTAATAATTTTTTGTTTATCAGAATCAGGTTCTGATCTTATAAAAGACATTCCTCCAACTTCTCCAATCTCTTCTCTGCGAGGTCGATTAAATCCTCCAATCTCTCCATGTAGTCGTCTTGAGTGGTTGAATGGAGCCATGCACGTTGAACAAGATGTCCGTACTGTCTAGGAGGATCGGAAGGCTTCTTGTTGATTAGAGCGTCTTCGTATGCTTTAGTTAAATCCTCAAACTCTTCATGGCGACGTGACAAGGCAATTTCTAACATCGAATTTCGGTCGCCAGCATGATGGTGTTTCTTTCCAGAGTAAGGAAAAGAAGGCGTACTTGCGCTTCTCGAACTCAATGGATCTAATGGTGATGAAAACTTGGTCTGATTCATATTAATACACCCGCAACATACGTTTAAGAAAGATGGCATGCTTTAATGCGTTTTTATACATGTTTAGAGTATATATATATCAATACGGAATATGTTTTAAATCTTTATTTTATCATCGGCGACAATATCGCCGATAAACCTATGCCCTTGGATTCACTCAAGGATTAGATCAATTTAGCATTGATTGAGTGACGGAAATGTTTATTTTAATCAATGCCAAAGAGGATACCTCTTTTCTCTAGCTTCTATTGCATCAGAAATATCTCGTTTCAGTATAGTGCGCGTCTTACTTCACGTTGATATGGAAGCATATCAATTCCTCCAATAAACACCCGAACTAAATTATTTAGTTCTTTTTCTGTCTATAATGAAATTGGCAGAGATGTGGAACTAAGTTAAAGTAATAAACAATGGGTTGTGCGTGAATGAGCGGACATGTTCATTATTCTCGGTCAATGCTCGATGTTTTGATTGCCTAATGGAGGCGGCAATGATACAACGCTTGTGGCGTTGACAAGGTGTACTGAAGCCCTGCAGGCGTATGTGACTATGGAGCACATTCGTGTAGTTTAACGATGTTGATGAGTATCTTCGTCTTTATTATCACCCGGTTTGTCTTATCTCTCGAGTCAAGGGAGTATTTTTGACAGGAATTATCTTCATTTCGGCCTATTCTGGCTTTGGGATAATCCTTTACTTCCTAGACACGGATGCCGACAATACCATTTCAAATAGATCGCAGCCCTTCATCCCATCAAGAGCATGTTCAACAAGGTGAACTTTCACTATATCTCTCTCTGGGTAGGGTTGGTGAGTTATATTCAATGGTTGAATTTGAATAAGGGTGGCGGATTGACATTTCGTCTACAGTGTTTGTATGTGATATGAGAACCGTCTCCACCAATCAGTCTTTATTCAATCCAAAAGTTGAATTCACTGAGGATGGTAAGATCAACTTGACCTCCATATTGACAGATCTCTTCACTCATTTCCTTTTTCGCACCCTCCCAACCCTGTACAACTGGTCGCTGTTAATTGTGCTTGGGCTCATGATGGTAAAGTCTGTGCGATCAATCAAAAAAAAAAAAAAAAAAAAAACATGTGCTTAAGGATCGCTATGATGCTCAGGAGTTATTGTATATATCGCTTACGGACCCATTGGTAACTGGTATGTACAGCGTTTGTCCACGCTGTAGCGTTTAGCTATTTTTGTTGTTGTTGTTGTTGTTGTTGTTGTTGCCGTCATACTTCATACCTCTAGTGGAAACTAGTGTCCATACCACCATTGCACCAGAAGGTAAAGATTGGAGGAAGCTGTAAGCAAATAAACTTTTCACGATTAAGAACATGCTGCCTGGTTGGATACAAAAGACGATAAGCAAGGCGAGAGGAGAGGGCTACATTAAGCCTCTAGATATATATCATCGAGAAAGAACGTCTAGAACGTGGATAGAAGCAACAGAGGAAGAAGAGATCCATTTCAGTGATGAAGTTTTACATCACCCTACAGTCCTCTCAGAGTCAGATGGATGATTATCCACTTCCAATCTGTAAAATTTATAATGTTGGATCGAGATGAAGAAAATAAAAAATAAAATAAAAAAAAATAAAAAAAGCAATCACATTAAATGTAGATAATGCAGATATTATATATATATATATATGCATATAATATTCTCTCTCTCTATATCCATCGAATTAAATGATTTTACTCTACCCGTGGTGAAAGAGATTAAATGGACAATGGTTGTACAGAAGCATCACTGGAACCTGTCGCTGAAGAACGTGCATAAGAAAAGGAATGTCGCATCGACAACTTGTCAAAAATTAACAAGCGAAAATCGACCCTTCCAGCCCTTTTCTGAGCAGTTTTAATTTTTTGTGGACGACGAAGAAAATTCGGCACCTTTTGGCAGACAAGGGATCGCTGTCCAATTTGTCATACAACGTGGCCTGAAAAAAAAGGGTTCGACCAATCAATAAGCACATTTGAAGATGCCCGCAGCGACATTGGCTGGGCTTTACATCTTTTTGCCTTTTGAGTTTGACACATATTATTATTTCACGTGCACAGTACCCACAGAATTCTGAGAAAACGCTTTTTTTTAACTCACTCTTTTGGATGTGGTCCAAACTCACCAAAAGATTTAGACATCAACATGACTAAATAAACAAGACCAAAAAGCAAAGCAGCATTGACAGCGAGCAGTTCACACAACGTGCCTTCTACATCGACAATTCTACCAATGAGAGTGGCTTCCACACGCACAAAGACCAATCCCAACAACTGCGTGGAAAACTATTACTTTTACAGATTGTGTTACAAATTTGTTTGTTTGCAGGCAGTGCTAATGTAAAAGAATACTAGCCTATCACTGGGGCATCTTTCTGCTCGATGGTCGCTACTTGCTCGATCTTGTTCAGGGTTGTGAGTGTTCATTTTTACTTTTCCTGGTTATGTCAGTTTTAGAGTTATTCTTTTGTCCTTCCTGCATTAGTCCCTCTGACCCAAATGATTTCTTATAAATGTATCCACCCCCCTTGCCAACTTCTTTTTTCTTTTTTTATTTCCCAGTCTTTGCAGCTCATTTTCTCTTATCCCGACCTTCTTCTCCCCTTCCTTTCACTTTTGTGAGTCCGTCTTTCACAATGCGTAACCCTTTCGCTGACTTCACGCCTTTGGAAAGGCGCAACCTTATCATCTATATGCTTGGCATTATGATGTACAAATTTGGCTTGGTAATGTCTTGTACTGCTCAACCACCAACAAATACCCTTAAACGCTTGTTTCAACGTCTCCAGCACCATCAACCACAACCACAATGATTACGATATCACCCAGCAGCCACTTTTAGTTGTCAGTCCAATTCTACCGCCGTTACCTTCCTCATCCCTACCCATATTCATATTTATACACATCTACTCGAAACTATTCCTCTCGTAGCTATTACTATCTGTTTCCAATCAACTAACATCGACGGCTTTTATTTTTTATCTTTTGGTTCTTTTCGGATTTATAGGAAGCTTTCACTGGCTCTATCACTCTCTTAGCTACAGAACGTTTCGACCAAGAAGGTGGTACTTTCACCAAGTTGGGTATTCTTCAGGGTCTTAACCAGGCCTTCCAGTGTGTTGGCTCAATTGCTATTGCTCCTTTGATCAAGCGCTTCCCCACTCGTTCAGTTCTCGCCGCTTCCATCTTTGGTTTCGGTGTTCTCTCTGCACTCATTGTTATTATCGATGCTTCAACTGGAGGCAAGACCCCTATCGGCAAGGACCAGCGCTTTGGTGACTGGAACTCAGCTATTCTGTTCCCTATTTATGGTATCATTGGTATTTTCCACGGTATGGTCGAATTGATTCGCCGTGTCATCCCTAAAGATATTGTTGGGGGTGATGTTATTAAGCTGAAGAAGATGGACGCCACTGTCCACGTTTTTTATGAGATTGCTGGCACTTCTGGTGCTTTCTTCGCCACCTTCTTGGTCCTCAAGCTCGGTAAAGCTCTTGCACCAGCAATGACTCCTTTCCTCTTTGTCCTTGCTGCAATCACTTGGATGTTCATTGGTCTCTTGGACTCCGATTCCCAGAACCGCAAGGCCCTTGCTGGTTTGGAGGATTCATCCATACTTACTCAGATTGGCCATGGCTTTTCCCACTTTGCTCTCTCAATGTATCGCGGTGCCCAGATTGTCTTCTCGTCCCGCAAGTTCATCTGGCTCATCCCCGGTTATTCCATCCCCTTGTTCACTCACCGCTACCTCGAATCTCAGTTATCGCCTGCATTTGCTAAGAAGATCTTGAAAGAGAGTGCTTATTCTCAGATTATGGTCGGTGGTTCTAATTTTGGTGAGCTGCTCGGAGCTCTCTTCGTCCTATTCTTTGCTGGCAAGGTCAAGACTCCTCTCCCCTGGTTGCGACTTGATGCTCTCGGTCTCCTGATCATTTGGATCTTACCTTACTCTTACCCCGATCCCGAAAAGGCTCTCTCCTTTGCCTGGACATTGGCTGCTATCTGGATTCCAGTCTCGTTCGGTTGGGCTGCTGGTGATGTCTCTCTCGCTGCTTACATCCAATCTGCTTTGGCAAGGATTGAGCGCCCTGATGACAAAGTCTCACCTTTGGGAGCTGTCATGGCTTTCTTGTATGTCTTCTATATTGTCTTGTACGCCATATTGGGCTCCGTTCTCGGTCAAGTTATCGATAAGGCCGATAATAAGGGTAAGGGCGATATTCGTCCTGCTCTTGTCTGGGTCGGTGGTGTCATGTATACCGTTGTATGCGTCGTTCTCTTCCTTGCTACCTTCATTCCTAAGGGCTCTTTTGCCTTAAACCCCGATATCATTGATGATGTCGAGATTCATGAGGAAGACGAGTTCGCTGATGACACCGCTGCCTACACCGAGGAAACCAAGAAGCAGCCCAGTGAGCTCAAGGCATAAGACAGTATTTGATCTCCCCATAGCATATATACTTAATTTCTGTATTTTCATACCATACCCATTCAATCTTGTGAATACCTTGTAATGTCATTAAAAAAAGCTTTATTCATCCAAAATGTTCCTTTTAGATTAGGAGTAGCAATAGTCTATGATAAAAATGATGTCCCACCTTCATCACTTTATTTACAGTCGGATTTTGTGACACAAAATAGATTTGGTCTTTTTCTGATAGAATTTTATTAGTAAAATTCGTGTAATTGGCTGAAGACTTAAATATCCACTCCACGTGCTTTAACCCTCAATTTTTGTTGGCAAAAATATCTGTGTCTAATAACAAAAATAAAAATTATCTGTGTCTAGACCTCCATGTTAACGAACATTGGAGCTTCGCAAGCCACGTGATTTTTCGCTTTCCCTTTTGAATATAAATTATACCTGTGTTAGACCGCTGTAAATTGCGCCTCGCGATAAAACTTAGTTATATCGGAAAAGAAATGAAAATAAGAAAGAGCACCATAGAATAAGTAGCATGTGCATAGCTCAGATTCATTTTAGCGAAAGATGTTGCCCAGATGGCTCTTTCCTTCGCTTCTTTATCCAAGAGTCTGAAGTGCTATCATTTTGTAGTATCGGTTTATATATTTCAGGTGGAAAGAATGCAGTATGTCTACCATGGCCGTCAAGACGAAAGAGAAAGATCCTGGAGTTGGTAAGAAGAACCTCGAGTGCCTTGTTTGAGCAGTCGAGACCATTATTGCGGCGCCAATATATTCGAAGCTAGAGGTCATTATAATAATAAAGTTGGTGCACGCCAGCGAAGGGAAGTCTTTGTGAGAAGCTCTGTGATGCTTGCTTTCGCTTAAGGACCATCATCGAAATCCAAAAAAGCTCTCTTGGGCTCGTTTTGTCTTGCAGCACTACACGCCCACTACTTCATCTTAAACCTGTATGTTAGTAGCATGGAGAAAGATCGCGGTAGCTATTTCACTGCTTCGCGCTGTCATGAACTATCATTGTATTTTTCACTGCTCTATCCAATAAACCAATTCTCATGCAAACATCCCAGCGTCATTCTTACGAAATTCATTCCCAAACTATGCTTTAAGTTTTTTTTTTTTTTTTTTTTTTTTACTTTTAAAAAAAAAAAAAAAAAAAAGAAAATTATGAACTAACACCTTGTACCACCTGCTTGCTGTTTATTACAGTAAGAGGTATTCCGGCAGTGAAGGCAACAAAAACTTAACAATTAGGTTTTGGGCGGTAGCTTGTTGGCTTGCTTTTAAGAGCCTTGATAGACTGTCGGTGAATGAGAAAGAAGAAAGGCCTCATGGAAACATTGCTTTCTGTGATATGGCACGCAGGTTTGGAGTAATTCATACAGTCAAGTTTTGACTATCGATTGAGGGGGAAAATAGACAGGGGTCCGCCAAGAATTGGTTTAAGAATGCAAAAGAAAAAAAAGACAGCTCTGGGTATGTAGTATTTATCATCAGACATGCCGATGAAAGAGAAACTGAAGGTGTTCTTATATTGTTGATAAGACGACCATCTGTTCCAGTTGATAATTTTGTTATAGTGGTAGAAAAATATTTATTCACAGTTAGTGTGAGTGTGCTGTTCAAAGGCTCATCTTTTTACAGCCTTGAGAAACGCGATCCTCAATAATGGGCTGAGAATGAGTTTTGTGATTGGATCACAAATTTGTTTAAGTAGTCTGAGACATGAGGAATACTTTCCCCCTGAAAATTAAGTGACACGTACAGGATATGGTTTAAGAAAGCTTAGCATGAAACTGGGGAAACTTTGTAAGTCTAGGAAAACACGAAAAAAAAGTGTATCGAGAGTACATGTACTAACTCAATCAGATCATTACTTTAACCTCGTTCATAGAAATAAGAATACTCTTCTATGATTTTATATAGCTACTATATGCTGTGCCAACGAAACCGCTTCTTTTTATGATTTCTCGTACTGTTTGGATTAAATGAGAAATCGAATGAAGGTTCAATGCATTCAACCACATGAAGATAACTTTTTCTGTTAATGTTCCTATACTTCTGATTCTCTAGGCCGATACTTTCATAAATTAATAAAGAAAATTAATAACATATTTTACCAGCCATCGTCTAATAAAAAACAGGAGAATGCCCGAACACTTGACGCGCCATTTGACACCACGCGCCATTTGACACCACGAGCCGATTATATACTGTGGGTTACTATATGGTCAAAAAAAAAAAAAAAAGCAAGCGATATGCTTCCATTAGAAGACGATATCTATTAGTATGTGCTATAAACTGCCTTTCCTTGAGCCACTTGCAGGACCAAGCATTAGGATTTAATAAGTGGTAGGTATATTAATAGAAGGTCTCATGTAAGAGTTATTTGAACCTTTTATATAAATACAGTGGAGAGTTTACATGGAACTGAGAAAAAGAAGCCAGTTGAGCTGGTATAGGAACAGTTTATTGCATCGGAACAAGTAAGGCCACTAGCTTTCGTTTTTATAATAATATAATCCATTTTCATTTCCATGCACAGCAATAGGCAGGGAGCTATTTCTCATGCATCCATCTAATGTTGGTTAGTCTCAAAATGCTTTTTTCACAAAGCACTCGATGGGACGATTCGCGATGTTGTCTGTGCGTTATGCTATTTGGCTTTTTGGCTTTGCAAAGCCTCAAAACAAAGAATTCCTTCTGTTCATAAGACAGCGCTGTACAGTGCAGACAAAATACATTTTTCTAAGATCTTGTATTCTACTTTAATTCAACCGAGATTTAAGAAAACGTGATTTTTCGTATATATTTTAGCGTCTTGAAGGGAAGAGAGTAGTAGTCTTGAAAGGAAGAGGACAATGAATGAGAGTGATCTAGAAAAAAAAATATTACAATATTTTTTTTATATTGAAATCTGCTTAGGAATACTTTTTGTCCGACCATTGTATATATATATATACATGTGTATTCATTGTGCTAAAAGCCTTTATATACGTATAGGCTTTTAACCTCTATGCTATTATTTCGTCACGAGTTATTGCTCAGGAACAACGGTTAGTTCTCAATTAGCGAAATATATGCTTCCTCGGACATGGAGGACTTGTTTCTTGTTGATCCTCAACCATTACCTCATTTTTTTCTTTCCTCTTTGTTACACGTTATCCTCAGAGAGGCTAATTCGCACTTTCGCTCAAAAACAAACATACAAAAAGAAAGTTAAAGCTTTTATACGGTGTGTTCTGTTTCCTCTTTCCAAAACTGAACAGATTGTTTACTCCCTAATTCTTTCTCATGCAATATACAGTACAGCAGAACCAATGGGACACTGGATAAGATTATAGAGCCTTTGGGGAATATCCATTTAAGTGTATAGTTTTTACAGCTGTGAAGGTGATGTTTTATTCATTGGCGTACTACGGGCTATTTGTAAGATGACTCAAACTGAATAGGTATAATTTATATCCCTTGCACACTCAACACTCAAGAGCGAGTGGACATATAAGGCCTAATTCTCCCCACCTCTCTGGCGTAAAATTCATACCTCGACAATTTTCAAACACCACCACGGCAATACCATTAGAGAAAGGTAGCAGCCAAAATTGTGGAACAGCCACGCATAAATACATGCAGGCAATCCCAGCCAATTAAAAAACCTAAAATCTCTTTCTCTTTCTCTTTCCCTCTCTCTCTTTGCTTCCATTGTTGGCAAGCAGCAATTGGCGTTGCAAATAGTGCTGTGGAAAGCAAAGTAAAGCGGACACAGAAGTGTATGAACCCTTGGTTTCGAATAGGGAAAGGAAATAAAGGAGCAAGTTCAAAAAGAAAAAAGAAGGTGTTGTCAGCTTGAGGAGCAGTAGTGTGAAAGGCCAGAACAAGAAAACACCTGGTACAGTAGACAAACCATGTCAACAAAGTTGGATTGCTTACTGTGTCCTGTACGCTCTAAAAAGTACATGAAAGACATCAGCAGTCACCACGTAATTTTTCTCTCATATCCCAATCCATGGTTTCAAAGGCATAGTTTGCTCTGAATCATATTCAATTGAATACCTGTTATTCTTATTCAGTTGTGGGACAATTCAAAAAACAAGATATTCCTATTCTTTCAACTTTTTCCGCCCTTGGACAAAACCAGTTCGTTTTTACTAACCACTTTTTCCTCCTTTTCTTTCTTCTTTTTCTTTTGTTGTCTCCATTGCCCATTACTATCACCCATATTGTTATTGCCTTGTTTCGTGTGCATTATAAGACACATTCGTTCCATTAATAACCTTGCTGGGCTTACACTCCTATACTCCTAAACATATTCATCACAATCATTTTGATCGAAGGGTCCAGCTTCATATCCAGACATCGAATCATTGCATTATATCGACCCACCGAAACTGAAATTGAAAATACACGAAGTAACAACAGGTATAAGAATAGCACCTCTTATGTTTTACCTTTTTTCCCTTCTTCTTTATTCTTTTTACTTTCGATCATTTCTGCTTTTTTTCCCTACATCTATTCCTTCTTCTTCTTGTTTAGTGGTCGTGTTCGTCCTTGATTGTCTGGTTTTGACAGCTTGAATAAAAAAAAAAAGAAAGAACAGCGAAAAAAGCCATTAGTATAATTGATATCGTGGACTGTGGGGTTTTTTTTTCTTCTTGAACTGCCATCTTTCTTCAGTGGAAGAACACTCATTGTGCGCTTGTTCAGGCTAAAGGCAAGGATCCTTAGTCTCCCGCCTAAATGTGCGTTGAGCAACTCTTGTACTCGATTTTTAGTTTTTTACCCACGTTCTGGTTTGCATTCTACTTTCTTGTTTTCCTAGCATCTTCTTTCCTGTTCTCGAGAGCACTCCTTTTGATTTTTTTATTTTTTTTTGTTTTTTAGTGTGTTTTTTACAACAGTCTTTTTTTTTTAAAATTCCCGTGTCATTTATCACTAACTAATTGTTAAAATTTCTATTGATCGATCTTATGATAATTGCTGTTATAGCCTCCAGGCGGTTGCTCCTTCTCCTTTGTCTTCGTTTGCACGGCGTTTCCTCTACTCTGGTTTTGTGCCTAGCTCTACTCTAAGCTCTAGCTTCTAAAAATTGGCGACAACTTGGCAATTTTTATCGTACCAGAAGAACCAAGAGGAAGATAGCAAAAAGAAAAAAAAAAAAATCATTCAACATTATAAGAAGGGAAAAAAAAAAAAAAAAAAAAAAAAAGAAGGCATCTGCATCTCTTCTCCTTTTTTCTCAGTCAATAGACTGCACAACACGCCCCTCTAACTCGTTCGGACGATGCAAGGTCACAGTCGAAAGCAGTCAATGCCGAATGCTATCTTTACCCAGCCATCCATTTCTGATGGTATGATGAACAAGAGTTTGGGGAACCGGATGAAACGACTAGATATCAACTCTCAGTCATCTTCTGTTACCTTGGATGGCGATGACAGTGTTAATGCTGTCGATGATGGTAGTAGAGTAACACCTTCATCCAGAAGTAAGCAACCATTCCGTCGCCAGACTAGAATGGATAGACCATCATGGACGAAGGGAGCCCCACCATCAATACCTTCATCTTTCTCAAAACACGGACACAGTGGCTATAATGGAGTGAATGATTTTAAGGGAGCGAAGTTTGGGATAGGAGTTAGCAGTCGTGGCAAAGATTTAAAGAGTTTGGATGGAGGAAAAGGGGGTGGTAACGGCGGAAAGTACAGAAGAAGGAAACGAAGCGGAAGAAGAGAGGCTCGATCGAACGTTGATGGCCAAAATGGCAATTCAAGAGAAGATGAGGCAAACGACGAGAAGACAAAGTGTATGAAACTGAATTCAAAGAAGAGACCCCCCACCGCTCATCATGCCGAAACAAACTTCATCGAAGAACTTGACGGACAAGATGGGCAAGACGGGCAGTACAGTTATCGTTACGAATACATATACCCACAGCAACTGCAGAGCTCATATCGCTATCAAGGTCAATATCTTGATCCACATCAGTTACACCAGCAGCAACAAAAACAACAACAATCGCAGCAACAACAACAGCAGCAGCAGGAAGGTGCAGGAAAACCGTGTAACAGGATGATCAAGAGTTCTCTTCTGCAAGAAATGCAATCGAATGCGTTGCAGCCGTCGCAACTGACACATTTAACTCTACTTCGCTACGAGTTTTTAATGGATGAATTTTTGGAAATAATGCATCTTCTGCACTGCTTGGAAATTTTAGACTTGGATATTGTCTCTCTAGTATCACTTTCATCTTCATGCCACTCCCAATGCTCTAAGCATCAACGCCAGCCAGCCTCGCAGCATAGCCCTTTCGATTGTAGCTGTAGTGATGATGATCTTGGATCTGATTTTATCAATGGATGCAGCCAACATCAGCATCGGTCGAATGGAAGTTGGCGTTCGTCTTTTAACCAAAATAGCGATGATTATGATAGTCACATGCTCGTTGATAATAAGGAAGAGATGAGTGAACAATTTCAATGGGATGACAATGAATCACAACAAGATACGAGCTCTTCGGATAAGGGCAATGAAGGTGGCTCATCAACTGTCAGTGATTGTTGCTTCGACCATCAACAGTCCCAACACCAGTTCCCCACAGTACGGTCATTGACTTTCCGAGGTACACTTGTGGTCCCAGAAATCGTAGCATTCTTTCCTAATCTTGAGACACTTAATCTGGAGGAGGCTATTCAATATCAGCAGCCACCTGATTTAAGCTCTGGGCAAAGCTTCAACGAAAATAGCACGGACAGCTTCAGCAGTAACACCAAGGGCAGTCAATACAACAGTAGCAATAATAAAGCCGATTACTCCTCCACTGATAATGACAGCGATAGTCTACTAAGTGCAACTGCAGGCATCAGCCTATCAGGGGCAAGTCCATCTGAAAGCGTCAATGGATTCAACCAAAGCTATCCCTCAGCTATGTTGACAGAATTGGCTCAGCAGCTCTTGGATAGCTGCCCTCGTCTTACCCGTCTGGTTTTGAACGAGCCTTTACTTATTGACGATGACCACCAAAGTCAAGGGCTATCACGTTTTCGCCAACCGCAGCATTTAACGCTATTAGTAAGGGCTGTACGGCAATTGAAATATTTTGTCACACATACAAGGGTAGTAGCTAAGTGCCCAGGCCTGATCGAGACTTTGGTGGAGTATCACCATCCACATCTGGTATCGTTCCAAATCTTCGACAACATACAGGAGAAGCCCTCTAATGCGGCGCCACCGCCTTTTCAGGTACAGCGTTTAAATCCCCATCTCCGTGTTTTCGTTCTACAATTATTTTTAGGGTATCGCTTTAATCTTTTTATGACTAACTCCAACAATCGCAAAAAACAATCACAGCAGTCTTATCAGCAGTACCAGCAGCAGTATCTGCAACAGCAACAATACCAGAATGAGCATCAGGATCCGTTATCCTTGCAACAAAGGCCCCAATTGCAGCAACAGCATCAACAGCTACAAGCCCAAATGCTTACACAGCTACGTAAAAGTTGTTTTTGTATTCTCGAGACGTGTTCTGAACTTCAAGTCTTTGAGTGCAAGGTGCCATTACCACTACAGGATTTGATCTTATCTGTCCCAAAGTGGGCTTGTAGGTCGACTCTGACGGTATTACGACTTGAGATCCAAGAATTGACAGTGGACGGTGGGTTGGATCCAGAAGAAGAGGAGGTTATGCAAATGTTTGTCAAGAGCCTGTTTAAGAGATCTTCTAGATCCGACTCCACATCCTCGGAATCACAGTCCTCGCAATCGTCCACAAATAGAGCATCCAGCACGTTATCGCCACCATATCTCTTTAGCGACCCTTCTACGCTTGGATCTGTATCTACTGGCAATACGGATTCGGCATCAGGGCCAACGGGCTCCAGTACTTCAAGGTCAGGGACCATATCCTCATTAGGTGAAGCCCCTCCCAGGGCAAGCAAGCCGGCTATTCCGCAACAGGACTTGGGTTCGTCGTTTTCACCTTCTTCCCCACATCATCATCCATATTGCTCGCAAGTATCGGCATCGACCTCTACAGTGTCATGCCCTAGCACAATGGAGCAGTTATTACCACTGCCACCGTCAACTTTGTCACATCCAAATCCAGATCCAAGCCCTCGCCCGCGATTCCTTACACCAAAGTCAGAACAGGTTGAATTAAGTTCTGATTCGTCTTCGGATTCTTATTCTTTTTCCAATTTTCCAATGAAAACAGCGCCTTTCCCATCGCCTGCGGCCCAGTCTCCCAAGTCGATTGTACCTTCAAGTCTACTCACGGCGGAAGAGCTGGAACAGAAGGAAGCGCAACAGCACCTGCGGAGCCAACAGTACCTGCGGAGCCAACAGTACCTGCGGAGCCAACAGTACCTACAGCAACAGTTTCTTCAAGAGCAGGACCAGCAGATTCAGCAGAAGCATCGACAACAGCATCAACAGCGTCAACAACAGTGGGGGCGACGACATGAACAACAGAGTCAAGAAGATTGTGAGAATTCCAGTGGAGGAACCTCGTCCAGCGACCAAAGTAGTGTTGGAAGAGGATACCATCATCAACCACCTCATAATCACCCACCTTTCCGACATCTTCATCAGAGCCAGGACCAACATCAACACCGTCTTTACCATGACAAGAGCCGCCCGCCTGCATATAGCCATAGTTGTAGTGATAGCAATAGCAATAGCAATAGCAATAGCAATAGCGGTAGCAATGGCAGTAGCAGTAGCAATGGCAGTAGCAACAGCAACAACTATGGCCACAGCCACAGCCACAGCCACAGCCACAGCCACAGCCATGGCGATCATCACTATCGATCCCCTTCACCGCCAACAGCTACGATTACTGACGCCACCAATCCAAAGAACGATGTTGTCAACAATATCAGATCTCACACTGGCATTGCGTCACCTATGCTCCAGGATCCAATTCAGAGTGATAATTCGAAATGTCATCAGAACGAGACCGTCGGACGACTGATGGCACTTCAATTCCTAGTCGAGCACCAACTCGTGTATTTACCTAGATTGGATCGATTCTTCTTGGGAAACCGAATGTATCAAATCCCAACACGAGCGAGTTTTTAAAAAATTACCACTGTTTTCCCTGCTATTCCTCTTCTTCTCCTTTTTTCTCTTTTCGTGTCGGTACATAAACGTGTAGAAAATCGACGTTTTTATAAAGACAACAAAACAGTGGCAGCCATTATAACACGAATGCATATACAAAAAAAAAAAAAAAAAAAAAAAAAAAAAAAGGAAGTTCCAACAAGTACCCAGCATATTTCAACAAAGCATGCAGTGGCAAGATGAAAGGTATGAAATTTTGTTTCTTTTGTTTAATCGAAGAGCTATGTAAATTGGGATAGTAACTAGGAAAAAAAAAAAAAAAAAAAAAAGATGGGCGAGACATCCTAAAGCTAACATACAAAGAAGTTGAATGAATACAAGGCTGATTTGAGTGAAGAAAAAGAATATGAAAAGCAAAAGTAGGAATACAAATGGGTGATATTGGTACAATGATGAAGAAAGTCGCAAGTGGAGATCAACAAGGTGTATAAAAGAATATAAAAAATAAATGAATGTGTGGAGGACAAGTGAATTAAGCAAATGGATATAAGGTTATCAAAGATGAGTATGAATGATACAGTGCTCTCCTTCTCATCGAATTCTGGTCATAGACGAGATACTCTTCCCTTTGATCGTCATTCCCTGTGAACCTGGGGTGCTTGAACCACCAGGCGGACCCATTCGGTCATTGTCATCATCCTCGCCTAACCGACAGAATGATCCTGATCTCGTAAAGGATGCACTTCGCTTGCCCCTACCATCTTTTTTGCTGGCGACCTTCTTTTCAAACAACTTCCAAAACTTCAGGTTCTCATCGCTGGCTACGGTAGCAACCGTTTGTCCATCTGGAGACAAGGCTGTGTGTAGGATTCTGGAATCATGGGCTGGGATATCGATGATCTTAGTCATAGATGGATATCCATATATAGACAGGTTATTATCAGGGTATCCATGAGACGACATGAACTCCTTATATTCGGTTGACCACACAATGGATGTCACCTGTGATCCTGTATTGAGTGTATTGACGCGAGCACCCGTAGTTGAATTCCAGAAGTGAATTTGCTTATCATATGTTCCTCCTCCAGTTGCTAGTAAATTGTTCTGCCAAGGACACCATGCTAGGGCCTTTGGTGTATCACAACAAAAAAAAGTAAAAATAAAAAGATTCAATATTCGTAATTTTAAAGCAAGTGTTATAGAATAGGGGAATCTCTCTTTTACCTTGACTGCGGCTGTGTGGTTAGACTTGGTGTATTTTGGTACAACGCTCCGAGCATCCCAGATATTCACCAAATTGTCATTCCCCCCACTGGCTAACTGGGATCCATCACTTCTCCAAGCTAATCCACAAACCTCGTTCGTATGGCATAGGAGTTCTGCGACTTTGTGGTTCTGAATCCTTACATCATGGTTCCAGATGGATCCATCTCTGCATCCTGAGCTCAGAATATGTTTATCCCAAGCTAAGACACCGACTCTGGCTACGTGTCCTGACATCGACCGGACCTTAGTTTTTGTCTCAATATCCCAGATCTGTGTGTCACCTTTAAATGTGCCTACAGCCAGAGACAGTCCGTCGTACGCCCATGAGACGGATGCAACCGCGTCAGTATTGCCTGTCAGTGTCAAAAGGGATTCCGCATGACCAGACTCTGCATCCCAGACGAAGACAGATTTGTCCAGTGCGATGGCAATCATATTGGAGCATGACCAGTCCAATAGGTTGAGATAATAATCGTCCATGAGACCAGGTGCGTCCAAAACTCTATCGGGGCTTGTGAGGATGGTTCGCTTTTTGAGTTGTAAATTGAGGTTGGAAGAAGAACGAGAGAAGCTTGGATGGCGGCTGTAGATTTTGCGAACAGCGGACGAAGGGTCCCGACTGTTGCTATTATCAAGCGAGGGGGGTTCCGCCGAGAAGGCGAGCATCCGACTGTCGAGATTAATGCCACAGGCCTCAGCAATCTGTTGGTTGTAAGCAATTGAGGCCTCATCCGTAGCGTCTGCATTGGAGCCCGAAAAAGAGGGGTGACGGGCTAGATCTAATTTCGCTTGAGCATTACTCATGTTGGTCGCAGTCCTGTTGGGTATAAAGCGATCACCACTGATCGGATTATTTGCTTTACGACTACGTTTGGGCGACGCGTTACCACTACCCACCCAATCATTGGTGACCACCTCCAACTTTGTAGTCAATCCGCCAGAACTGATGGTCCTTGTTAAACTGGATGCTGCTTGAGCTGCCATGGATTTCATAACAGGGACAGTCGTTGTTGGTCCAGCGCTGGCGACACGTCCAAAGCTGCGTCGTGAGGCAGTAGTCATACCAATAGCAGGAGGAGGAGAGCAGGTTTTCTTATTTGATTTAAGTGGCACAATGGTGTCTTCCAAAGTCGATTGTCCGGGCGTTTTGAGTCCTTGTTGCGTAAATGATGATGATAGAAAAGGCGACGGCATAGGCGAGCGCAGCACGGATGATGAAGATGAGGAGGATGGTGTGCAAGAGATAATCCCCGCAACTGTCAAAGACCGTTTACCCAATGTGGATTTGGGAGTTGAACAAGATAAAGGAAGAGGTGAGTTCAAGAATGAAGCCTTTCCAGTTTGATTGCCCTGAGCAGATGATAGGTCACTGTTCCGATGTGGGGTGGCAGTATTATTTGTGGCAGCAGCTATATCATTGCCGCCAGTATTGCTACCACTTTTGATTGCAGTTGTGGTTAAAGTTGTAGCTGAATCGGCTCTTAAAAGACCTGCGGTAGCTGATGCAGAGAATCGAGAGAGGGATGATGCACCAACGTTGAGGAAGCCGCGCCTATTGTTAGTACTGCTGCTGCTTTGATTCCCTCCTGGAGAGGATGTGGATGTGGATGACCAGCCTCCTGACAAAGCCTTGAGCTGTTTTGCATAGCGTGCAGCTTCCTTTGACAATTGAGAAGCTGCTGCTGTTGACGGTGTCTTTGCAGAGGCCGATGAGGGACCTGCTGCAGATTCGGACGCGTTAACCGTTATGGATGAGACCATTTTCTTGATTGGAGATTTGGTCGTTGATATGTGACGCGTTGGTGATGACATCGGAGACTTTGTCATAATTGTGGATTGACCAGGTCCTCTCCTCTCTGGAGTAATGGGTGCCATGCGATATTTTGAAAATGAAGCACGGATTGTAAGAAAAAAAAAAAAAAAAAAAAAAAAAATAGGAAGAAGAATCAGGAACTAAATGCTCAGAGTGTATAAAAAAAATTCTTGTTTTTGTAGAAAGTATATATAATTGCAAATATGGAAAATATGGAATGACTGTCTGTGCTTCTGTTATTGCAAGAAACTTTAACCATTTTTTTGTTCTCATTCGTTTCGAGCCTTTGAACTCCTTTTGTAATTAAGCAACACATCACAATATCTCGCCATGGTCAAAGCCGTTAAAGGTAAAAAGGAATGATAATGTTTGTTTCTTTTTGAGATTTTATCTGTTTTTGTTACCAGTTTAGCTTTTTTTTTTTTTTTTTTTTTTTAAAAAAAACCATTCCTTGCATGTACATTGTCTTGATGCTGATGCCCTACTTTGCTTATCCCTCATTTATTAGGTGTTGTTGTTGAATGGTAAAATACATATAAAAAAAAAAAAAAACCAAAGATGGTCCTGTAAAGGACTTCATTCTATTGCTGGGCACAAATGATTGTAATACTCACTTTTTTTTTTTTTTTTTTTTTTTTTTTATAGCGATACCTCTGTCAAGCAGATCATTTTGGGACTGAATGAAAAAGGCAAATTCATTATCGAAGATCTGGATGACACCCACGTTTTTGTCGATGCATCATGCATCGAGCAACTCCGGTTCGATATTGATGAAATTTTGAACGAAAATACGTATAATGTTGAGGAATCCAAGTAGAAGGAAGAATTAAATAGAAAAATAGGAAAGATATATATATATATATAATCTCATATACACTTTCGATTCTTGATCTTTTGAGGCAGGTGCATGAAAGAAAAAAGCTGCATCTATGTCGCTTCACACGCCATAAACTCATTTTTCTGAGAATGGCAGGCTTCTGGAAATCCATGCCATTGTTAGCCATATATATATATCCATGCTTCCGACTAGCAGAGAGAAAAAAGTATAGTGGGTGCTATATCTGAGATGTTGCATAGACAAACCCGATTAAAAGCAGAGAGTTTCTTTTATGTAAGTTTGTTCCTAATGGGGCCTTTGAGTGTAAGGATCATCATACACGGTGAATTGAACAGTAGGAATAAATGCATGAAGGAAAAATGAGAAGATATTCTGATACATTGGCGACTATTAGGACTCCATATGGTACTGTATAAACACCTAAACTCTGCCACATGTCATTGACTTCTCTAATACTCTAGAACTTTTGCAAGGGATGTGTTAATATTCCAGAAACATGTAACATTTGATAGCTGCGTCACAACTTTTGGATTGTGGAAGCGCTGAAGCATGAGGAAAACGGGAACCATTTGTGTTTTTACTAGCACCATTATAATGGATAAAACGGACATGGTATATTTTTGGTGGCGACCAATGATATGCCACTTCTATTAACCTTGATGCGTCCACAGTGATCCTGCATGCTTGAAGCGTACACCCTATACTACTATCTTTTTCCCTCTAGTTCCTTCGCACACCCAATCTCAGTCTTTTTTTTTATATGAAAGTAACAGCAGAGACCATAACTCCGAATACAAACTACAAACACTAATACATCTTTAACCGCGACTCATTTGGTGTGCATGGCAGTGTTCGGTGTTAACAGAATATACATTTATAATATTTATTATAAATGCAAGGGAAGACGAGATTATGGCTATGCCGCACCAGAGCCTGAGACTAATCTTGACGGGATCAAAAAAGGGTTCTCCAGCTCTGACGTCTTCATTATCACCAATGACCCTGAAGCTCAAGAAACGACATGGACTATGGAAACAACAATAGCCATAACTAATAGAATAGGGCTCGGTGTCCTTTAAGTAAGCCAATACTAGTGCGACTGCAAATATGACTGTGGACACAGGCATAGAATGGAAACTGGGCCAGCCAGATTCATCCATGAACCCCAGGACGGTCAACTATAGCAGAAATTAGTGGTCGAGAAAAGCAAGATTGTTATTTCTGCATTTTACATCTAGATCACAAACGTCTACCTCAACAGCTCAATTCCCACACTTTTGTATCTTCCCTTACGAACGATTATTATTATTATTATGTATTTTTTTTATTTCCATTTATAAAATTATCAAGAAAAAAAGGACCTAGTTCAATGATGATAATGTTCCTGTAATTGTGTTTAGCAAAAGGCGAACATCTTTGATAACTTTAAAACGTGATCTGCTCTACAAGACAGCGTCTTCAAGACTCATGACCGCTTCCGATCCAAGGCCACCCAGAAGACCATCGGCTTCAATAGGGTCATAAGAGTACCCATCGTATTCAGCGCCGTAAGGATAGTTAGGATCATATTGATAATCAGCGCCATATGGGTAATCAGTATCATAATCCATGTTGGGGTAAGGGTAGTCGTAGGCGTCCGAGTAATCATTCACGTCTGGAGGAAGGACATTCACAATGGGCTGGACATTGCTGATGGGCAAGAAGTCTGTGACAGGAGTGACTTTGATTGGAGGCACAGGAACGTCGGTCTCCCCCAGATCGTAGGAACCAAAGCCGGAATAATCTGCTGGAGAAGTAGGAGCAGCAGGGGCGATCAATGGGTTGGCAAAAATTAAGGAGGCAAGAGCCAAAGAAACAATCAATGACTTGAGGAGAGGAGCCATGGTTATGTATTTGTTAATACTAATGCTTATGTTGTTTGCTTTGCTGCTGTTGCAATCAGAAAGGGTGGAAGAGAAAAGGAAGCTTGAGGATACAGGACTTTGGTAGGGAGGGGATCTTCTCTCCCTTTTATTGCTGACAGACCAAACATTTACGCATTGTTCATTTCATTTCTGGATATGCGAGTGTATAAAAGAAGGATCATGTATAAGGCTGATTAATATCATTTATATGAATGATATTGACATTTCTACGATCAAATTGAGTGATAAAATGGAATACGTATAGTGCACACATCAAAGTGTTTTGTTACATGGTCAAACGAACAGGACTACAATATTGCCATAACTAATGTCGCTTTACTTCTGGGTTCGACCGATACCGTCATTTTGGGTTCCGATATGATCATTTTATGCTAGTCAGGCTACTTTGACAATTATGAGAATATCCTTAGATAATGCTTCAGCTCTCCTATGGTCAGTTCCCGTTTGAGTCTGATGCACATGTGCTCAGTAGGATTCATGTCAGGAGACTGTGTTGGCCAGTATGGAGGTCTTCTAGACTCTTCTATCAGACTCGCTCATCGCAAATAAAAACCTTGGTTGATCTGTCCTCTGCAACACCCCAATCCTGAACAGACTGTATGAGATCCCTACTCAGGATGGTTCCCTCAATCCTACAGATTCGACTGGGTCCGTCCCACGAGATGCAGCTCCATACCATGATCCCTCCGCCACCAATCTTCACTATTCCTTGAATAATTCGACCGTTGATAGCTTCTTCTTGGTCATCCCAGGTTCAGAACATCTTATCTGAGCAAATATGGTTGGTTTGGACTCATCTGATCAAACAACAGCCTTTCAGTCTTCCGTAATCCATTCTTTTGTGTTGCTTCTTGAGAAAAGGCCTCTTGACAATCTTTTTTAGTCTTCATGCCCAACCCTCTTTAGGCATCTTCTGATGGTGGAGCTTGGTACAGGGTTTGGGGATCGCCTCATTTGGTTCCTTTTAAGTATTGACAGAAGGCTGCTCTTAAGTCCGAGCTTATAGTTTTCCTTGGACGACTCATTGTTTTTCCTGATCATGGGTCGAACAATTGGCCTCATACTTTAGTGAATGGACGTTTAGAAAAACAAGTGACGACAGCGATCGAAAAAAGTATCGACTGGACCAATTGGTAAAGAAGCTAGCGATATAGACAAAATTCTAGCTATTCCTAGGGGGTACCCTTATATAATTGTCAAAGAAGCATATCGGAACCAAAAGTGAAAAGTGAAGATGGCGATCCTAGGAGGTGGGGGTATACATGTTTTTATTTTTATTTCTATTTTCAAATGTTCATTCAAGTTTTCTAAGTTCCACTGCAATTCGTTTAAAGCGATAGGGAAATGAAAATAAGGAGACAATAATTATGTGTATTATTATAAAGACTACAAGATCTATCATTAAATGTTACCTTTGAGAGATAATCATACCAAGAGGAAATCCAAGAAATTAAAAAAAATAAAAAAAAATAAAAAATCAGGGTTAGTTTCTGTGTAGAGCCTAACTAACTCTGAGGAATATAATGTGTATCAAAGGATTGAAGCACCAGGAGAGATAGGAGAAAAAGATGGCTCGTTTTTCTCTTTTTTGTATTCTTTTCTTTCAGATAACATCTACGTCGTCATGCTTCACATATTTCGGAAGCTATAAGACGGCTTTTCCTATCTTGTATTTTAATGTAATCTCATCATTGAAAAAACTTTTTTTTTTTTTTTTTTTTTTCCTCTCCTTCCAAAAAGGTATAATGCTTTTCTTCAATCTTTATTTTTTATTCTTTCAATTTTCCTCCTCCCACTATATTACACATTACAGGGAAAAGAAATACGACAGTATTGTTGTTCCAAACTCTGTACCTTTATTATTTTGAAATAAAATCCTCCAGAATTCCTGATGTTGAAAAAGTCCATAAGAACGATAATAGGGATCGTATTAGGATCTAAGTAGCGTCATTATCAATAAAATAAATATAATAAAAAAAGTGTTAGAAGCCATGATGACAAAGTCAAACTATAGACTCCAATTTGGAAATTTTATATTTTTGTTATCAGACATCCAAGGAAGTATAACCATCACTAGGAAAGACAAAATTCCATAGCAACTCGACGATGGCATAATGCTCTCTGATCGCTTCACTGACATGTTACTAAAGTAACAAAGGAAGTGGCCATGGATTGTCTTGAACATTGTCCTTTTGGTGGAAACTGCGAATTATGGAAATTCATCATATAAAAAAAAATGTAGAAAAATTGAAAAATAGATTTTTAAAAAATAAATTACGCACCATATCATCGCCCTTAGGACATATTCGTTGGGAGGGATCACTCTTGATGTCAATTCAATCGCGTTTACGAGACCTGGAACAATTTGAAGTAAATAAAATTTACAGTTAGATAATTATACTTCGTATGGAGAGGATTTAAATCCGCAAGAAAAAGGAAAGGGTTGTGTTTTGTTGCGTGGGTCAGTGGTTTATACTGGCAAGTATGACACTCCTCAGCGAAGGAGCGTAGATGTATCCCCATGGTCGATAAGATAAAATGAAGACAAGATATAGTTTCATCATTCGCACGCAACAAAACAAAATAGGAAAAAAAAAAAAATAAAAAAAAAAAAAAAAAAAAAAAGGCCATGAAAGTCATCAAGAATTTGTATTCCAATGTTCTTAATTCATTAAATCCCTCATTGGAATTGATCAGAGCAAATCAATGACGAGAGAGAGAGAAAGACAGAGAAATACAAACTAATTGACGACTTCTTTTTTTTTTTTTTTTTTAGGGAATTGGGAATGAGTAAAAATACTTACCGATTGACAGCTTCGAGGATCAATAAAGGAAAAAAGGTAAAGTTTGAAAAAAAAAAATTTTCAGCAGCGGTTCTTTTTTATACCTGTTTTTTGTTTGTTTATAATACGCCACAAAAAAAAAAAAAAAAAAAAAAAGCGACTGCTACAGTTCTTTCTAGAAAAAATTGACGCGACCGGACAGGATTCATGACCCGCTTGTTTTTTCTAAATGAGCCTCTTTTTTTCTTTTCTTTTCTTTTCTTTTCTTTCTTTTTTTTTTTTTTTTTACATACTCTAGATAGGCGGTATTCGTACATCTAATAGATGCTATAACGCACAAGCTGGTTTTGATCTGATTTTGTCAATCATGGGCATGGGCATGGGCATAGGCATGGGCGCAAGGAAAATTATGTGAATGCTGTTGAGACAGATCGGGTTCTTCAACCACAGTGCTCTGACTTCATTCGATGTCATAGTTAAACTAAGATAGTATAACTGTTAAATATAAAAGAAGGAAACATGAGGTAAATATACCTTTTCAGAAAACAGCAAGATCGGGGAAGCAGCTCAGGTTTTCGTAAAGGAAAAGAAAATTCTTTTTATTCTCGAGCCTCTCTTTGTAGGTTTTTTTTCTACAAAACTCGAAAATGGTTCATTGTGGAGCAAGACGATATATATCTTGCGCGAGTGCGAGTGCGAGTGTGAGTACTCTGTAATAAATATAAACCCTTTGTGGTATTAAACCCAAAGGCTTATTAACGCTCTACAGTCTTTACTCATGCTATGCAACACCTTGGAGGCCGGTGGTGCCAAGTTGTTGCTCGATCCAATGAGGTCAAGACCAATGGCGACTGCTACTTGAAAAGCTACAGCAGTTCAATACTAGCTCCTAGCACACTACCAGCTCCTAGTATACTACAAGGCCCAGTATCACGCTCTCTAATACTGGGTTTAGGGTAGATCTACTATATCAAGCTTTAATCGTTCTAAGTATATACAGATAGTATTTTAGTTGCTTGATTTGATCAGTAAGTTTTTATTTTTATTACTAAAAAAAAAAAAATAAAAAAAATAAAAAAAATAAAAAAAATAAAAAAAACCTACCTTTTGTAATATTGACTTTAGTATTGCAGCCTATACACAATGCAATGAGTTGACAGCTCCATACTGGTTCTTTAATATACGCTCCGTAAGACCTGGTATGACTTCTGATACTAGTTTTAGGATAGATCCGCTTATACCAGATCCTTATAGTCGATAAGGTATAAGTAGTCCATTCGTTAGATAGTTTGATCAACCCTCTGCCTTGAACCGTCATATTTGCATGATCGCCTTTTAAATGCTTCAGCTTTTTTGCTGTAAGCTCTGTACTGGAGCCTTTTTTGTACAGATTCATGTGTAACAACATCGTTATGTATATATTTATATATATACTGACGTGCTTTTATTATTATTATTATAATTATTATTATAATTATTATTATAATTATTATTATAATTATTATTATAATTATTATTTAGAACTTACACGTGGGTCCTCCTCAGAAGGCTGAGTGGAGCCATTGTCCTATTTCTGTTGATGCAGGAAGTGGGGATAGGCCCTGGATCAGAGTAAATGGGCCAAGGAGGGAGACGGAGTCTAATGACTTTTAAACGTTGCAGGAATGACAAAGCTTTTTATACTCTTTGAGGATGTAGAACCTCGTTGTGTAAACTGAATAAATCATGGAGAATTACGAACTGAGTCAATGATGATATCTATACACGTGTTGCATGGGTCTTTTATACCTGCATTCTTGGCCTCTTGTAGCGAATATCTCGGCTGTAGGAACGCTTGCTTCTTTAGGATCGATCTTTGATCGTCCAGTTGCTTTTGTTCTGTCTCTCTCTCTCTCTTTTTTTTTTTTTTTTTTTTTTTTTTTTTTTTATTTTTTTATCAATGAGATGAGGGAGTAAAGGAAAAGTATGGTCTGTAGCCTTCCTTTGTAGCCTTTTACATGATGACTACATTGGTAAGGTTTTTTTTTTTTATTTCTCAACAAAAATTATTGATAGGCCAGGATCCCAGCTGTATTCTTTATCAGAGTGGGAAGAGAACTCCCGCGCTCGCAGGCCCGCTTTCCCATCTTTTTCATATCTCTCACATGGATGCGGGTCAAAACAAACGAAACAGCTTTTAAGGTAAGAGCCAATCAAGACGAAAAAAAAAAAAAAAAAAAAAAAAAGCAAGAAAGTGGGAGAAGAAAAAGACCTGTGGCTAACTATTGAAGCCCAAAGTCTAGGTGTGTGAGCATGGCCTCATTTATTCCACAATAGCCGATCGTCTACACCTGTAGCTTAATCAACGCGTAATAAAAGCTTCAGGTTAAGAAGACATTTTGCCATGTTCCCCATCTAATGGCCCGCTTATAACATTACCGGACTATGTAAGACGGCCCATAGCTTTTTCAGACTTGGGTGACAAGTCGTACAAAAAAAAAAAAAAAAAAAATAGTGAAGTATCAACTTAATTTGAATGCTAAAGGTTACTATTACTAATCTTCACACATTAATCTTTGTAACTATGATCATGAGTACTGGATATTGCCAAACAGCAACAGTACCAGAGTGGCCGAGACGTTGCCCCCCTCCCCTCCCTCTCCTGGCCAATTCGGATTAAAGAGGTGAGGATAGCCTTTTGTGCAACAGTTTCTTATTACGTAGATATTGATACGAAGGAAGTTCCGAAAAAGATGCCGCTTAATTTGTAAACGGCTGCCAAGCTAATATTAATAGTTACTCACGGATGCGCGCGGTTGAAGTATATTAGCAATCGAATCATATATATCTTGGTTGGCGTTCACATTGCCCCTCAATTGTTTAATATTCGGCCAATTGTCCATCATCCATGTCGCATCTTCTGGCTGCATTTGCTGACCGATCTCAGCATGGAACTTTAAGCCTTCCAGACGCTTTAGGCTAGATAGCTCATCCAGTCCCGCCTTTAGCCTCAAGTTCAGTGTCCTCATCGCCGGATGCCAAGCAGTCTTCATTGCCAGGTCAAGAGAACGTAATCGAGTCAACTTGCCTAGCTGCTTGAACACAGCGCGCTGCTTCTCCAGGCCTTCTATGGTCTCATAATCAACGTCAGCTTGGATATAGATAGTCAGGTCAGCCAACTTGGTACAGACCCATTCCGCACCATTGACAATCTCTGTCACTGTGATTTTAGGTCCTATTAGTTGTTTCAGACATGGGCAATTACATAGGATTGCTAGCAGAATACCATCTGTCTTGAAACCGCGTACATCGAACGTTATTGTCTCGATCATCTCGCAGAGTCTCCCGAACCTCGTCTCTTGTATCATGTGTCTGTCTGCTAGTAATTCTTGCATGGAGAGCCAACCGAAACTACACGGCTCTGGGGAAGAAGAATGTCTTTTATTTGACAATACCAGCTGTTTTAGCTCGGTTATCTGCCTGAGAAGCGAGGCCATGTCCTCGTCCTTAACGTCCATCTCGAGGAAGGATAGGTCTGATAGCCCTGATAATGTCCAGGGTTGCTGAAAGAGTGCTTCCCCGCAGAAGGCTTTGTACCTTTGATACTTTTGGAATGCCAGTGAGCGCAGGTTTGGACATTTCTTAATCAACATGCTAGGACAAAGTGGTAGACTATGTGAACCTGAAGGGTCCTGTATCGTGACATCCAAAAGCCTTAGCGTAGACATCTTCGCAAAGACATAGTTGTCCGTGGGATCGCTCAAGAAACCAGTAGGTAGTTGACATATCTTTGTTTTACTCAACTCCAAGTACTCAAGTCTTTTACACATTTGAAAGAAATCATCGACTATTTCTTTCATTATTCCCGTTCCATCAATAACCAAATGGTTGAGGTTGGGGCATTTCAGCAGTGCTTTCCAGGTCCTTTGTGGGATTGGACCATAACAGGTAAATTTCGTGATTGTGGAGTTGTGGGCCTTGATGAAGGCTGAGAGATTGGTCACGGCCACCGGATCTTCATATACCGGCATACTTGTTACGAATTTGATGGTATGGAGACGAGCACACCCCTGCAATGACACGTACTCCTCTGGAAAGTGATAGAGCTCGAGTTCTTCAAGATGTATTTTATTGTTCTGCAATGCTTCGCCGGTAGGATAAGAAGTATTTTCATCGTCAGTAACAGTAATACGGCTCCATATGAACTTGATGAGTATTTCGTGGAAGCTTTTGGAGACACGAATGCACTGTAGGGTGTCCTCTAGACTGAGAAAGTCGCCAACAAGCGAGATGATTTCTGGAATATGTAAGGGGTGCTGGCTCATGTTGATGGTTGTGAAGTGTGGTGAGGGAATGACTGTGGTCTGGGAAATGGCAACAAGGAATAAAAATGCTCTTTTTATAGGCAAATTGTTTGTGATTTGACATTTTGCCACCTTTTTTAAGGTTTAAGGAGGGAAGACACACAGCCATTTCGAGTGGAATCAACAATGTGGCTTTGCAGAGATGACAGTCACCAATGTCAACAATTTTTTTTTTTTTTTTTTTTTTTTTGCTCTCACTCACCTTCAACGAGCGACAATACCATTCCACCGTTGTGCTCAGACATTTCCCTTCACTCCTCTTTACTCATCTCTTCCCTTTAATCCCTTTCCTCACGGTCTCTCATTGGTGCTGACTGTTCTGTCTGATCCCTTTTATCCCTCCTTCTTTCTTTTCCTCTTTCATTTCGTTTTATTTTTAGCATTATAAATATATAATATATTATATTATTTACAAACAAGAGTAGAGAAAATGAGTCAGCCACATCTGCCTCTCTTTGGCATCTTGGCCTCATTGGATGTGACAGAACGGAATGCTGCAGCCTTGACCCTCATCAAGGCCCTTGCTGTCCTTCAGAATTCACATTCATGTGACTTGGATCCCACAAAGGAAGACATTGATATCACTGAGAAGACATTAGACATTCTTTGTCACCCAGATGTTGTTTATGCTCTTAAACGACTTATCAGGGGATTACCTAGTGACCGAGAAGCTGCCCGTCAGGGCTTCTCTCTTGCTTTAACTGAGGTATAAGGAATTAGAGGAATAAAAGGAAAAAAAAAAAAAAAAGAGGAGGAAAATGTCTGCTCTGTTTTTATTTGGATTGATTTAATCGATTTAATTATCTGAAGCGAAAAAAAAAAAAAAAAAAAAAAAAAAAAGAAAGAAAAGACATTTGTTGATCATTTTTATATTTTCTCTGATAGTTGCTGATCGGATTGAACTTCTTGACTGTCAAGATCGTGCTGGAGCTCTTGTTCAGATTTACAGAGATCAAGAATTTTATGAAGGGGAAGGTAAGGAGGAGGATCAATTGAATATATATATGTAATTATTTCTTTTTAATCATTTTTTTTTGTAATTGAATTAGATTCTAAACAATTTTATTTACTGTTATTGTTGCTATTAGGAGGAGCGGAATCATATGTTCGGAAGGATTTTCGGCTTCATGAGCATTATTCAGTCCGGTATGTTGACTCGGCCAAGGACTACGGATGAGGATATCAAACTGATCATTGATGATCTGGTCGAGTATTCACGGGAAAAGTCTTATTTGTCAGAGGTTTGCCATCAGGTGCTCGTCATGATGCTTCCTCAGGTATTATTGATCACATTTGAAGCTGTCTTTTTTTTTCTGTTTTTGGCCATGCTAATAAAAATTTAGAATGTTTAGAGACTGATCATAAGCGACGTTTCTCTTCAAATTCAAACAGATTATCAATCATCCCAAGTCTGTTAAATATATTGTCGACACTGTTTTTGCCGAAGGCGTCAATACACCAGATGAGTTGAACGTTGCCATGGTTTTAAAGGAGCATCTGGATCAGATCAACAGCGGACTATCTAAAGAAGATCAGATCAACTGGACAAGGGTTCTTGGTAAATCATGGAAGAACCCCATTATCCTTCACCCCTCCAACCTCAAGTATCTGGGTTTATTGCTCAAGGAAGCTTCAACTGAGGAAGGAACCCAACCATCATCCAACTGGCGTCAAAATCTTCATCCTGTTTGGGACCGTATTCTTGCTCAATATTTCAACAACGCTAATAATGTGTCTGTATCCCAGATTGCTCCTTTCCGTGATTTCTGGAATGTTGTCATTGATTGTAAGTCGCGTTGTTATGTTTGTAGTTCTTGGTATTGATCGATCGCACCGCTGGGATTTCCTTTTCTTTTCTTTTTTTTTTTTTTTTTTTTTTTTTTTTCCGGAGTTTATTTCGTGTCATATTATTTATATATTTCTTCATTTTTTTTTTTTTTTTTTTTTTCTCTTTATTTCAGCCACATTATTTGACTCGAGCTCCTCTCATGAGCGCAAATATTGGGGATTCCAGATTTTTGAGAGAGTTTTGCCGGTCTTGGATGAGGATCAACTTCCACTTATTTTCACCACCAACTTTATGCGCTGCTTTGTGAACAACCTTGCGAGCGAGGATCGATTCTTGAACAAAGCAGCCAAACACACGATGGCGGCGATGCATGCTAGGGCAGATACGAACGAAGCCGTTCGTTTGACGTTGATCACACAGCTGCTGGATAAGAATCCGAATTTTGATCGCATGTCCCGATCCAAGACAGTGGAGACATTGCTCGGAGGATTGGATGTCACTCATATTAAGGACTATCTTCAATACCTTACCAAAGCCTTTGTCGAACAGGAGACGTCTGAATCCAACAGTGTGGAGCGTGGCAAGCGCGTCGATGTCAGCAGACAATGGACTATTGACCAGATGTTCTCGCTTTTCCGCAATCCCAAGGTTCCACGGGAGGAGGGCTGGATCAAGTCGATTCTGGAGTTCTATCTGGTCCATGCCTTTTTCGAGATCAAGAAGGCTGACAGCAAAAACAAGTATGCAGAGGCTCATAGGCTGCCCTCGCCTCCTCTCTCTGGCCCTACCCGAGAATCGTGCAGGGGCCGGTTTTACAGCATGATGGCTGAACTTTCTACGATGGCGCCATTGGCGGCCAAGAGGGAGAATGAGGAGACTGAGGCGATTAACTATAGCCGTAAACTCAATGGTACGATGGTGGATGGCACGTTCTGGTGCTCCTATGCTCTGAATATGATGGTTGATCTGGAGAAGAACAAGAACTTTCAATCGTTGGTCACCCTTGGGGATGATGCTGCCAAGGCCAAGAAGACTGCTCTGGCTCTGGTGGGTAAGATCCAAGAAAGGTCAAAGAAGGCATCGAAGGGACTCAAGGCACAGTATAAGGCTTTTGAGCTACTCTTTGTGCAGATGATCCTTCAGCTCTATATCGAACCAGAGGATTCGACCAACATTTTGGGTGAATTGCACGATTGCTACGACAAAGTCTTTGGGCCGTCCTCCAAGTCTAAGAAGGCCAACGGCAAGACATCAGCCCAGGATGAGGATGGGGAGGACGAAGAGGAGATCCAGCCTGTGGAGGTTATTGTGGATATCCTGCTCAGTTTCTTGATCAAGCCCTCGGCACTGCTCCGTCATGTGTCAGAACAGGTGTTTGTGATCTTTTGCGATAAGATGACCAAGACTGGCCTGGAGTTGATGTTGTCGACTCTTCAGACCAAAGATAATAAGGATGATATGTTTGGAGAAGAGAATGATGAAGAAGATGAAGACGAGGATGCAGAGGCAGATGCCCACAACCAATCTGGTGAGGAAGAGGAAGAGGAAGAAGAGGAAGAAGAAGGAGAAGGAGAAGAAGATGATGATGAAGATGAAGAAGAGACCGAGGACATGGATGTGGATGAGGAAGAGGATGATGAGCCTGTTGACGAGGAGTTTAGAAAGAAGCTCGCTGCGGCTCTGAATATGAAGGACGGTGGGGAGGATGAGGAATCGTCGGATGAGGAGCTCTTGGATGATGACCAGATGATGGCTTTTGATGAGAAGCTGAACGAGATCTTTAGGCAGAAGAAGCTTGCGAAGGCTCAGCAGAAGGATGCGAAGCAGACGCTGGTGCACTTTAAGAACAAGGTGTTGGATTTATTGGAGCTGTACATCAAGAAGCAATCATCGAACGAGTTGGTGTTGGAATTGGTTGTGCCCCTGCTGTCGCTTGTTGTGACCCCGTCCGCTGGTAATATGCCGATCCACGACAAGATTGTGTCGTTGTTGCGGAACAAGCTTGCGAAGATCAAGGACTATCCACGGGAGTATGATGAGGAACATGTGTTTGAGATCTTGTCGCAGGTGCATGAGCTAGCCAAGAAGTCGCCGGACGGGAAATCATCAAGTCTGTGCGGAGAACTTTCATTGTTGTTGGTGAAGGTATTGATTGGTGGTCAGGATGAGAAGACGGCTGTAGGGGAGACCAAGGTGGAGAGAACGGCAGTATCGACAGGAAAGAGGACACGTGGGATGAGTAAGAAGAGCAAGGCAGCAGCAGAGGTGGATCCTGAGGAGGCAGCGCTGAAGGCGAAGCAAGATCGGGTGATTGGGCTGTATAGTGCTAGTCTGAAGGAGTTTATGACGCGCAAGCACTCGAACTTGTCAGCGAAGATGTTTTTAGAGTTTATTGACCGATTCCCACATTTGGCATGGCATCTGTCGAGCACATTGTTGGAGTACACGAGTCCCAAGGCAGTGGTGAAGACATTCCGACAGACGATGGCCTTTACGATGCTTGCGGCGCTGGTGAAGCGTCTTGCGAACAAGAACACACCAGAGTTTGAGCCTCTGTTTTTGGAAACGGTACCGCTGATCCGGAACTCTTTGATTGAGACATTTGAGGGGGCATTTGTTGATGTGGAAAAGAATGAGGCGACAGCAACGGCAGCGGCCAGAGGATTGAATGTAGCACGTCTGCGTGAGATCCTCAAGTTTGCGATACTGTCGGCACGGATGGCGAAGCGTTCGGAGAATAGGGTGAAGGAGATTTGGCAGACAGAGAAGATGGGACCGTTGCTTCAACGGATCAGTGAGGACGGACGGTTCAACAGCGGAGCATTACGTTCGTTGATACAGCAGATGTTGGTGTTGATTGAGAGTGAGATCAAGCTGATGAGGGGTTCGGTCAAGAAGCAGGAGAAGCAGGAGAAGCGTAAGCGTGCGTTGGAGGCACAAGCGAACGGCAGCAGTAAAAAGAAGGCCCATCGGTCCAAGAAACGTAAAGTAGCAACCACAAAATCAACTACATCGACACTTTCAGAAGCATAAAAAAGGAAAGAAAAAAAAAAAAAAGCATTAGAAAAAAAAAAAATTCTATATTTTTTAAACAAAAAAAAGTTACATTTTGCATCGAAATAAAGAACGAAAAATTAAAGCGCATTTTATTCATCAAAAAAAGGTTTTATTTTTTTTCCCTGCAGGTTGATAGACTGCGTAACGGCTTTTTTTTTTGTGTGTGTGTCCTTGGATGTGCCATTAGGATAAAGCTGTTTTTGAGTTGGAATCCAACAAATTCCGTTAACACAACACTGATTGGCTTTTTAAAAAAAATTTTGATTATTTTTCGCTCTCATTCTCGCTTACTCGCACTTGTCCTCTTATTCTGGTTCCGAGTCAGGAAGTCTCATTTTCAGTCATTTCCTCCCAAATCCACACTCTCCCCACTCTCGACGCCTTTTTTTGACGATTTTTTATTTATTTTACCTCCGTCATCAGCACACAATCACCATCGAAAAGTAAAAAAAAAAAAAATATAGAGACAGGAAAATCGTAAAGCTCCTTCCATTTCACCTTATTCCTCTTCCCTACACCCACTCTTTTTTTTATTTATTTTTTTCTTCTTATTCCTTGCCTCATTTCTCACCTTTTGGACAAAAAAATTTTTTTTCCTTCTCTTTTTATTCCCTTTCCCCCCAATTCACCCTCTCTTTCTCTCTCTCTCTCTTTCTCTCTCTTTCTCTCTCTCTTTCTCTCACTTTCTCTCTCTCTTTCTCTCACTTTCTCTCTTCTCTTCCTCTCTCACTCTCTTTTTCAAAGACATCTTAAATTCACATGCAACCCTTATCTACCCTTTACCTTTTCTATTTTTTATTTTAACAAAATACTCATTCATTCCGATCATCTTTTGCTCATCTCTTCATTCATATTCACACACACACACACACTCTCTCTCTCTCCCTCTCTCATTCAAACTCAAACTCACAACTTTCTTTTATTCATTCATCCCTCTTCCCCTCTTCCCTTCCCCTTTAAATTTTTTTCTGCTCTATTCCCTTTTATTCTCTCTATCAACCTTTCTCTTCTTCCCCTCCCTACTATGGCCAACTCTACTACTACCGCCACCGGTGCTGCGGATGACCAGTTCATCGCCGGTGCCTATAAATTCCAGGTCTGTGTCTCAACCGACAAACCCCTGCGTGAACTCGCAATGGAGGCTTCCCTGCACAAGGACTATGCAACTATGGCTCCTGGATTCATCCATGCTTCTGCTTCTGTCAAGCAATTTGTGACCCTCGTCCCTGCTGATAGCCAAATCAAGGATCTCAAGCGTGAAATCCAAAAGGATTTCCGGAAATATTATCCCGAAGAAGGGTACGTCGCGTCTCTCTCAAATCGCTTTTTTTTTTTTTTTTTTACTATAATTTTTATTTTTATTTTTATTTTTTATTTTGAAAAAATTATCAAAAAAATTTTTTTTTTACGCTTTTGTGAGCCACAAAAAAAAAAAAAAAAAAAAAAAAACAGAGAGGAGTAGACTCTTTTTATTTTTTTTATTTTTTTTTGTGCTGTGCTGTGCTACAGTTGAACGCGTGTTTATTCAAACATTCTTGCATACCTTTTTTTTCTTTTCTTTTGCCTGTGTTGCAATTCCTTCATTTTAAACAGCAAGACATATACGATCGAGCATCTGGAAAATGCCAACCACTTCAGACTCAAGGACACCCATGTGATCAAGCAGGTCCTTCATGATAACGAGGTCATCAATGTCGTTGGCTTTTCCAAGGAAGCAGGTAAAGGTGCTCGCGCCAAACCTGCTCAATCCTCTACTACTGCCACTCCAACCCCTACCGCCGTCGCAGGCGTCAAGCGCAAGTTGGATCAAACAGAGAACGACTCCACTCCCACAACCAAAGCCGGAAAAACCCCCAACAGCAGTAGTACAGACAAAAAGAAGAAAGAACCTGCCTCTACCTCAACCGATGATTCCGCTGCTCCAAAGAACGCCAAAAAGGCCAAAGTAACAACTCCCAATGAGGAAACCAACGCAAAGACAACCACTCCTTCGACTGATACTGCCAAGACTAACAACAAGCCCAAGCCCAAGGCACCAACCCCTGCCCCATCTTCTCCCTCACAGACAGAGGAGGAAATTATGAAGAGCGTGTCTGCGAACAACAACAAGAAGAAGAACGCTGCCGCTGCTGCTGCGGGTACTACCGCTCCATCAGAGCCCAACAACAACGACACCTCCAAAAAGCAAACTACAACCGACAAGAAGAAGAAGAAGGCACCAGAGGCCAATGCATCTGAATCTACATCCGCACCTGCTACGACTGAAGCAAAATCAAAGGTGAACGGCAAGACCGAGAAAGCAGAAAAGTCTGACAAGCCGGTCCAAAAGACCGACAAGGCTAACAAAGGCCCCAATGAGAAGGCAACAACCGCAGACAAGGACTCGTCTGAAAAGCCCAAGGAAGGTGGAGGGGAGACTTTGGCCAAGGCTAAGGGTACGGGCAAGAAGGCCAAGAAAACGACTGGTGCTGGTACAAACACTTCTACTGCTGCTACCGAGGCGTCGTCCAAAAAGGACACTCCAGGTAACTAGAGCCAAGAAGAACGTGAGGAAGTCAAGAGAGAGAGTGTGGAAGAGAGAGAAAGAAAGTGTGTGCATTTAAATTAACAGGGTTCTTTTTTATCATTGTTTTTATTACTATTACTATTGCTGTTACTGTTACTATCATTATCATTATCATTATCATTATCATTATCATTATTACTATTATTTATCGTTGTCTTTGTCTTTGTCTTTGTCTTTTTTTTTTTTTCTTTAAAAAAAAAGAAAAAAAAGAAAAAAAAATCGAATAGAGAATGCAAAGAAAAAAAAAAAAAAAAAAACATCGTGGGAAGAGAAGAAAAAAAAAAAAAAAAAAAAAAAAAAAGGAATGTGAGAGGGAAGTTAAAATGAAAAACGTGGGCACGATTTATTTTGGCAATAATAATAAAAAAAAAAATACAACTTTGCATAAACCCACAGCCCAAGTTTATAAATCTAATATTTGCATTTTTACATCTAAAAAAAAAAAAAAAAAAAAAAAAAAAAAACACCATACATTTCAGAGTCTTCAGATGATAAAGAGTCCAATAACGACAAAATGTCGCGCACATCACGCAAGATTGATAATGATGCTGTGATCCAGGAGGTATTGGCCAAGGACCCGAGTGAGCGAACGGAGGAAGACAAAAAGAAACTTCGACTTGCTGAACGGCGAAAAAAGGAAAGGGAGCGAAGGGAAGAAATCATGAAAGCCAGAGAAGATATCTTATCGAATGATCCAGAGATCGTCGCAGCTGCAAAAGAAGTCCTAAAGCCTCGAAGACGCGGTCGTCCGGACACTCATGAACATCATCAATCCATTGCCGATAATCAAGAGGGCGATTACAATAACGACAGCAACAACAGCACCGACAGCAGCGACAGCACCAACAACAATGACAAAAAGGACGATAAGAAAAAGACTTTATTATCCTCCCAATCTCATTCAAAATCATATCCACCCTTACCTTCAGCTCCGTCTTCGTCTTTGTCCTCATCATCTACATATCCGATCCCAGGAATCCTTGTCAAGGCACAGTCCACAGACGGGCCTCCAAGGAAGAATGATCAGCCTGCTAGACCCTTACCATCACCGAGCACAAGTTCGGACACTATCCGGGATGTGCCTGCTGTCAAAAATAATACAGTGAAAAAAGAAGTGCCACAGGTACAGCCAAAGTTGGAACAGCAGAGGCAGCAGCAGCAGGCCACCAAAGTTTCAACTGATGAGAGGAGTCGCTCCTCATCAGCATCCTCTTCCTCTTCTTCTTCCTCTCCCTCTCCTTCTGCCTCCGTCTCCACGTCATCGTCATTATCGAATAGACCTCGCCGTAGTTTCAGTTCAGGTAGTGATTCTTCAACTAGCGGTGATAGTGAAGATGATGACGATGATAACGCCCTGGGCATTGAATGGTGAAGAAATAAAAGAAATTCATCGTCATTCAATGCTCTTTCTCCTGCATTCATGTCCACTACATGCTTCTTGCAGTCGAACTTTCAATATTCTCTTCCCAATCCTCGTCCTCTTCTTTTGCATTTTAAAATGTTTTTAAAAATATAAACCCAGAATTTTTTTTTTTTTTTTTTTTTTTTTTTTTGTGTTGCCATTTCTTTGTATATACAATCTTTGCTTTATTTGACTTCTTGGGGATAGGTTCAGTTCTCATTCCTTCAGAGAGATCAGATAAAAGAAAACAAGGCTTCTATCTAATTTTCTTTCTGATAATAAGACAGCGTGGAAAAAACCTTTTTTTTTTTTTTTTTTTTTTTCCTCCTGAGAAGTCAAAGGTATTACGTAAGAATCTTAAAGAGAAACTGTCCTCGTTTTTTTTTTTTTTTTTTTTTTTTTTTTTTCATGCGTGCGGATTTCCTTTTACAGTCCTTTATTAGAGTTCCTTGCTTCGATCCAATTCTACCGCTCAGTCACATATATTGGAACTTTGGCATGTCATCATGACTGACTTTGGTTTTGGCCCGTCCGTACACCCTTTATCTTTTACACAGCATCAATTGACAACCTGACCAAACCATCGTGTTATCATTATGGGGCCATATACCCACTTGCATCATCTAATCTACACAAAAGGTTTTCTCAATTGTACTACAGTACGGGCACATCTCTGTCAGCAAGACCTCTTTGAGATCTTTTCAACGTTTACTGTTTATGTTTTTATACAACATGGGTTTAAGTGCTATTGAGGATCCAGTGTGACCGGATTTGTTTTTCTGGATCATAACCAGACAAATTCTAATCCAAAATGAGGAAGCAATGTTGCGAGCTTGTTTCAAGTAAGGGGAAAGGATGTTTATGCGAGCCAATGATTGGGAGTTTTATTCCTCGTATTTATCAGTTTATTAAAACATATTAGTCAATAACTCGCTCATATCAACAAAACTACAATGGCATTCCTCACCCCCCTGTTGATTGCCTGAATGTAGCTGACCGATGAAGTTTATTTCCATAGAATCCAAACCGTTATGCAAGATAAAAATAAGAACTTTTCAAGTCTATGCTCAACACAGGGACAAGCAAGGGCGCTGTCTTTGTTTATAGTTTTGTTGATTGGGATTATATGGCAATAGCCCCTCCTCCCCCCCCCTCCCCTTTTTTTTTTTTTTTTTTTTTTTTTTTAAAAAAAAAGGTGCGGAATTGACGGTACGGGGCTGTTTTGGAATTTCAATGAAAACTGGGGGAGAAAGGCTTCTTTGACTTTTTATAAATACTGACATTTACATTTTTTAATTTCTTCACTCCATTTTTATCTTTCCCTTCCATAAACTCATAAAAAAAAAAAAAAAAAAAAATGTTTGCCAAAGCTTTTTGTATCAGCATTGTATATCTTTCCTTTGTACGGGTGACTATACCTCCAAGATCATCCGAATCTGTTTGGGTATCCAAGACAGACAAGGTTTGTCCCGAGAAAAGTTTTATAGTATCGCGTTATCATCCATATATATTGGTAGGCCTGGTCTCTTTATGGACCCTATCCTATCTGGCCCTCTTGCTTTGGTCCGATTCTGATGACACTGCAGTCAGACCCGAGATTGCTCAGTTGCATGAGCTGAAGCCTTGGCATATCATCCTGACAGTGATTGCTCTTGCAGGTTCTCAGCTTCGAGCTTGGTCCTTCCGCACGCTTTCCTGGTTTTTTACTGTAAATGAAATACAAAAAAAAAAAATAAAAAATAAAAAATAAAGGATGTCTCTTTTTTTTTTTTTTTTTTTTTTATAATATCATTCCAAAATTGTGTGTGATCGATCTACTTAGCCTATTGACATTTCTTTTTCTTTTCTTTTTAAATAGTACCAACTAACAATCCGTCCAAATCATCGTCTTATCACTACAGGACCATATACCTACTTGCGTCACCCATCCTACACAGGAGGTGTTCTCAATCTCGGTGCATTTTGGGCACTCCTCTGGCATCAGGGTCTCTTTGAGGTCTTTTCAATGTATGCCGTTCATGTTCTAGAAGCCATGGGTTTAATATCATCGTCATGGCTGTCTTCCCCCACCAACGACAGCAACAGCCACATCTGGAATATGCTTTTCTCTGTTATCTACCACTGTGGAAGTTTTGGTGTGGTCGGGTTATTTCTCTGGATCACAATCGGACAAGTTATAAAACGCGTCCGAGCTGAGGAAGCGATGATGCGAGCTCATTTCGGACGGGAGTGGGATGTGTATGCGAGCCAAAGATGGAAGTTTGTTCCTTTTGTTTATTAGTTTGTTTAAAAAAAAAAAAATTAGAAGAGAATCCTGCAGAGGAGGAGGTGGGTTAAAAATAATTAAATGTCCCCTATATCGACTGTCATTCTCAGATGGACCAAAGCACTTTATACTGCCTTATGAATATATGAATATATTTATATATACCAAGGCCAATGATCCTATTTTTCCTGATTACAAACCAGACATGCTGGGCAAAAAAAAAAAAAAAAAAAAAAATATCTGTAATGGAACATTTCTGGTATTTTATGCTTCCTTTTTCCCTTCTTTCGACGAAAACTAAGCTAATCTTAAGCAGCAATAACGGACCTGTAGAGGTCAAGCCAAGGTTGTCAAAGGCACCAAGGCTTTCAAGCTCTACCTGTTACTTCAAAAAAAATAAATAAATAAAAAATAAAATTGTACTGAAGAAAAATAATATTTTTTTTTTTTGTGTGCCACAAGGAACTTTTATTTTTATTTTTTATTTTTTTATTTTTTATAACCGAGTAGAATCTGGACGCATGACGAAGAGTTGTTAATTCTTACTGTGGTATCATTTTAGGGCAATAGTTGGAAATATAACAAAAAAAAAAAAAAAAACTCCCTCCCCCAGTAGAATATTTTTTTTTTTTTTTTTTTACTCCAAAGCAAATCTGTTATATCTGTTTGTAGCCTTATAAAAAATAAAAAAAAAAAAAAATAGTAATAATAAAAAAGGGCTATGATGGCGCAGTGCTTGCATCGGTTTGATTTTTTTTTTTTTTTTTTTTTTTTTCCACAAAATCAGAATCTCCTTTTATTATTCTGTCATAATCACAGGTTCGATTGATCGAGGGATTGATTGAGGTTTGGTATCATTGGTCTGTAATCTTCGATCAGTTATTATTATTTTTATTATTATTATTATTATTATTATTTCCCCCCCCCCCCCTGTGCCTGGATTTCACGCGTCAAAACAGCTTATGCCTCTAATTGATGCTCCAAATAATCCAAGCCTTTTGGCGTCGTTTCATAAGACATTTTTTTTTTTTAACTTTCGAATGTCTCAAGAGGTAGGGCCTTAACGTAAGCACCAATGATGACGTACTGAATTCAAGTCTCGGGGATCAAAGATTTCAGACAACTTGAACTCTAGCATCATTGTCTTGACTGGAAAAAAAAAAAAAAAAAAAAAAAAGAGAGAGAAAGAACTGTTGTACATGTACACAAACCATTGATTCTTTTTTTTATTTATTTGTGATACAAAAAGTATAGATATCCATGGAATTCGACCACGCCATGTCCACAAGGAACTTTTTTTTTTTTTTTTTTTTTTATTAATTTGCTCTTTGTTTGTAGTTCAGAATCTTTCTATGACAATACAAGTTTGATATCTTTTATTCTTTTTTTTTCTTTTACTGAGTAAATCCTTCCTGAACCTGTCTATGAGTAGTTTTGCACTTCTGTGCCGTGATATCATTCTGGGTCGAGATAGACGATTCGATACAACAGTGGATTCCTTTTTCCTCTTTCCTCCTTCCCTCCTTCCCTCCTTCCCTCCCCTTGAACGTTATGACACATGATCACTTTCAAGGTCTGTTGCCCTGGATGTGTAAAAAAAAAAAAAAAAAAAAAAAAAAAAGCCTGGTATGTGAGGTTGTACAGACTATTCTGTTCTTTACAAGATTTTAATTGACGGGAGGAATGAAGAGGCTAGGCTTTTGTTGGGTTTTCATCTGCAGGTGCTTATAAAAAGATACATAGAACGGAGGATTGACTGTGTGTTTTTTTTTTTGTGTGACCAAAGGGCGGGAGACTGCAGGAGGATTACAAAAATGAAGGACAAATGGAAGAAATAAAAAATAATAAAAAAATAAAAAAATAAAAAAAAAATGGATAGGGACGATAATGGTTTATAATGATGAATATGATGACATGAAAGCATGCGATGATCCTTTGGCACAAGAAAAGGGTAGTTTTCGATGGCATTCGAAGAAATGTCAACAACACAACAACAAAAAGAGAAATCCTTCATAAAATCCCATTCCTTCAAAGACTTTTGTTTTTTTTTTTTTTTTTTTTTTCCTTCTTTTTCTCTTTGTTCTCCCAGCATTTTTTCCGTTCCAGAGTTTATTCAAATCGACAGCACAGCAAAAATAAACCTTATCACAGAAACCGCACCACTCACACACCTGAAAGGCCGAATAAAAAGATTCTCTCTTTTTTCTTTTTTCTTTTTCTTTTTCTTTTTCCTTTTTATTCTTTTTATTCTTCTTGTTTTTCTTTTTCATATTTTTCAATCATTCCCTAGCCACTCATAAAAAAAAAAATTAAAAAAATTAAAAAAAGATCGCCATGGAATACTTCAACACAACGACAATCACCTCCATGGCCGCTGGTGCAGTAATAGGGGCCTATTTAGTGTACTCCCACATGATCGAGCCTCAACATACACAAACAAAGGAGGTCGACAAATCCCTTTTGATCGTCAACAATGAAAAAGTCGAAACGCTGCAGAAAGCCCTCCAAGCCAAGGAATCAGATTATCTTGCTGCAGAGGCTCGTGTAGCTAAAGCAGAACAGAGGATCCAAGAACTCGAAAGCAAGATCGAAACAGACACACAACTGACAGTAGAAGAATCCATCAAGAAATCCGACCCACAGATGGAGGCCAAGCTCGAATCCCTCAGTATTACGAACAAATCCCTCGTCCTCCAACTCTCACAAGAGCAAGACAAACTCAGGTTGATGATGGTGGAGATGCAAGCCTTGAAAGATGAATCTGCTGCTTCGATT